TCTGGAAGAATGCCAGACTTGTGATGCAGGTTTTGCATGACGTGTGAGGTCTGTGATGCATGCCGTAGCATCACAGATTCTGTGAGATCTTTACTATGCCTTTTCCGCATGACAAACTGCCTCTCGGCCTTCTCAAAAGTGAACAGCTTTATTCGTAATCATGCAACACAGATTTTTGTATGATTCAGATTTAGCATGACAAGTTTCACTTTTCCAGACCCAGACATTTTTACAGTCGATATCTCCTGTCCCGCCACAGCTTGTACCGGGTTACGAGGTATCCTGTGCAAAAGTATCGTAGTCGTACTAATTGCAAATATGCATGACAAATCTCCTTCCTAAGGTAAAACAGCACTACAAGTTCCACTTTTCTTCTTGCCAAAATTTGTGATGCAATTTATACTAGTACGATACTTTTGCAATGCATACGAGGGGTTTCGAATCGAGCGAAAACGGGTCGTCGTCACCAGTTGCGTTTTTTGCAACTTCCGCTTCGTTCACCTCCACGTCAATGCTCTCGACATTCGTGTAGTTCCACAGTTGTTGGCCTTTACTTGCGGAGGCAGCTGCTATTTTCGCTTGATTGCTTTTTCCTCCTCCTGCTGCAGCGCCCATATTATCGTTCTTCAGCCCCAGGTGCTTCCCATTCAGTACAAAGGGATCAAGCAGTTCGCGCAGGTACACGATGCCCTCGCCCAATCCTGGGTCGAGTTTCCAGATCTCCCGCAAGTCAATGTCCACTTCGTCTTCCGGGTCTTCGCCGTTCGCGTAGGACGGGAAATAGGCAAAAACTTCGAACACCGTGAACTGTTGCGCGGACAATCTGGTCAAAAGTTTCTCCGCCTTTTGCATCGCGGCTTCGACAATTTGCCCGGCTTTTTTGTTCTTCTCGGAGATCACGAGCGCAAGCTCCTCCTTCTTCTTCTCCAGCGCGTTAATACGCTGTTTCACGCGGAACAACCGGGCCTCTATGATAACCCGAAACCCCTTGATCTCGTAACCGGAGAGCAGAAACGCTGTGTTTTCCGCGGCGGTGGCAATCTCCTCGTCGGACTCGGACACATGACCATTCTCTATAGTCGTTTTGTTTTTCGTCTGTAGTTGTGTTTTTGCGTTCAAAAATTTTTTCCGCTTTTTCCTCCGTTTGTCCCCGAACATCTGCTCCTTGCGCTTCTCGCGTCTCTGCTCTTCCGACTGGTGTTGCAGTAGTTCCTGCCGCAGCAAATGCCCCTTTGGCCGAATGTTCTTTCGCTGCATTTGCAGCACTCTCTTTCGCTTCTGTCTCCGCTGCTTTTCCGCTATCAAATGTAAAAGTGTCTGGGTCTGGAAGGGTTGGAACTTGTGATGCAAACTCTGGAACACACAAAATTTTGCGTTGCATGAGCGCCAAAAGCTGTCCACTTCTTGGCACGCAAGTAGGAAGTTTCTCATGCGGGACAGGCATCATGAGGCGTGCGCGAAACCTGTGATGCTTTTGCCTGCATCAGACGCCATTTGCGTGACCCGAGATATGCATGACAAATCTCACAATCTTCCAGACCCAGACATTTTTACATTTGATACCCGCCGCGTTCTGCGTATTTGCAAAACTTGCCGTCGCAGTGTCGAACTCCTCTTCGAGTTCGTCTCCGAGGAGCTGGTCCTCGTCGCTGTCCTCCTCTTCATCTCCCCCGACCAGCAGGCCGTCCTCCATCTTATTATGCATTGCAAAAGCATCGCACTACACTAGCAGAAGTATGATTTGCATCACAAATTTTTGCAAGAGATGATGAAAAAACGCAATTTGCAGTATGCGGAGTCAGCTTCAGGTAAGAAAATAGATTCGTCAACATCCTGTGCTGCAATTAGTACGAGTAAGTAAGAAACACTGTTGCAGTGGATACTCATCACCGGTTGGCAACATGGGCGACAGCCCAAACATGGCCTCGCTCCGCTGCATTTTCGTGCCGGCGTTTACCGAAGAGAACAGGGGCGAAACTCCGTCTTCCCCCGCCATCAACCGGTCTCGGGCCTCTGCCCCCGCCAGACCGTAGTAACTTTCGCCGCCAACCCGTAGCTTCACCGGCTCCGTTTGCATCGCCGCGTCGAGTTTGGTCACGACAGGATTGGTCTTGTCGAAATCGAGCTTTATGTGCGAATTTTTCGCTGCTGCTTTCATCTTTTCGACCTCTTGCCGGTCGGCTTTCGCTTTGTTCTTCTTCTCACTGGACTCGATCCCCTTCTGCACCTCTAATTCCACTTTATACGCCTCGATCTCCGCCCGCAACCGATCCCGCTCCGCGATCCAGTGCTCCTGGCCCTTTGACCAGAACAGATCCTGCTTATCGCTCCGCAACCGGTCCAGGTTCTTCCGCAGCTCCCGGTAATACGTGTCCGGATCGACGCCGGCACGACCTGTGTGTGTTGTGGTGCAGGTAGTTTTGCATTTTTTACATCAAAAAGGCAACCATATTTGATGCACAAGAGCCATCTCTATCCTATGTTTAATACACTGTCGCAGATGCCAACATCTTCCTGCGGAGGAAACAGCAAACAACATTTGTCTCCTGCAAAGAAAGACTTCAACATTCAACGTGCTCCACTATCGCATGATCTGAAAGTTGTTACCGACACGACTCAGCTCCGCATCGATTTTGTAGGCTTCTAGCTCCCGCTTTTTCTCCTCGAGCTCGGCAAACATTTTGCCCGACACTTCCACTTTTTCCCCGTACGTTTATCCTGATGCAAATGAAGCCCGTTAAATATTTGATGCACCGTTCTCAGACTGTCCTCCGACCTAGGCCATGGCTATTGTGATGCAGCGCTCCGCGGGACCGCGGCTCACTGTATGTACTATCTGCTAAGAGTTGCACAATGCATCCGTCCACAATATCATGTTTGCATAAAATGGGTCGTGGGCACTTGCAAAAATACGTAACAGTGGCATAACGAAGAAGAGGCTTGATCAATTATATTGAGATTCTTTCCCCCCGGATAGCAATTTTCGATTTTCCAGCATCAAGTCCCGGTGCTGCTTCATGAGCAGCTCAAATTCGTCCTGCAAACGCCCTTGCTCCTCCTGTTCGCGCCGGTCTCGAATGTTGTGCAGCTTGTGCTGTTCCTTTGCGGCTTTCGTGGCGGATGGAGTAAACAAGTTCGATCTAGTACCTGCGCCGTGGTTAGAAGTTGTACGTGTACCTTCAGCACTGGCGCCAGACTTATTCTCCCCCGCCTCGTAATTCCGCAGCTCCTCCTGCATTTTCCGCAGTTTCCCGTGGTGTTCCTGCTGCAGCTGTGCGTCCAGCTTACTATCCACAAAAAAAAACCATCCCCATCCAATTTGTCATGCAACATGTGTCATGCTCATGCAAAAAATGGATGGGTATGTTTGTTTTTTTGTGGATACTCACCAGAATGATCGTACTTCCTGTCCTTTTGAAAAATTTTGTCCATCCGCCTGCCGAGCTGCGGCTCCAGGTGCTCCCGCTGCAGCCGGTCAAGCTTTATCTGCAGTCGTTTCTCAAATTGGTCCATGGCGGAGGCAATGGACGTCGTGTCGTTCCCCGCTTCATGATTTTGGGAATAACTACTCACTTCCTGTTCCTCCTCAGTCGCCTCACCTTCATAGTAGAAGAAGTTATCGGCGCTGTTCGGGTACCTGCTATTTAGCGGCGCCGTCGAGGACGAAGAGCCCCCGATCTGCTCGCGAGGGAACGGGAAGGTTTTGAAGGTCGTGTTCTTCTTGTTGCCAATAATTTTCGGGTCGCTGTCCTGCTCGCGGCCGCGAGATGTCGTGGTCGTATTCCTGTTCCGATCAACATTATCCGCTGTCGAGCCACGACTGGGTGCTGCATTTTGAGCCACTGCTGCTGCTCCTTGGTAGAAGAGGAACGGGGCTGCCGGTCTTGCAGTAGCATCAACATATGTTGCCAGACGACTTCGGCTTTCTGATTCTTCCCCGTTCTGCAACATCTCGAAACTTTCACTGACTCGAGCGACGTTGTTTCTGGTCATCTCATCTGCGTCTCGGTCCCCTTCCGCCGCCCCCACCGCGCCTTTGTCTGTCCAACCTTCCCCGATTCGGATTCGTTTTACCTTCCCAGCTGATGACAGGCAGCTTTCTGGTTCGTGATGCCGAATCTTTGTCTGCTTTCGGAGCTTTTCGGCGACCTGCGCCGCCAACAACCCCCCGTGGTCTCCTTGCAGTGCCCCAGACGAACCAAGTCGAGGTTGCTGATCCTGCGACGCGTTCTCGGTCCTTCCGGTGGCGCTCGTCTTTTTGTGCTGATGCGTCGATCGCAGTTGAGATTCATTTTCGCTGCCCGTCTCACCACTGAGTTGATGTTCGTGATCCTGCTGCTGCTCCAACTTGGCAAGAGTGGCGAAAAATTTATCGTCATCATAAGAGGAATTGTTCCGCTTTGATGCATTTGTCTTGTTCGCAGGAGCAGGTTTGCCTGTCATTTTGAAGATCTTCGAGTTCGAGTTCTTTGACGGCGCCTTCAAAAAAATCCACAACGACACCCACCTGTCTTGATCTCTATTTGTACTGGCCTTTCGTGTTCTCGTTTCGTTAGTGTTACTGTAAACATGCTGCCGGAAAAACACTTTAATTATGTTAATTTATTTCTAGCGACACATGCTACAAGAAGAGACGCAGAAAGAAACGAAAGAGAAGCGAGACTGACGAGGTCACGACACAAGGAGCAACACAAAAGAATTGAAGCTAACCAGAACGACGCTACCGAAGAATTATCTGCGGCGCGATACATATTTCGAGTGGGAATATATCTTCTCCTCATTCAACATCTGGAAGCAGCGTCAGTCCCTCCCGAGCCATTCGCACAGATTGATTTTCTTCGCAATTTGACTTTGCTGTCCTCTCTCCACTCTGCTGTCTCGGATTATACGACAAAAAAACAAGGTGGACGATCTTCTTTTTACCCTTCAAGCTTTTTCAAGCGAGGGCCTCGTCAATATATCAGACGAAAACAAAATAGATAATCGGAGAACAACGAACTCTGGCAGCAGCTGCAGTGCAGAGGATAATCCAGGTGCAGTCACTGCAATGGCTGACGCTGTTTTCATTTTTTGCATGAAATCTTTGCCTTTCCATAAAGTAGCACTCAGAGTCCAACTACAGTACCGTCTTCCTGCATTTAGCATGGTGTAGATCGACTTGTGATCCGCGACTTCATCTTCCATAAGAAGCAAATAAAAACCAGCTGAAAACTCTTCTTTCCGTTACTTCTACCTAGTCCTGCTGCAAATGAAAATATACTCCGAACGAGATGATGGCACCCGGCGCCGTCGACTCGGTAGTAGAATTTTCAGAAAGATAAAGATAAAGAACTGAAAGAAGAAGTAAAAGCCAATCGGTAAATCAAATAAATGGTTCGCAGATGTTTGCTAGAGAGCTCTTGCTTTTTGTGTTCATCCCAGCGATGGAGACAGGCGTCTTGGTTGCAAAGAGTTTCTTCGTTCGTTGGTGATTATAATTCTGGAATAAATTGTACACGAATGTGAGTAGTTGCCCACGAAAATAACACTTCTGCAAGGACGGGTTTAGGCTTTTCGTGCACCTCCGCCCCCCATCTAAGATGGCATCTTCCCCCATGATAAAAATAGATTGACCACGTCCCTGTCAGATAGAACCTCGTACACCGTAACGGTGTACGAGGTTTGAACATTCAACGGCGTTGAGTGTTCATGTATGCTTAGCATTCTTCGTTCAAATCAAAACGCTACCTTTGTCATTGTATTTGTACTCCTAGTTGTGCTTACACCGCTAACATCGAAACTACTTGAGGAGAGGAGTTGCCTCGTCATAAGTAAGTAGCCTCTTTACAAAGCACCAAGGAGTCATGACCACTTCTTCGGTCCCCGCTGGCTTGGTTCGTTCTAATCGTGTAAATATGGACCGTGGCCATGTCACCTCGAATTCCGTTCACATTGCGCTCGAGAATCATGCGTACTCAATCGTAATTAGTATTGGAAGAGGACCAGTTCTCTTACGAATGAAAATCCACAATGATTTCAAGAGCTCTGTGATATTTTACAGCATCAAATGCCATCAAACAAGGTTCTTACTAGATGTTTCTCGTCCGTCTGTGTAGAAATCTCGAAAAACGCGATCGGTTAAAGTAAAAGTTCATAGAAAAATATCTGGAATTCTTCTACTCCATGGTTCAACGAAGGACGAAATCGAAGAGATACAGCAAAGCCGTCTTAGGGGTTGAGCTGCAAAGCTTCGAGACTGCGCTGGGCCTGGCGCAGCTGCGACCTTGTTGTTTCAATGGCTTTCTTAGTTTGTAACCGACGAGCCTTCGAGCGCCGCAGCGACCCTTTGGCTTTCTGAACTTTCAACTGACGAGCCTTCGTGTTCGAGCGCCGCGCCGACCTTTTGGCTTTCTTGACTTTTGCCGAAGCCCTCGCCACGTTCTTATTGGCCCGCCGCAAGAGGTTCCGCGCTTTTTTGACCATGTTGAAGGGGATGTTCTCCTTCCAGTTTGTGCTCCGGCCGTCCTTGGAAAAAATCTTGATGTCGTTAAACAGGAAATTGGTGGCCAAGCCAGCGATTGGCTTTCCCGTCTTCGGATCATTCCAGACAGGCTTTCCTGTGTTCGGATCGACTTGCTCCGGCAACCCGTATTGAGCGTCCCTAACCAGCTTGTTGCACCATTCCCAAGATTCCCAAACTGTTTGTGAAGGGTACAGCACTTTTCCGGCCCAAACTCCGCAAAAGGTTGTATTGAGGATCAGCGTCTGCGACTTGAATAGCTGCCGCGCGCTACAATTCGTGTCCGCGAGAGAGAAGATGGCGTAGGCATTCACCACATTCGGGTCGTCACTCTTTTGGTACTCCAAGTTCAGTTTTGTTTCCCAAAAGGCGCCGTCGTCTTTCTGGGCAGGCGTGATTTGGTCCGCGTCCGTGCGCGGAATCCAGAAGAAGGCGGCTCGATCTTCTTCCAGCGCCATCAACTGAATGCCGCCTCTTTGCTTGTTCAGCGACACGCCGTTTGGGATCCCGGCCCTCCCGGCGTCCACCCCGCAGCCATCGCTCCCTTGGCAGTTGTTCGATGCCACGCGGTTCCCGCTCTGAAGCAGATCCAATTCGTCCTGCATCGGTCCCATGTCTTCTTTCTTCATGATACACGTGTGCTGCGGGTCGTCCGCTTGAGTGTGCAGGGTGGTTCGCATGCCCTTCATGCCGGTGCCATTGACGTGTTCGACCATATCGAATTCGCCCGAGGCCGGCCACCCCGAGATGCCCGGCGCCCCCCCGGCATGCGCAGTCCAGATGCCGGGCCAGGCACCGTCCAAAACCGGAATTTGCTCGACGTCAACCAGAAACAGGGAGCCCGCTCCGAAAGCCTTTTTCGTGTGCATACGGATGGCAGGGCGCTGGTCCCAGAATGTGGCTTTCGAGTTGTCGATGGCCCCCTTATGGAAATCAATGCTGATCCGCGGTTTCCCGTCCGCGCCCCCCTCATCTTTGGTCACCAACTGGTCGAAATAGTACTGGCTGGAACCGGCGGGGTAGTCCACCGTTCCAGCGGTAGGGTCGCCTCCAAATTCCTTAGTCCACGGGTACCAGCATTTCTTAAACTCTTCAAGATCGCTGCCGGGACAGTTCTCGGCCTGCTGCCATTTCTTGGATGTCGAAGTATTTTTAACCGTCTTCGAAGATTTTTTCGGGATTTTCCGGCTTTGCTTGTTCGGTAGCTGCGGATCGCCGTTTTTCGGCTTTCGGCAGAAGCGCGGGGCTCCGGCCTTAGGATCGGAAACTGGCGTGTCGCTGCCAGGGCACAAGTTCTTGCTGTTCTCGATCACGTTCAAGATTTTGCTGCCCAGCTTTCCGTTTAAAAATACGGTGAACGCGTTCTCGATGGTCGCCGAGTCGGGCACCGAAAACCCTGCCGCGACGGTGACCACGTTGTCGCGCGGATACATGTAGACGCCAACGCCGTGCGCCTGGTGGTTTTCGCCCGTCACCTTGTAGCCGTAGTACTGCGCCTTGGCTTGCACCAAGCTCCAGCCGTCTTCCGAGGGGGACGTGTCGTATTGGTTGGGCGAGAAGCCCCAATCCTTCGTGAAGTCGTAGGGCAGCTCGGACTGGTAGAAGGCCACAAAGCCGTCGTCTCCGTTCCACTCCACGTGGTTCTGCATCACGTGCTCGGCCGCGAGCCCGTAGGCCACCACTTTGCGTCCGTTCACGCGGATGGCCGTGTTCACGCGGTTGGCCTTCGTGTCGCCCTCGCCCACCGGGCCGTCCACGTCGTGGTCGGCGCGCCAGAGCCACAAGTCCATCATCACCACCTGGTCCCGGTCCACTTGCACCATCGTGTCCACCTCCCGGTTATTTCCGTCTGTCTTCACACTGTTGTCTCCTCCCACGCGCGTGAAAACGTCGGACAGAATGGCATAGTCCGTGGCTTTGTAGCTGCGCTCCACTCGTTCCAAATGCAGCAACACGCTTGGCTTCCCAGCCGCGTCCTTCAAAACTGAGTTCTTTCCCGGCTGCAGCGTGATGGCCGCAATGTTCGGGCGCGTGGCCGAACCGGGTACCCGGATTGCCGGGAACACGGGGGCGGATTCGGTCTCGCGCTCCACCTCGAGGGTCACAAAACCAAGACCGAGCAAGACCTGGCCGTCCATGTCCTTCTTGAACTCCAACGCGTCTGTCAGCGAGTAGATACCCGGCGTCAGCAGCACGTGCTGCCCCTTTTGCAGCGCGCTGCGGATTTTATCCGTGCTCTTCTTCCGCTCGTCGTACGAGGCGCCGGGCGCGTTCGGGAAGGCAATGTAGACGAGCGAGTTTTGGGCCGCGGTTATCGGGCCGAAGACCTCATCCTGCACGGAAGCATCGTCGTTCTTCGCCGAGTTGGACAAAAGACGCTGGTGGTTTGTGAATCCGGGAACTTTGAGCCAGTACTCGAAGTCACCACTGCCGTCCGGTTTCTTTCGCACAATCAGGAAAGGCTTGGAGGCGGTGACCGGCTTCTGGTCTTGCGAAATCACCGTCTTGGCCGCGTTTTGCGATACCTTCGAGATATCCCCCTGGGCGTTCACGCCTACAAAGCTCCACGCACCGTCTGTGTACTGTTCGGCTTTCGTGTCGACGAGGCAAAATTGCTGCTGCGACCCGAGAAGAATGGTGTTCTTGACGGTCACGTCCTGCATGTGCCCGCCCGAGGTCCGCCCCATCGTGGGCGTGTCAGGGTCGTCACGCCCATCGGGTTTCAGCATGGCAGCCAGCTTCAGGCTCCCATCCACCAACAGACGGCGCAACGGCGCGGCCTGCGACACGGCCGCTGTCACGTCTCCTGTCACGTGGAAGTTCTCCACGGATCGCCAAAAATTATTCAAGCCACCCTCACCGTAGTTCGGCTCGCTCCCATTGGTGATGAGCACCTTTGCGATGCTGGCCCGCTGGTTCGGATCGGCAATGTCCTCGCCCAAACCGGAATAGGCGTGGTAATAGCCCGGCCGAATGGTGATGTCTTTGTATTCGCCCGGGAGAAAGAACACTTGCACGCGACTCTGTTCGCTGCGGTCAAAGTGCCGACCCCGGTGCTGTCCTGGATGGTTTGGGTTGTTGTAAATCTTACTGCAGGCCAGCGGCGGATTCCATCGTGCTCCCGGCTCGCACTCCGCCGGATCGGTAGCGCCCTCCACCTGGTACCCGGCATCCAGCAAGAGACCCGGAATCCCACTGTGGTATTGCGGGTCATTCTGCACGGGAAAGTTCCAGGACTTCCACTGCGCGTCCTGCGGCCACTGCAAACGCGGGGTATTCTCGCTAAAAATGTTGTCCAATTCCGCTTGGAGACCCTCCATGTCCGGACTAACCACTACCACGTGCTTGCCCAGGTACGGCAAGTTACCCGGCATGCGGTAGGGATCGGGAACCATTTCCCAGCCGGGGTCGCGAACCACTTCCCAGTCATGATCGCCGTAGTTATCTGTAACAGGAGTTTCTACGACCGAAACGGCCTCAGCGCCGATACCAAAGATACCGGGCGAGGTGGACAAGAGGGCAGCAGCAACGGTAGCTCCCGCGGCGACCGAGGCAACAACGTAGCCGGCGGCGGAGCGCTGTTTCTTATTTTTGGACGAGGAGCTGGCTCCTGCTGCGCCATCAGGGAAACGTTTACTCAGCATTTTGTTCTGGTGCAGCTCCTGAGCACTGGGCGACGAACCTGTTTCTTTGTTGTTTCTATCTCTACTTTATTTCGTGTTTAATAGTTTCTGGCAAATCATACAATGAAAATTTTGATCGTGATTGTCTATCACAATACAACCGGATGTGGATATACTTATGAGGTATGGATATGATGAGGATGACAATCTGGAATCATACAAATTGTATCGTATACAAGTGTAACCAATGAGATGAGAGGTTGTGATTCTACAATAAAGCTTGATGGAGTGAATGAGATGAGAGGTTGCGATTTTACAATAAGGCTGACGTTGAAGTCCAGCGACTTATTCGAAAAAGCAATGACTGTTTTTTTTTTTTTTTGAGATTGGAAGCATGGACGCAGCACACCAGGCTTGCTTCGCCGACCCACAACAACTCATTTTTAGTTTTGCCGCCAAGGTGCCAAGATCTTTTGTGTGTATTTACCACTTTATCTTGATGGATCAGGATCATAATTCCTTTCGCGATTGCTGCATGCCTTGGTAAGAATCACATGCGACCGATACATCTTTAGCGGATATGATTTTTAGCCTTTGTTTACTTCGATAAAAGTTGATCCTGAGTATTTTTCCTCGATTGTGTGACGGATTTCAGTATGATCGCCTGAGTACTTTGCATTTGACACCTTCGGTCAGACAGGTAAACAACGTCGTTCTCGTTGTTGACAACGAAACTGCTGTGCAAAATCATCTTCATCAAGAAGTTCATCTTCTATCTCTATGTCTCCTTCGACGGAAAAAAATATTATGTCATTTCACGATCAGATGTCGCGCTTTCCGGGCGCTGTGAAAGATGCAAATGGTCGCCGCGAAAGTAGAAACTCACAAAAGAAACTACTGTGGAAAAAAAAAAGGGCCTGAAAGATGAGGAGCTCGACCTTATCTATGGTGCTGCGAGAATGCCCGCTACTGAGTCTCTGTACATCGCTCATCTCCGCCTACTAGTGAGACCTCCACTGCGACATAACTATACGCGCAGTCAAGCTATACGCGCAGTCAAGTAGTCAAGTCAACCCCTGACCCTTCACGCAAACGCCAAGAAACTGGTTGCCGCGCCGCTGCCCGGCGTGGTCGCGGGTGCCGAGCCCAGTGGAGCGGAGCCTGTTATCAAGCAGAAAGTGTTAGTTAACGCCTCCATCTCCAACAGCTTATTTTACTGAAGATTGAGAAGGAGGCTCCTCCACCTCCACCCATGCATGATATTACACTGTGTCTTATTTCGTTATTCGATGCATGCTAGGCTTCTCTGCCAGCAGTTGCAGCGTTTTAGCTCATGCGTTACCGCCTGACCCTGACGAATTGATCTGCCAAAAAAGTTGCTAACACTGTTTGCGAGGATATCTGCGACGGCAGCGGTAGATTCCGGGCTGACAGGAGCGGAGGCTATGGAGGAGGAAGTCATATGATCCTTTTCGGCGGCCGACGCATGTAAACATTTCATGTCATCGATTAATATTTTTGGCATATAATATCTGCATCCATGCACAACGAAAATGAACTCCCACGGTTTTGCTCGTCTCTGCGGACGAGTTGCTGTAACCTAGGGAGGATGGTGGACCTGCAGCGAGGGCCTGAGAGTTCTTTCCGAGATGATACTTCGATGAACTCGCAGACGAACACGAAGCGGTCTGTATGATCTTAAAATAAACGAGTACTTGTCGACGTCGTCAAGCCGGCCGAGAGGTCGCAGCTTTTCCCTACCATAGGCACCTCCACCCCGACACTGGGGGGCAGGATCGGGTTGTGTGCGTAGGGCTGGATGGTCTCCGGGGTCATGTAGATCAGCGTGTTATCCACAGGAAATTTACCGCACACGTACAAAATGCATCAAAAATTTCCCCAACTTAGAGCATGGCAGTTGTCATGCTAACTAGGATCGAAGGCAAGCTTGGTCATGCAGGAACCGCATTTGTACGTCGTGTACAGGAAATTCACTGTGGATACGCGTACACGATCCCGCACGAGCCACCGTGCATGGCGATCAGGGAGCCGTACCGCAACGCTGAAATCAAGTACGCAACGGTGAGGTTACTGGTCTTGGGAACCTTTACATTGCCGTCTTCGTTATCCTCGTGCAACGAAAATCTTCTTGCCCAGTCACCATGCATGAGTTGCACGACCCTCCGCGTCCTCAACTACAGCATCGATTCGTTTTATACGAAAATAAGTCGGATGATTTTTACACGAACAACTACATCAAAAAACAACGTAACGAATCGTTAAATCGAATTGAGTACCGTGGAGGATTGTTGAAAACAACTACAAAAAGCTTGATGATAGGTAGGGGTAGCAGAAGACTTTGTTCCCCGACATAATCATCCAGCTCGATCGGGTATGAAAAGGACATGACGAGCACGAGCAAAATCTGTGCCAGCACGCTATAGGATTCTCAAGCGTTTTTACACTGGTCGCTGTTGCGTGAAATGAATTGCCATGCAATGTTTACCAATAGCCCAAAGCCAATGAATAGAGACGATAAAGCTACTTCGCATGGCAAGTTCGCGACGCGCTGAATAGCAAAGGAAGGGAAGCCGCTACAAATTCGTAAATATGAATAAGTAAGTATCAAAGGCGCGCAAGTCTTTACCTTGTTCCCCACCCTTGCCCTTTTGTTTGTCTTGCGTCACAAATACTTCATGCATCAACAGCAAGGAATACAAACGCTTGAGACCTCCAAACACGCTCCAGGTCGCGAGGTACATGCACTCCTGCGCGTACGTCGGTGGCCCGGCGTTTGCGGGGATGGTGTTGCTCGTCGTGCGCGCTAGCTGCAGCGCACGCATTCGGCACACGACGAACAGAACGGCGAGCATTGGGGCATACATCACCGTCATACGCGCGTTCTCTACCGCCTGCGCAAAAACTATCACACGCAAATATTACGCCCTCTGGGTGGTTCCGACAGGGAAGAAAGTCATGCATTTCTCGCTGATGAAGATGAAGTGTTCTTGATGATTGAGACGCTTTAACGCGCAATCGCAGCGGCTCCGTTGCGAATCTTCGAAATGCATCTACATAAACACCCTTTCTAAGTCGAATAATTGGAAGACCTGTTCTTCGATTTTGCGCAAGACTGACAAAACCAGTCGCGACATGCAATAGCAATTATACAGATGCAATTTATTTTTGAGAAATGAACAAATTTCCGAAAGCAAAACACGCAAACAGTACGCATCTTCCTTCAGGGCACGAACAAGAACCAGCAGACGCAATATTTCCCAGGTGTACACACGTTCAAGAGCCGGATGTCGGGCTTGTACATGCGAATGGTTTGCGTCACGAAGAGGGATAGGTAAATAAAGAAGTACTGCGCCACCAGGTTCATCACGCAGAGCATGGCGGGCGACAGGGGCGGCGGCGCGAAGCTGTCGTCCGCCCCGGCGGGTTTCATCGTGAAGATGGCGTAGCAGACAGCGGAAAACCCGCCGTAGACCGCAATATTGAAGTGTCAGAATCGAACTTGACAAAATCGAAAAACTTGTGATGCACAAAATCGATGCCAGTTAGACCCACAGCTTGTAGTCGGCGCATGACAAATTATCCCCCTCCTGGAAGCGAATTTGTCATGCGGTTTAGGGCAAAAGAGCTGCCTTTTGTCATGCTAGTCAGCAGCCCAACACTTAACCCTTACCAGGACTACAATCCGCCTTCCTTGCATCCTCTGCAATAGATTCGCTTTTTGCGTAGCATTTTATGCATTACAGATCATTTCGATTTTGTCGATTTCGATCCTGGCACTCCCATACGCAAACAGGGCAAAATACCGGAGCGTTTGGAAGACCGTGGCGAGGAGACCGCGCAGCCCCACGAATTTCACGTCGCCCTCGAAATCCCCGCGAACGCACTGCACCTGGGGCGCGGTGTAGGGCAGAAGGATGATCAGCGCGGCCTGCAGCAGAATCGCGCCGCTGCACCCGTAGCAGGCGTACTGGGCGTACTCCGGAAGCTTGCCGGTCACGGGGTCCATCTGCAAGGCGCGCATCCGCGCGCCGATGAACAGGATGCACAGCCTATCCTGTGTTAAAACGTCCCCACCCCATAGTCAAGATGAGAAATCTGCTAGACAAATCCACTAGCTTTGGCTGTCTCGCATGACAGGCTTGCCCTCGTAGTGTAATGCTCCTGTTTAGCTTGTTCAGCAGCATCACAGATCTGGCATATCATGCTGCTTCTGGCATCACAAAGCCCAAAACACGACTAAAGACTGCTTCTCATGGGTCTCGGCATGAGAAACCATTTCAGCATGCAGATTTGCATTACAACTCTGGTGTGGGGAGGTTTTTACAAATGATACAGCATCGGCGCCATGTTGACGGTGAACGTGGCGAGCGACAGGCAGCCGCCCAGCTTCTCGGCCACGTTGTTGGCACCGAAGAAATCCATGTAGGTGCGCAGCAGCGCCAGCGCGGAGTAGAGCACGAAGAAGAGGGAAGAAAGAAAGATCGTGGCCTGCACCGGCGGGGACACTTTCGGGAAGGTGTCGTCTGGCCACATCTGGTTTTTGATGGCTTCGTCCGCAATGTCCATCGTGTGAATCCCGTACACCACGACAATGGCGCCCCCATACACGCCAGCGAGGAGGAAGTAGCGCAGAGTGGTCAGCAGGGCTAACACCGCCTTGGAGACGCCAAGCCTACAGAAATATTTGCTGAATTCATGTTCTGTATCATAGTCAAACCCAGCAAAACAAAAAAGAGAGTCCCACGTGGCAGCATAAGTAAGTGATGCTTGCCGTACGTAATCACGTAAAATATCCGGCGCTAATACGCACCTCTGCAAGTCCAAGTTCCCCTCCCCATCCACGGGCACGGAGCAGCTCCCGGTGAAGTATGAGATTTTTGCAGCACTCCGCTCATCTCCCCCTCATCTGTCGTTCATCCATCACAAATGAGGGGGACGACACGGGGGAGTTGTGCACTGTCATATCAGGAGCGGTAACACCAGAACGCAGAGCAGCTGTCCCAAAACGCAGTTGGCCCCCAGCTGCATGCCAAACCGGGTCAATGGGGAAGGCAGATTCAATTCCTCCGTCTTGCCCTGCGCAATCTGCTCCGCGCGCATGCGGGCGCCGAGGTAAAGCACACACAACATCGGACAGTAGTTGCAGACAGGGTATGAAAGGAGAGTGCTGCATCGTGGCTACTTTTATTTGATCGGTGTCAGCTCGAAGGGACTAAGGTAGAGGCACGTCAGTCGTATTTTCAGTCTGTCGTGCAGCCGATAAGTACCTGCGACCACTGGCACTCACAACCCGTATACAAGTTTTTGATTGTGTATCCACTTGGCATGATTTTGATCAAAAACACGCCAGACCTCTCGTTGTATGGAGGATGACGCGACGCCGGCGCGCCAGGACGGTCAAAATGCGTAGATTTGCCAGGCCTACTTCACCGACCGAGCAGAAGCACCAGCAGCTGCCACGATTTATATGATGCTTGCACTTCATAAAAAAGTGCAGGATTCCATGAGTTTCTGAAAGCCCAGAAGCGAGGGATTCCCCGGGTACATCGCGTTGAAGGTACGGGAGAAGGTATGGAAGCGTCAGGTTTGAAATCGTCAAAGTTGAAATAATCTGTAATGCATAAAATGCATGACCCGAGGCACGTGCGTTGCAGAGCAGGCAAGTGAGGCCGATTGTAAGCCTGTTAGGGGTTACAGCTCGAGCTGCTAAAGTAGCATAAGAAAATCAGTCTTCTAAGCCTAAACAGCATGACAAACTGGATTTAAGGACCGCCAAAATTTGTCATGCGCCGCTTGGAAACTGGGTTCCAACTGGCATCCATTTTATGCACGACAAATTATTTCAACTTTGTCGATTTCAACTCTGACACATCCATAGAAGGCCAGCATGGCGTACACGAGGAAATACTGCACCGTCAGATTGATGATCACAATCACCGTGGTGGGCACAGCTGGCATGGTTTCCTTTCGAAACATCGACGTCGGAGCCTCCATCTCGACCTCCGCGGACTTTTTGCTGACGGTATGCAGCAGACCCTCCGCTAGTAGCGGTAGGAGAGTGGCACAGAACGAAGCCAGCATGATGGCGTTCTGGGTCGTCGTCCTCTTGGAAGTCCCTGTTCTGAGCCTTGAAGACGTAGCAGCAACCTGACGCCACAAGGCGGAGTGAAACGAGCCGGGGTTATGAGCCATCTTAGTAGATGACTTTTACGTCGCGAGAAATGTCGACTAGGTTTTTTGTAAGTTGTACTAGAGCGCGGCACCGTAAGTACTCACAGACTGCGGCCCGGATGCTAGACTGCCCACCTCACAACTGCAGCCCGCCCGCTTGATGCTGAATCCACTATTATGAGTAGAATCTAGAATCAGTATGAGATCTCGCAACATGCACGCTTCCAGCAAACTAGAACTTCAACAGGTGTTGCAGTACGCACGGATCTGTAAAGGTAATTGACGACTTTCGTGCCACGTGCACGTGGTGCACGTCGCCTGTCATTCTCTCGCTCTCCATCATCTGTAAGGCTCAGTAGGATCATGAAATGGCGTAGCGTCTCTATCGACGACAGAGCAAAACAGACACCAGGTGGCTCTATTGGAGACCCACTCATGATGAAGTCAAAGTCCCTCACAGCGCGGGCTCGTCTTTGTAATCTTAAAAAGTGTGGAAGGGTCGTGGTCACTGCTTCATTTGCAAATCTTGTCTGCCCCAGCAGGAGTCAGAGTGCCTTGCATTGCGTTTTCAATTTCATCTTAACCCCAACATATAAAACGCATCCAATTTCATCCCATTGGAGAGCTGCTTCTGCTTCGCTCTACTTCAAACAAAAAACAAAAAGTCGCTTGTGTAGATAAAATCGCTTGGATTACTTCGGAGGTAGTTTGTTTTACAGCTTCTATACTACTGAAATTAGTTGTCGGAAGATGTTAACTGATATTGATGAAGAATACTGAAAAATATATGTAAAGGATTTCAAAAAAGCAGCACTTTTCCTTGAAGTCTGATTTTTGAGTGGCTTTCTCCAATAGCGCCATCTTTGTTTTTCTTGGTCACTTGTGTAGAAGTGTCCCAGCTACACAAATTCTTTCTTTCCTCATCTTCTTCTTCAGTTGGATTGCAGCGACCTATGAGCTCCTGAAGTACGCTAGCTAATTTCTACCTCGCAATCCTGCTCGCTATCCCTCCTTTGAAGGATTCTGCTGGTCCTTTTTCGGTGCGTTTTTCATTTTCGCTGACTTGGAACTTGTGCTGGTGGACTTGGCCTTTGCGACCCGGCCGCTGCTGGCCTTGGACTTCGCCTTGGCCGTTCCCAGGGCGGAGCTGCTGGGGCCGGACACGCTACCGCCACCCGTGCTATTATTTGCAGCGACCATTCCACCCACCGAGCCGGGTTGTTCTGCTCCCGAGCCAGACTGTGCCTGCAGTAGACCGGCGGCTGCTGCGGTCACCGCGGGAGCCGAGGACTTTTTCATCGAGGTTTTACTGGCAGTGGAACCTCCCTTCTTCTTCCCTACCTCCTCCTGCTGCTGCTCGGGCCTAGCCACGACGGCTTCCTTCGAAGAGGAAGAAGAAGCCGGCTGCGCTGGTGGTGCGGTTGCGGCCGTCACCACGGGATCGGGATTTGTGATTGCATTAGCTGCTGCTCCCGGCACAGGGCCTGCTTCTGATCCTACTGCGGGGTTTGTATTTTTCGCTGCTGCAGCTGGTTCAAATAGTACCTTGGTTCCCCCAGCTGCAGCTTTGTCGCCTACAACTTCCGGTAGTGTTGACGATGCCGCTTGTTGATTGCCACCAGCGGTCACTGCAACTGGTACAACAGGAGCAGGTGGGGGTGCTGCCAGTGTTGACGTTCCGTTGGTAGTGGTGCAATTCGGTTGCAGCTGGTTGTTCAAATTACTAGTAGTACCAGCCGCAGCCGCAGAAGACGAGGACGGAACGGACGCTTGCGCGCCTTGTGCTGCATTTGTATTGGTGATCCCCCCCGTGGAATCGTTTTTCAACAGAAACGGCCGATTGGTCAGTGTAGCCGAGGAACTTGAACTCCCCTGCTGTCGCTCCTCCTCGCCTGGCCTCAGCCATACGTGTATCGCACGGAAAAGACGTGCTTTCACTGTCAATCACTAATGTCGTACCAGTACCACGACGAAAACAAGATCTTCATGCGCCAAGAATACAACATCCCTAACGCCGCTTGATGTTGTCTTGCTACAAATGCACGAGTAGTCACTATCTTCACGGATCGTGTTTTGGGCACGTTCATAAAACAAGCACGCATGACAAATTGTCTTCTGTCATGTCCATGTGTATACGAAACGAACTTAGTCCAAAAAACGCCAATTCACAGTGAAGATGCAGTTTTTCCTGAGAATACAATGGTCCATGCGTTTGCTCTGTCCCATTACTTGGACGTAATTGTAAACTTCTTCCTTCTATGAACTGCAAAAGTATCGTACTCGTATAAAAAAATTTTCTCCGCATAAGAAATAAAATTTGTCATGCTGATTTACCTTAAGAAAAATATTTGTAATGCAAGAATTGCATTTGTACGAGTACGATACTTTTGCACAGGATACCTTCCGCAACTTGTCCCGGAACCATCTTCGCTGCGGCTCCTGCATGGCAGTCTCGGATAGTCGGCGACCTGAGCAGTGTTGCAATGTCACGTGAAAAAGTCGTGGTATAATGGCAGTACTCATAGCAGCCCTGTCCAAAGGGAATCGTGGTCCTCTGAAGATGTGATACATCACTATAAAGTATAGTCAAGTTTGCAATTTTTTGCGCCTTTCATGCCAGACGACGCGCACCCATGCTTTCTTGAGTATAGTTTTATGATAAATCAAGTACCCCTTTTGCTCGGCTCCGATGGGGCGCCGAAGACTTCGTGGAGGTCCACTTGCTGCATGTTTCCACCGAAAACCGTATCTGGGTCGATGAAAGTATGAAATCGAAAAAGTATAAGGCATCAGAAATAGGCATAGAATTTGTAATGCACGTATGCGCGACAGCGACTTCTTGGACTTCGTCTTTTGATGCAGATAAATGATGGCGAACTTCACGTCGCTCCTCCCGATCCAAAACCTCCGTGGCTGAAGATGAAGAAGTTGCTTGGTAGTTGATGATTCTTTGCCTTTTTTCTGACGCATCTATTTTTGCCACTTTTCCATAAACGCTCTGCTCCTCCACCGCTTTTGCCCATTCTTGGCCTGTTTTAGAAGAATTTGTAATTCACATTTATCCTTATCTATGCACAACATAAGAAACCACCGCACAACGATGAATAAAAAGAAAAACCCAAACTCAATAATCTCTACTTGCATTCACAACTTAGTAGTTCCAGAGCAGAATCAACATCAAGAACTGGTGGGTAATCTAAAAAATTTTGTTCAATACACCAGGTAGGCACTTTTTTGTGCTTTCGGTCGGGCGAGTTGTCACTTTCGCCCTCTTCCGTCATCTCGTAGTTGTCCTCCTCGTTCGGGGGCCCCTCCGCCTTTATCCGGGTCCAGTCGTGCGGTATGCCGATGCCCAGCACCGCATCGCAGAGTTCGTTTTTCTGTTTCAAAACGCCATTCTGGTCGACAACCATGCTGTTGCGCGCTCGCTTGTGGCTCTGCGACAGGGCACCGGGCGGCGTTCTGAATGATGAGTTGCGAAACTATAAGTAGAACCGGAGCAAAATACACCTTCAGAAAAAAATAAAAAGAGGCAAGTAATAGATAAATAAAAATTCATAGATATCATGATGTGTGGTGTGGAAACAAGGAGACCCGCACGAACATTTGTTTCAACATCAATAGTTTTCCTCTAGGTTTAGTCTTACCTGCCCCCGTCAGCCTTGTCTGTTGGCGGAACGGCGTTGTCCATGACACTTCGCCGCTGCAGCGTCCGCTTATTGTTCTTCGTCGTCTTGTATGCACTGCAAAAGATCAAAAGTATCGCTTTCGTACAAGTATGTAATGGCGCATGACACTACTTTCTGTCGCCTTCATCTTGTGATGAATCAGAATCTCCTATTCACCATTTTCTATCGTTCAGTGAAGATGGTGTACTTCATACTATAAATACGATATTTTTTTTGCAGTGCATATCTCATCGACCTCCATGGCAGAGGCGCCGGTGTTGTCAACCAGTGGCTCCGGCATTCTGTTGGATTCCTGGGGGCTGGTTTGTGGATTTTTACGTCGTGAACCGAAGGATAGCTGCCGTGTTAGCTAGCGGCACTAGAAGCAGGTCTGGAAAATGTTGAATTGCAGCTTTGTCCGCACCGGAAAGAATGGCTCAAGTTCGTGCCTCTGCAGTGAGAGCACAAACGGACCTCCTGCTCCTTCAGCCTGCGACGAGACGCAATTATTTTCTTCCTGTCTACTAACTAAAGCTACTGCTCTGGTCCTATCGATAATTATTGCGGTTAGCGGTCACTTCTTTTTTGCTCCCACAGCTTCTGCTTGCTCTTTTTCCGCCTTCTTTGTCGAGCCGAACCACTCGAAGGGACCGGAGAGGAAGATCAGCATAAAAATCGCAACGCCCGTAAAATTCACGACCACTCCGCGCGCGTCTTGATCCTCAATGACGCCACCCAGGTATCACAAGAAAAAGTGTTAATGTTAACGGTTTTCACAGATTGTAGTCATGCGTCACAAATGTAGCCCAATATGCATGCTATGCATGACAAACTCCGACACGTCTTGCGATGCATTTCTGCATCACATATTCCGTTAACGTTAAGGCTTTTTCTTGTGATACCAGGAGGTCGTCGAAGCGCTGAGAGGCTTGCTTCAGAGTGGAGATCACGGCGTCCATACTTGCAACAACGATTTCCTCTCAGCACAAGCTTTTTCAATTTGATGCATAGTAAAAAATCTCGACTAATTTCTATGCTACTCCCGATTGCACAAAAGCTAACTTTTCCTTTCTCCCTACAAAACCTTGCAGTGAAAACACGGTGAACAAACAAAATGAAATCATGTACTTACCAGGCAATATACGATGATGCTTCTCGTCGCAAAAGAACCCATAACACAGCTTTTGTCTTGCTTTGTTTTTGCGGCTCTACAACTCCTGAACACATCACGCCCACGGTCAGTGTGCCAGTACTATCTAGAAGCTTAACTTTCGCACTAGCGCTGTATTTTGAAAACGCCTCGGACAACAACGACAGAGCGGATACATCTTTGTGCAAAAAAAAGTAGTACATCACAGATATAAACTTTTCACCTCATCCCACATACAAGATCGATGCACGCTGCTGGACTTGTTAGTGTAAATGTTATTACAACAATTTGAAAAAATATCAGAATTAAATAATGGATTCGCAATTCTACACTTAGCTACACTGACTTCTCATTCAGTCGCAGCACTGAGCTAGACCTCCACAGGAACATGATGACAAAATACTACGTTTGCTCTGTTTGATGCAGTCGCAGTTCTTTCTCTCGGACTCGTCACAGACATCTATATCCATTGTAGTAGATGAACCTGCTACAAAAAATAAAAAATGTTCTGACGTCCGCACAGACACGGAGGAGTCTTCGGCTCACACGTCAAAACAAGCCTTAGCTGAGAAGCGTGACTTTCCACGACACGCGGGCCTTTACGTCCTGCGATGATGATGAAGATGATTTACGCATCTAGGGGGTCCATACTGTATTTAAAAATCATCAGTTGTGGAACAGAACACACTTTGCCCAGATATACGATCAAACAAGCCATGAGGCAGGCGCTGCTTAATGCGTCGCGTCTACTTTCAAATGCGCTCTGGTCGAAATACCGTTTCTGTGTTTTTCTCTCTCGTCTCACGGATCTGGTCTGTCGTCGTGCTCCGTCGCACTACGTATGTATGTGTAAATGAGAGGCGTTCATTCTCGATGCAGTCTAATGAGGAGCAACCACATCCACAGCCTCATAGGAAAGCTTCGTCAAAGTCAAAGATGGCAGAGGACAAGCAAGAAGTGCTACTTTTCAAATCGTTTTCGCCTATATTAAGGTAAGAACGTTGATCGGCCTCCTGGGGTTCTTCTCTATCAACCTCCACTACACCTTCGTCTAATATTGCGTCGAACAGCGCCTCGAAGGTGGCGACGTCCGTAGAGCCAGCGCTTTGAATCAAGTTCCTCAGATAAGGAAGGAAGGACGTAGTACCAGCGGCGGTTCGGGTTCTTATTTGCGTGGCAGTATCAATTGGCGCGGGATCATCATGGGGTCTAGTTCTCATTGCGCCGGCGCGGTGCCTATGATTGAGATGCAAATGATCTTCGCCCGCACGAAGCGCTTGCTGGTCGTGGTCCCAGGGACGAGATGACGCCCCATCTTCAAACACCACTTGGTCATCGTCGTAATCATCCATCATGTAGCTGGAACCGCAATTGATGTCGTCCTCGTCTTCAGCGAAAGACGTGCCGCGTTTGTCGGCCTTTCGACGTCTTCGTGCGGTAGTAGTCCCGACGCCTCCAACGTAGAAGTTCTTTTTGTCCAGGAGCAAGGTCTGTATCCGCTGGGATGCCGCTAACCTTTCCTCTAACAACGTCCACAGCAAGCGGTCCCGCCGGCGCAGCTCCGCCGCCTGTTGTCTGAGTTGATCAAGCACGAGGTCTCGTTTCCGCGCTCGCTGCTCACATCGGGTCGTGGAGGCCTGTACGATCCTGGTGCGTGGCGGAGGCAGAGCGTCTTGGGCGTGGGTAGTCATGGTATGACCGTTGGGAGCAAACTGTTCATGGTGGTCAACTCGTGCTGTTCTCCAACCGCTGCTGTTCTTGAACGGCGCCGGTGGCTGATGTACTCCTTGCAGTAAACTGGTCTGCGAGTTGTAGAACCCCCCTGAAATCGGTCGCCCAACGGCGTCCGCGGTGTGGGCGAGGGGGGGCTGTGCATGCGCCACACTGACGGCAGACACGCGAGTTGCGCCACCACGAACACCAGATACCATGACTCGCTAGCCCTCAGGCACAATAAATCAAAGCGAGGACGACGTTCAGGGGTCGTCTGTAGGTGATAAACGACTAGATTTGATCCTTCATTAGGAGAATTCATCCGCGAATTTTCAAAATTTTATTTTTATTGAGGTTGGTCGCCGAATGCGAAAAGACAACACCAAACTTAGCATCCATCATATATGACAACGCTCAGACTGAGGCGAGACATGCAGCAACTCACTGCATACTTAGTTAGTTTGCCCAAAATCCGCGAAACTTCAAAATTTTATTTTTATTGGGGCTCGAAACAAGATCTGAACTCAGGATGAAGATCAAGTATGGTGCCGGCCGGCAAAGCACAACTCTACCAATGCAGATCTTGACCATTTTGCGCTCGGATACTTCGCGAAATTTTAAAATTTCATTTTTATCGACTTCGAAATTCCGCGAATTTTCAAAATTTTATTTTTATCAGCGCACTTTGACTTCAGGAAATCGCATTACAACCATCATATGTCGTTAATCTTCACTCAAAATGACACAGAGCCTTCCTCCCATCCGTCTACGGCCACAAAGGAACCTTCTTCAAGCTTCAAATTAGCATTTTTCTACAAATTCGCTCTCACCAATCCGCGAAATTTCAAAATTTTATTTTTATTAACTCCAAAAACACAGACTGTCTTCCTAATTATGCGAGAAGATCACTTGTGGTCTGAGTGAAGACAACTTCGCCGTTTTCATTTGGCGTGCCAGAGAGCTGAGCGCACCGTCGTACGATTATGAAGCGCGGTCGTGTTGAATTCAGGAACACAGCGTCAAACAAGACGTAGAAAAATCGCTCAAGAAGCGACCACACCGCAAAGACAGCGCCGGAAGCTCGTCTCTCTAAGTGCGAGAAAATCGTACTGATGCATGGTTCGCTTTCGTTCGTCACTTTCTTAGCGTCTTAGTCACTCCTCTTGCTGGTGAATTTGTGCAAGTAGCTGAAGCTGTTCGTTAGATTTGCTGAAAAACAGGCACTGCTGCTATCTTCTGTCGTTCGTACTACCATGTCGCCCTTTTGTTGCGTAAAGAAGGGTTGATAAGCGCGATACTTCGTCGTGAAAGAAACATTCAACATCCAAGTCGCAGTTGCAAGTTAGTACTATTCCCTGTGAATTTCTTGCGTTCACCTTCAACAAATACAATTCGCCAGACGTAGGACCTTGTTCCTGGGCTCTTTATCGTTTCATCGTTAGCTATTGATGAGATTCATTTTTATTCCGGCGTTGTAGCAAGCAAGATTACAACATCTCCGCCCCGTGGTGGTAAATCAAACCTCGAATCAAAATTGATTCCTCACTGCTGCTTGCACTCCTCCGAGTTGACTTTCTTGTCGCCGCCGCCCTCACCGAGCGTGTTCCCCTCAGACGGTTTGAAGAGTTCCTTTGGCGGCATCTTCTCCTTCTTCTCACCATCCTCCCCGTCGGACGAGCCCTCGATCGATTCTTCGTCGTCATCCTCGTCCTCGTCATCCTATCGAAAGTTTGAATTTTTTTCATTGATGTAAAGAAGCATGTGTTATTCGCAGGGATGGTCTTAGTTCGGCATGATCGGGAAAGCCACCACTAGCTCCAGCAAACCAGTTTCATCATGATCTCCCGCAAAAAATAGAATGAACGTAGAAAAAAGAGCGTTACATCAGCACAAGACAAAAACTACCTCATCCTCGTCGTCCTCTTCGCCCTCGTCATCGTCCTGCGGCATTGCGTCGCCGGTGTAAAATTTCACCGCGTGCGGAATGATGTTGTTGTGCAGAGTGCAGGCAATTTCGTAGGCGTCGTCTTGAACTTTCTCCAGCGCTTCTTCGAACATCTCCTGCTGATCCTCTTCATCCAACTCCTCCTCGTGGTCCATGCTGTTTAATTTGTGTGATTTGGAATTCCGATTCGCCTTGCGTCATTCCTCTCAACATCTGGAATACCGTGATGCTGCAGGTTATGATCAACTGTCGTGCTCATCGCACACGACAACGTGCAGACTAATGTTACTCTGCATGGTGTTCTGCTCGTTGTTTTTGAGTGATGCAAGATCCACTCAGAGATTAGATAAAGGAGACACTTAAATTTATTTTCTTTGCATCATAACAAATATCGCGACCGAGAATTCGCAGAAAAGTGCATAAAACCCACCCTTTTCATTTACTTTTTTGCATCTATGCGTGAATGCTGCAAAAGGCAAACCAATTGACGTCCATACCATCGTTATTCAAGTCATTTTGTTTGGAAAAAAAATTCATGTACTGAAACACACTAAAACATGAAAAAGAAAAATGCACAACGGCAACTAAGTTAGTACATCAAAATGCAAATGGCAAACGCATAGTACTTTCTTCGAATTACTTGCATCGCCGGGCCACATCACTGCGCTGTCTGGGCGGTGTTGGCAAACAAAAAAAAAACACACTTAACAAGCAAGCTGCACGCGAAGCAGCTGAAAAAATGAATACCCCATTTCCTGCATCGCGTTGTTGAGCAAATCTTGAATTTCCTCCGGATTCTCAACGTCAATGGTTCGGAAGAAGGTTCGGAAAAAGGATTTTCGCGGTTCCTTCTTCAATACCGGCTTTTTTGAGGCGTTTTTCTTGTTCGCTCTCTGCTTTTTCATTTCGATCGTAACGTCCTTTCCGACCTTCCACTTAATGTCCTCCACCATCTTCACCTCTTTGCAGGTGATTTCGGTCAAGTGCTCGGACACAAATTCGGTTTCGACGATTTTTGTCAACTCGGTCTGCTCCATGAAATCGTTCTCTTCGAACTCGAAGGTGATCTGGAAACCTATTCGGGAAGTGTGTAAGAGTAAATGTCTTGTTCGTTACTGACAACAAGAGGTACACAATCACAACAGACAACTTCATCTTCATGTTGATCATCATACTTCATTTCCTCGGGGACTGTCTGTACTGTGTGATTGCTGTGCCACTTATTGACGTAGTACGCACCCCGCCTAATTTGCAGCTGACATGGATGAAGAAATGCAAGACCAGCGCCCTAGTACAAAAGTTCTTGCAAGCATTTTTACAAAAAAACTTCTATACCATTCTGTCCCATTTCCTCTGGGTCCGGCAAGTTTTCGCTTCGGACGTTCTTCAAATGCTTCAACACCGGCAAATCGTGGGGCATAATCTCGTCGGCCAGCACGGGGTGGGATTTCAGCACGTGAATCCAAAAATTCGGGACCTCCTCCTTCTCCGCGACCACCTCGGATCGTTTCTGCAAAAACTCGTCTTGCATCTTTTGGTACTTCTGGGTCAACTTGTAACTTTCCTTCATAAACTCCTTCTCCAGTTTCATGTAGTTGGCGTCGAATTCCAGCAATTTCTGGACCGACGGGTTATCAAATGTAAAAATGTCTGGGTCTGGGAGATTGCGAGAAGATTTGTCATACTAGTCTGGCATGATTCTGAATTCTGCGTTGCATGGCCGCGAAGAACTCCTCCTCCCTGTCATGCAAAAAACGCAGTTTGTCATGCGGAATACGCAACTCAGAACCATGAAAAAAACTTGTCATGCTTGGCAGCGCATCATAGTGAGTTCACTATTCCCTTTCTTGCATCACAAGTTTCCAGACCCAGACATTTTTACATTTGATACGGGTGGTCCTTTTCCAGTTTCGGGATGTCTTCGACCTCGCCCGGCATCATCGAGGGGGGTTGGGACGGCATTTTTTCTTTTCGCAGCGATTTAGGTTTACTAGATGATAGCAAGGAGATGGTGTAGTCAGAGGTGACGTCGGCACGATATTGATAGTTCGTGTCGTCGCTTGGAATAAATGAAAATCAAATTTCTACTCCTGATGCAAAAGTAAGTAGGAGAAGCAGAGCAATAGTATTCGCTTGTGGCGAGTCCTTAAAATCTTCTGGCTTACTCCTGCGAGCTACGGAGAGACTACTAAGCCTGTCGAGAATATACTACCGGGAAAGGTCGTGAAGTAATCGCGAAAGTCAAAGTTAACGTTAAGTAACTTCGATTCGTAATAATTTTTTTCGTCGCGGCTTGCATCCCGAACTGACACATGGATCCCTGATTGACATTTTGGATCCGGTTCCGGATCGACCAGAACATATCGAGACCGGTGGATCCGCTTTTTCAACCGGCAAAGATCTAATTTGCGCGCACTTCTCTGCCTTTACCCTTAGCTAAGAGGACCGGCAATGTGGATCATCTGCACGCCATAGTTTCTGATCTCAAAGAACCTTCGCTCAGAATCACAATCGAGCGACTTGCAGCACATCCTACTAGAAGTGCCATTTGCTTTATTTCCTAGGACATCACCTACACCTGGAGCTGGGTCATGATCTTCAATATGCGTTGTATGGAGTATGTAATTTCTTTCACTTGGTAGTTCCGCTTCCCGTGTTGATGACGATCTGCTTGTATCAGAGTGATCGCCTTGCCGACGGGGCGTCATTGTGGCCTTCTCGTCACGTTAAAGCTCACCATAGTGCGGCCATAATCATGGACTGTACGAACTTGCTCAGCATGTGCCTGTTTGAACAAGCTAAGCTAATGGCGCACGTATTGAAATGAAAGATTTTTCCACTGTCTTCAAATTCCGTCGCTTCTTGTGCGAAGAATTTTCAAGAAGTTTCCACTTGGTGAGTAGCGCAGCACCATCTGCGTGTGATTTGATCTATGTCTGTTGAGGCACAAAGACAAAGGTGCAGCTGCAAGTAGAAATGCCTTGTGCAACATGACAAGCGCGACAATACCACGATGAAGATATTTCTTCTTCTTCTTCTCAGCACGTTCCCCAGCGACCTCCGACCGTTCCAAATTTGCATGCTCCGAGGAGTCTGACTCTGCTGCCGGTAACGGAGCTGCACCTAAGAGCACGCACTACCACTGCTCAGACGCTGTCAGTACGCAGTGGTAAGTAGGTATGCGTATTTGTTTCAGAAAACAATCCGCCAAGAACACGACCACGTAGAACTCCTTTACAGTTTCCAGCCATACCGCAAGGCCCGCATCTGGTGGTTCCGCACGAGGCATTCGTCGACTTTTTGTTTCAACCGCGGGCTCGGGAAACTGCAGTGCAATTTCAGTAAGGTGTTATTGTACTTTGCCAGATTGTCCGCCAAACTCCCGGCAAATGAGGTTTGGACACCAGCAGCACGACTGATGTGGTCGTTCTTGTGCTGTTGCTGCTCGCCGACACCGCCACTCGCGCTGTTCACCACGACCACGGCAAACATCGACAGCACCTGCAGCCCGTAGTTCTTCCCAACGGCCGCTGCGAAGTTCGCCAGAAGTTCGGTCGCTCGACCTTGCATGTTATGGGCGGACGAGGGGATCACCAAGTCGTTTTCGGACAGATCCAGGTACTTCAGCGAGCTGTTGCGCGCTACCACGTTTGTCAGCAATTCTAGCACGAGAAAGGGGTCCATGCCGGTGATTTCTTCCCGGAACAGCCCGCAGCCGTGTAAATCTAGGTGCCTCAAGTTCGTGTTCAGCTGAAGATACTGCTGCTTGGTATAGAATTTCTTCCCGCAAACATCTCCGCCGAGGGCCTTGAACAACTTCGGAAAGAAGCGTTTCTCCACGAAGCTGGATGGAAGAGACGTCAGGCCGGAAAAGCTGACGCTCTGCAGCGTTTTGTCGTTGAGAAAAATGCGGTGGACGAGTGTCAGCAGGTATTTGCCGAGTCGCGACCGCGGGTTGGTGCGCATGATCCTAGTCCGCAACTCCTTCACGGAAAAACAGTGGTCCAGCACATGCCGGAAGTCGTTGAAGGTGCTTTGCTTCTTCGGTGGCGCTGACCAGGAGGACGGGCTTGCAGACGAGCTGCTGGGTTTACTTTGTTCCTCCTTGGCTGCTACTCCTGAAAGTGGAAACAGTCTCTCAATGATTTCGGCTTGCGTCTGTTTCTCATTCAACATTTCGTCAACATCCTTTGTTCCTGCTCGCCCTGCCGGGCTGGTCAGGCCTGCAGCCGCGGCCGCAACGTCCATCGGTTTCAAAAAGTGCCAACAAAAGCTACTCCATTTCGCTTTCTGCGACGCTGCCAGTTCTTCCTCCATCCGGTGGTCTTTGCTGTAGAAAAACTCAATCGTCGGCTTATTTTTGCTCACATTCACCCGACAATGCAGCGGCAAACCGCGAATGGTGTAGTGCTGCGTGTGAGTCACAGTCAGAGACGAATTGAAATTATTGTTCTTGTCGTCGCTGCCAGTGATATAAGCGGATGTTCGTGCTCCACCCGTGCTGGTACTTCCTGCTGTCTCGAAGTACCCGCGCAAATACGCTTTTCTGATCACGGTTTTCGGCTTCTTCACCATTCTGGAAGATCGCTTACTGCTCCTTCTACTACTCCCGCCCGGTCTCATCATCTCACCTAATGGCGAGGACGCCGGTTGCTGCACTAGTCCGGGTTTATTTGTGAACGTTGAGAGACTCATCCTTCGGTTTTCGTCTACAACTAGAGACTGTGTTGATGTGTCGTTCAGTGTTCTGACCGCGACTTTTTCCAACTCCGCCTCTAGCCCGAAGAAGGTTTCCTCTTCGGTTTTGGAGATCACTGAGGCCGTGTCTATGGCAGAAGAAGAACCGCCTCCAGTGCGCGCCCTGTTCACCGACCTTCTGGACGTACGCGAGCGACGGCGCGGAACTGGGTCGCCGTCGGCGTGGCTGGGTTCCTGCCCCGCCGACTGCGGTAGTCTAGTTGGGGAGAAAATGTCAGCTGTCGGCGAAGGGGGTGTCTCGTCACCGCTATTTTCGCCGACTCCCCCTCCCGCTCCTGGGAGAATTCGCGCGGGGATCTCGCTGCTGTGCATCCCTTCGAAAATCAACCTGCTGCGGGCCGCTCCTTGCTCCTGCGCTTTCGTGTTTATCTTTATTCGGTTTGGTCGTGGTGGTGGTGCGATGTCATGTCTTCTGCTAGTACTCCCGTCGGCCCCCGCACGTCCTGAATGATCTCTGCGTGAAGAAGAGGAGGATTTTTTTACCTTCAGGCCGCCTCCACGTATTTCCGGCGATGACCAGGGCTCACTATCGCTTTGTCCCCGTAGTTCCGCACAGGAACTCGAAGATGATCCGTATGGCTGCTGATAGTCAAATCCTCCTCCTCGTTGTTGGAACAAGTTTGGAACTTTTTCGATAAACGGAGCCCCGCCCTGGTCTTCGTCTTCGTCGCTGCTTGACCCAAGTCCACTTTTTCCCCCACTCTCGCTCAAGCCTTTCTTCATTTTCAACCGACGCAGCTGCGCCTGCATCCTCGCCAGGTCTGGTTTCGGAGGCGAGTCTGGACATCTTTCCACGGCTAAGGCTTTCCGAGGCTCGCGATTTATTGAGTCCACCTCGAAGATCTTTTCGCCAAAGCTGTTTACAGACGTGTCCGGATCTTCCTCCTGGTCCTGGTCGCTGTTGTCTTCGTAGTACAGCGATGCATGTTCTGGAGCGACGGCTTTTTTGTTCTTCCGCTGTTGACGAACAGCATCTTCGACTGCTCCTTGTTGGGGTCCTCCTGCCTCCCTTGTTCGCGACGCTCTTCGGCGCACTCCGCCAGACATCGGCACGCTGCTCGGCTCAGCAGCGCCACCTCCCGCTGCACATGAAAGCTCGCTTTCGTCGAGGGAAAAGGCTTTCGGCCTCCCGGCAGCTGCGAGGACAGCGCTCGGCCGTCTATTTCTCGTGGAGAAGACATTGCGACTCCTCCGCCGATCCTGCATGGTCATCGGATAGTTTGAGGAGCTTCTGTCTTCGTTGTTGCTCGTAGTTCCGCCTCCAACAACGTACCTCTCCGCAGAGCTGCACCGCGCCGGGGCAATCTTGTTCCTCGAGGCCGAACTCGCTGTCGAGCACGCGCTCACCGGTCTCTGCAGAAACTTCTGCTGCAACTCGGCGCACTCCTCTTCCAAACTCCTGGTATTCCCCCGCGTGAACTGCGGCACCACGGCGCGGGCTTTGCCAAACAAGGACCGGTTGGAGACCGCGGATTGCGGACGAGCTTTCATCTGGCCTTGATCCGCGGCTCCCGAAGTAGCTTTGGAAGTACTCATCTGCTTGACCCAGGAGCTTGGGAACAACGGCATCTCGTGCCGGCCTTCGAAGAAAAGACGTGGCTGAGGAAGACCGTTCTTTTGGGTCGTCGTCACATCACCAGTCGTCCCACTGTTGCTTCGAATTATACGAGAATCAGTCGACCTCCACGTCGGCGGGAGAGAGCTGCTGCTGGATGGGGCTGTGGTTTTCCTGACGAAGTTGGAGACCCAAGAGGAAGCCAAAGACGTGCTCGCGCCCCTGCGCGAGTAGTTGTTCTTCGGTGACGAAGAAGATGAACGCGCGCTACTCGAAGAATCTTCCTCCTGCGAGGAAGACAAACTTGACCGAATCCGTTCCGTTCCCGAGGAGGAAGACATGGGAGAACTCTTCACCGGTCGCTTCTCGAAAAACCGGACCTCGGTGGTGTTCTGTCCAAACCGGACCTGTTTGCTCATCGGAGCGACAAGAACATCTTCTCTACTGCTAGTGCTGTTGCTAGGCACTGCGGCGTTCAGCTGGGGAGGTAGCATGATCGCCTGTGACGCTAATTCTGTGCCAGTTGTAGCGGTTTCTCTTCCTGCCCCCGTGTCCGCTTCATGTTCATCAGCATGTTGTTGCGAGGAAGCGGATGGCTTACTCAGCCTCAAGTCCTCTGCGACTGCGGCGAGGAGCGGGGAGTCTTTTCGGAACGTCTGAATGTCGAGCTCGTCGATGAGTGTGCCCACTTCCTTCAAATGGTTCATTTCGATTTCTCCTGTCGTGCTACATGTCGCGCTGCCTCTCCGGGCATTTTTCACCCTCGGGATTCTGCCAGACGTAGCAGTCGCTGCACCAAGTCCGATTCCCACCCGTGGTCCAATGGCAGCTGAAGTAACTCTTCTCTCTGGGTAAAAGTGCAACTTCTGCAACGCGTAACCACGGCCTTCTTCAGGCTTCGGCATTCGGGGTGGTGGGCCGCCCAGAACAGCTGGCCGCATGTTGCTCCGCGACGAAGTTGAAGAATTTATTGCGCGCGTAGTGGTTCCACCGCTCGATAGAGGCATGAAGCGAAAAACTTCGTTTGGCTGCGAGGGACTAGAAGAGCCCGCGGCCTCTGATTTCGTATTTGCTGAAAGTCTCCTCACCGCGCGACTTGCTCTTGCAGTGGTCCCCTCATCAACACCTACAACGTCCTCGGCGTGAGGCGCGGCAACTACAGATGTCGATGCTTCTGCTGCTGCTGCAGCTCTCGCTGATGCGCTGACCAGCCTCTGGCGGGACGTTGATTGGGTTTTTTCAAAACCTCGAAGGTGGTACGACACCGACTCGTTTAAACGCTTCGTGCTGTTCCAAGGAACCGGATGGACCGGTTTGTTCGAGGTGGTCGGTCTGTGACCTCCATCCTGTTTGCTCATCTTCCCAGGAGGCTGTGCTTCTCGACTGCCAGAAAGCGAACTCGTTGGCGTTGTTCTCGTCGGTTTTTCCGTCGAGGGTACCACGAGCGTCGACGAACTACGGGGCGGCCCCGGCCCACCTGAAGATCTCAAATCGAGCTCTGTTGTATTCGTTCCACCACCTCGCAACGACGTCGCAAAGCCATAGGAGTGCGTCTCCGCGACCGGGCCGTGGGTTGCCGTGGACCTTGCGGGCAACACGGGCTCGTAGCGCTTTAGCGATGCTCCTGCAGACGTACTAGTTTTCGAAGTAGAGCTTGTGGCAGCAGAGAACGATGAGGCTCCACTCCTTGACGCTGCATGTGCTTGAAGTTGCGCCTGCGCAGGGGCTATCGCGCTCCTTCCACTCTGCTTCTTCGGCGCGGAAAGAACTGCTTGGACGTCGTAGCCAGATGAAGTTGCCTGTGAGCTAGACCTCGACGCTTCTGCTGCTGAGAGGGGTCTATGTTCCTGCTTCCCTGCGCCCTGTAGTAGGCGCATCGTGTCTCCGACGTCTCCTTCGGGCTCGAGAACCTCCAAACCGTTGCGCTTCTTGTTCCGGAGCGCTTGGATCCGTTGGACTTCAAGAGCAAGCTTTTCCTGCGCGATCTTCAAATTCTTCAGCTCGGCAAGTTCGGAAACGATGGAAATGGAGGCGGAGTAGTCTTCTCTTTCATCTTCATCCTGTAGCTCATCTGCAGCGCCGTTCGCGTTGATGCCCACTTCGGCTTCGTTCTGGTGGTCTACTCGAAGGCTCTGCACTTCCATCGCAGCGCCAACTCGCCGCTCGACTTCATCTGCTTCAAGAACCGGTGGCGAGGCGGGCGGAAAGGTGGCTTCCTGGTGATCCAGGGGACTCTGCCGTGACTGTGGTAGCTCAGTGGCCTTCGCCTTGATGTTCTTCTCGTCGTCGGCGGGGCGATTTGGCGGGCATGATCTATCATGAGCATCAACATGATCATCATCTTGGTGAGCCTCCTGTGTCGGGGTAGCCTTGTTAGGCGTGTTCTCCTTGTTATCCTCGCACCTCTTCTGCTCTGCATCTGCAGTGTTTGCAGCTACTGAAGAAGCCAGTTCGTCGCCCGGCGAAATTACACGACCTCCGCCGCCAATCACCATAGACCGGACGATCGAACCTCCACTCCCACTTCGGGTGCGCTTCCCGCGCCCTGCCGCTGCAGCGATTTTCTTTATTTGGGTCATTTCGTCCGTTCCCGTTGAAAGAGATCCTTTGCCACCTTCCGTGCGTGCGAGTGCCTCCTGTTGCGCCTCCTCTCTCTTTCGCCGCTGCTGCGCGAAGAACTGCAGGGCTTGCTGTTTTCCCTTGAATTTCGTGCTGGATTTGCTGCCAGCGGTTGCGTCGGTGCCAAGCAACACCATTCGCTTTGTGTGGTCTTTGCCCTTTCGGCTTGCTGCTGCTCCACCAGGGGGCTCAAAATCTTCCGTGGCGGTCGGATAGAACAGGTACGGTTGCAGGAACTCCGGCCCGACCGCGTGCTGTTCCTCGGATGGATACGACGTCGCGTCAGCTGTGTTTTTGGACGAGCCGTTGGTGATCGTCCCCTGCTGATGATCGTGATTGGAGGTTTTGCTCGACGACGTTCTTTTGCTGTTTTGCTGCGACGAGCTCGAGCTGCTGGTTTTTGACGAGGCGTTCGGCGGAGAGCCTGCGTGGACGCCGTCGATGTTCATCATCGTCGTACTTTGACGCGCGGCCGTTTTGACTCCGGTACCATCGTCCGTCAATTCAGCACTCTCCGTGCCGTCGATGATAAGCTCTTCGTCTGAGTCGGCGTCCTCCGCGTCATCTTGCGCTGGCTGCGGAGAGCGAGATCCTGTAATTGAGGGTGTGACAGTACCTTTCGTATAATAGAACAACTTTGCATTTGCTGGATCGATCAAGAAATCGAAAGACTGCTTGAGGGCTCGTAGAAAACAGAGAAACCACCTCTATATCTAGTGCCTCACTACCTTCGCTTGGCGACGCTTCTTCTAGCACCTCTTCTTCTACTCGGAGCTCCATTCGCACGCTTTTTTCGCTTTCCTGCACGATCTTTGCCGTCGCATTTCGCAGTTGCGTCGACCATAGGCCGGTGATGTTGGGGACAGTGGCGAAAGCCTTGCTATTTGCAGGAGGAGCTGTGGCCAAAGAACTTGATGATGCTCCAGCAGCTGCAGCACTAGAAGTTGCACTGGTACTACCTCTCCGTCTCTTTCTCCCAGCGCTACCCCCCGCACTATCGCTGTAATCTCCAAAGAGCAACTCGGAGGACAGAGCCCCGCGGAACAGCGCCATGCCGAAACTGGCGGTTTTTTGTCTTTTCGTTCGCTTCTCGTCAGATGGGCTGGAAGTTGTGCCAGCTGTAGAAGATGAAGAACCTCCGCCAACAACTTCTTCCTGCCAGTAATCATACGGCGTTTCTAGCTTGGCCCCCGGCCAATCCTCGATCCGGGTGTCCACAACGCGTCCCGTGCGGTTTGCCAGACGGCTGTTCCGTGCGGAATGCCCCTTGTACTGCGCTTTCACCACCACCGCGATTTTATCACAGGCGAGTTTCAACTTCTCGACCGGCAAGGGGATGTTGATTGATGATACAACACCCGACGTTGAAGAAGATGTTCCTATTCCTTCATCAGTTCGTCTTGTGTAGTGATTGTTCCCGCTAGGTGAATAGAATTTGTCGGCAGTGACAAATTCCTCCAGCATTCCGTACAACCGGCTAAGTCGGACCGCGTGCGGCTCGTCCGCGAAGATTTCGTACAACAGCGTGCGGCAGTAAGCATTGTCAGAACTTGCAATTGGACCAAGGAAGTTTTTGTTCACGGCGTCAAGGATTTTGTCGCAACAAAGAAAGAAATCCGCTCGGCACTGCTCGTGTTTGGTGATGGTTTCGCCTGCTCCACCAGCTGCTGACTGCAATTGCTTCGCTTTTTGCAGGAAGACATATAGGGAGACTTGCAATTCTTCCAGGAGATTGTCAAACGCCGCCGCGAACAAGCACGCGTGCTCTGGGTCGAAGAAGACGGACATCGAGGAAGTCGACATGGCGTTTTCTCACTTTCCCAAGCAACGAGATCCAGAAGATTGAACTTCTATATACAGAAATACAGACAAATGCATGCGTGTCAATGTGGTTGTGGACGCGCAATCACCGTCTTGGCTTGTATCGCAGCCAGCAACAACGTCGACATTGAGAGTTGTAGCTCCCGCGGCGTAGGCCGCGTACAATCACTCCGCTATGAATTTGCCGCTGCGAAGACGAGCATCGCCCTTTTCTCTATCCCTCCGTGACAGCGCAAAGGTCGTGAAGAAATCGAAGCGCAATTCTTTCACCCCGATTTCTACTTCGATACTTCTCCGGTCCTCTCTCCTTTTGCACTCATGTCTCTCTGATGTTGTGCTCAAGCGGAGCAGCGAATCCGCCGAGCTGGAACGCACTGTAAGTGCCCGCCCTGGGGACGACCATGAGCTACATCGATTCATCTGATTTTTTTCTCTTTGCGACCGAAAATTAATGAGACCGCGACTGGAAGAAAGTCATCTGTATTTCTGGTTGGGGTTTCCCTTTCCTGTGAGTTAATATGTCGGATCATGTATACAATTTGATCTTGGTCTTCTCACTCACAAAGGTATTCGAGCGTCATCTTCACTTGTATGAGAAATATCCGCGCTCGAGCCTCGTATGGATTTAGAAGTAGAACTTTGTTTGATTATACCGGTCGGTTATCTCATTTGAATATTCTGAGTCAGATGGGTAGCCGTCAGGATCGAGCTCGTCGTAATAATGAATAGCCTCCCGCGCTAAACCCATTTCATCAAGGTCGTCAGTAGCGACTATGTCGTCCAGTAACTCCGCAAAGTCACCCAACGTGCACAACTCCTCGTAAACTGTGGGCCCCATGAAAAAAATTGCGCAAAGCTCGGGGCCGTCTTGCGTCAGCCACGTGTTGGAACCCAAATGCTCCCGCGCCTTGTTTCCATCGATGGTATAGTGGTCCACCATGTACTGGTACACGTGTTCGTCACGCAAGTCCAAATTGCGTTCTTCGGTTGCCGTTTCGTTCGGGACGAACACGGAATGGGCATATTCTCTGGCCTCGCGCTCGTGAAGATTGATCGCGGTTTCCTCGATGTAGTTGAGCTCATCGCGTTGGCCACAACCCGACCCACAACGACCAAGTTCTTCGTTAAAATAGAGTCGGCGGGTAAGCGCCTCGTCCCAAAACTCCGCCTCGTAAAAAATGGTTTCGTCTCTATTTCGAAAGAACTCACATCGTTTCGCATGTAGTTCCGGCAAAACAGTGCTGCAGGATGGAAGGAAAACCCGCAAGCGAGCACCAAGTTCTACACGGACAGCAGCGTCTTGCAAATCCAACATAGACGAAGTCGAAGCACCAGCATCTTCGACTCCATCTTCGCCTTCCGCTCCAGCGGGAGAAGAGGCGCCATTTTTCCCACACTGTCTTGCTGCCTCGCCTTCTGATATTAATTCCCGATTCATATCTTCGAACCGCATCACATCCTCGGCGTTCTCCGCTCCCAGGCGCACGAGTTTGGCCGGCATCCGCCAGACAACGCCCACCCTCTTTTGCAACCACCTCGCAAAACGGTCTGGCTCAGGCCACATCAGCGCCGGCGGAGTCTCACAAGAGCCGTCCTCGTGGTTGTAAAACAAACTCTGCGGGTCTGAGAGAGCTTGCGCGAAGACCAAGCGAGCATCTTCGACCGATATCGTCCGGGTCCCCGGATCGAACGACAGACAAGTGACGTCCCTAGTAATCGGTGGCAGCTCGTCTTCGTCGGATGAGTCCTCGTCGGCTGACTCCTCGTCGGCTGAGTCCTCGTCGGCTGAGTCCTCGCCCGCTGAGTCCTCGTCGGCTGAGTCCTCGTCGGCTGAGTCCTCGTCGGCTGAGCCCTCGCCTGCTGAGTCATCGTCGGCTGAGTCCTCCTCCTCGTCCTCCGGTTCATCCGAGGATGCTGAGGATGGCAGAGAATCAACATGGGAGATGAACCGGTTGACCTCCTCGTCCAAGGATTCGTCTGCGAGCGAGTATCGACGAGTATCTCGGCTTCGTCCGCGATCTTGTTTTCCCTTAGCCTCCTGAGAAGCGTCAGCATCTCCATCTTCATCAACCTCGGCTGTCGTATGACGTTTTTTCGCCACTTCCGCCACCGCGCTTTCGTCCTTCTGGCCGGTGTCATTTCCTGCTATCGGTGCGGAATCTGGCCCATTGGGAGGCGTTTTTAGCACCTCGTCCCCCGGAATCACAATCGGCAGCGTGATCTCTCGCCCGGATGCCTGAATGAAGGTGATTTCGAATTTTGTGAAAGAAGGCTCACGCCGGGCAAGGGGCTTGTCATCCTCGTCGTTGCTGCAAAGTTCTAGCTCTTCCAATGATGTTGATTCCGCAGCACCGTGTTCATCTTCCTTCGCCCTCGACGGGGACGCCGGGCAGACAGGCGCGCCACCTAAACTAGCGGGTGCCCGAACGACTACGATGGATGTAGCAGCAGCGTTTTCGTGATCGCGTTCGTGCGTCGTGGCAGGAGTCTTCTCGGTATCCTGTCCCTGGTCTAGAGAAAGGCGAAAAATCGGGTTTTCGTCAAGCCAGAACTCAGATGTCTCGTCAGAGGTTGAAGCGCGGGCCGCGTCCGTTTCCGCATCTCGCCGAGCCTCGCGCTCCAACTCCAACAGCACAGCCTCCTCGACCGACGACCGAACGCGAACGGCGCCTGGTTCTCTGTCGAGATCAGCCATTTTTGCGTTGAAATGCGAAGCAGATTCGCTTGAAGCGACTAGGAGCTACCAAATACTTAGAGACGAATGACGAGTATGCATGGGTCTTTCCCGCGGGTACGAATCACGAACCGAGCACGATGCAGATGTAGCTCTTTCTGATGTAGAGATCGTTCACGTTCTGTATATCTTCTTGTTTGGAGGTTGTTCTAGTTTTCTTTCGCTACAACAGATTTTCCTAAGTACTTGCAATGACGCGCCCTGCTTTTTCACAAAAAATCAGAACTACTGTTGAGCGCGGCAACATTGTTGCACACGGCACCAAACATATTTACTTCTGTGCATTGATTTCGTAAGTTGCTGTCAACTACAGAGAATGAACATGAAACTCTCTTATGCCATGAAGTTAACAGATCTCATCGAATCAGACGAGGTCTGAGATAGCTGCTTTTCGGGAAGAACTATCAATCAGTCCAGAGTACACGCAGTATATACGATCAGCATAAAGAGAAGCAGGCGAATTCTTTGCAGCAAAAGCTGAAGTCCTCGACCTGGCGGTGCTTTCTTCCAGCTCCCACCTTCAAAGGCTACAACGCTAATCTCTGTTATATTTCGTGAAATATTTACACATATGTCTACTCGTCAAAAGCGGCGTATCGTGTTCATCATGCAAAATAAAACAGGCCCTATTGATCTAGTTTCAATCACCAATTATATCGATCAGAGCTTCAATAACATTGTCTCGAAACCGTAATCGCCAATTTTGGTTGGATAAGGACATAAAGTGGCCAGATTGCATAGATGTGGTAGAAAACAAGTTTTGGTACCAAAATCAACAAACTCTTTCGCGCAAACGAAGAACTCGACTTGATATCAATAAGGTTTTTTTGGACTTTGAAAAATCGAGAAAATTTAAGTCTATCGCGACCTATCGGCATGATAGTACTCAGACACGACTGGGACTGTCGTGACTGAGGGCGAGCATTTTCTTCTTACTCGCAATGTAGCAAAGCAGTACATCACGCAGCACATCTATCGTAATCATGCTACTTCGCCGGTCTTTCCTTTGAATTTTGCAAAAGTTTCATCTTCAAGTTGCCGCATGCGGCTTATCCGTATGTGGGATACAGTGTCGCCGGGCACGTGCTCGTTCCAGCCGAATAGTAGCAAAGTGTTTCCATTTCGGTTTCGGCGACCCTTGTCGCCTTGGATCCGCGCGGGCGGGTAAGAATTCGGTTCACTTTGGATTTCCGAAGAGGACCTCCAGACGCGAAGGGAGGAGTTACACTGAGACCACGAGATGAGGACGACGCCGTGGAGGTACACGACTGTCGGTGCGAACCGTCTTTGTGCTGCACCATTGCTGACTCTTGTTCAAGTTCTCGGTCGTATTCCTGAGCACGGATTTTTAGACCTGGCAACTCGACCGCGATCGTGTCTATTTGTAGTACGTCACTTTGACGAGGACCGCGTTCAGCAGCATGATGGTCACGCGGTGCAACATGTCGCCTGAAGTCGTGAGGTTCCTCCTGGTCATCTACCCCAGTGAAGTGATGTTCGCCAGTGCGGCTCGTTATCCTGTTACCCGCGGCGGACTGCCGGCGCTCCCGGGTAGAGGAAGTTCTCCGCTCAGCCTCGTTTTTGATGTTCTTCAAGTTCAAAGAACCAGCCACAGATGTGTTGTCCCCCCGACCACTCAGCCTACCACTCGCCGTTTTCGCTTTGTTCGACGCTGTGCTCCTCTTGAAAGAGGGCACAAGAACTTGATGTTGTCCACTAGCTCTTCCGACGCTGATCCTATCACTGGACATCGTGTTTCCTCGCTTTTTTTCCTCGGGCGGTTTCCGGAAAAGGCGGAAGGAATTACTGGTGGAATCATTCGACGTGCGGTGCGATCGCCGCTTGATATTTTCGCGCTGTTGTAACTCCAATTCTTGTTCTGCAGCATGCTGCCTTTCGGCCTCTCTCTCCTTTTCTTCCTCCTCTTTAATCTGCTTCATCCGCTCGTGCCGAAGTTGCGCCACCTCCGCGAGGCCCTTCATCGTCCCAACGACCTGATCCCGCTCCTTCTCAACGCTCTTCTTCTCGTCTGACAGTGCACAACTACCCTCCCCCATCATTTGTCACGCAAAATCCCAAATCCAGCCGCTGCCTCCCTTGTAGCGCTGCTTGCATGACAAATTATGCAGGTGGAAACCCAACAAACAAAAATACTACAGTCGGCGCAGGAATTTGCCATGCTCAGGCCTCAGGTGTGCTGGTGATTGTGTTGCTTTTCATGCCATACAAGTGAGGGGGAGGGGGAGTTGTGCACTCTCATATCTCGTCGTGCAGACTGTGGATCATCTTTTCGTAGTGCTCCGCGATTTTAAATAAGGCGCCACCGGCAATCGTGACGAGACAGGCAAGAATCTGGAGTTCGGAGACCACCCCGGAGTTGTCTTGACTGTCAGAGGACTGACTAGCACTTCCTGTTGCGCCTACTCCACCAGTTGAAGTTCCACTTCCGCCCCCCGCTGTTGCTGGAACGAGGAACATGGTGACCAAAAACACCGTACAGATCATTTTGATCGACTCGACAATGGTCATGTTCAGCATGTCCAGCGTCTTCACCAGCCAAAATTTGGTCGCGTACTGGCAGAAAAAGATCAAAAACACGCTGCAAGCAGTGAGAATCTGGGACTTCATCCACATCCAGTCCAGCAGGTAGTACCGCACCCAATGCCGCAGGTGGTCCCGCTCGGAGATGCTCTGCTTGCCTGATGCGGAGCCGGTAACTGGGTTAATTTTCCCGTCGTGGTCTTCCTGATGTTGTCCTGCTCCAGTGGACTGGTCAGAAGTCGTACCACCATCCACCATGTTTATTTGCCCGCCTGAAGACCTAGACCCCCCGCCTGGCTGCTGTGCTAATCCTGATCCACTGCTTATTCCACCGCCCCCCAGCCCCGCAAGAATCTTCCCCAATCCGCTGCCACTGCCGTGAAACGGGGTTGCGCCCGGCGGGCCGAGTGGCCCACCACCAGCTGGATCCCTTTGACTCACAGGAGGTGGTCCTGCTCCTCCGCCACCACCTTTATTGCTCCTGCGGTGCATCATGGCTTTTACGATATCGAACACCTTCTCTGCCCGCTCTTTCTTCTTTTCCTTCTCACTCAAGTCCCCGTGCTCCATCGCATTTTGCACGACCTTCCACTTGCTCTGCTTCGAGAGCTGCGAAGTGGATGAACTACTCCGCCCAGTGGATCGCTTCGAACCCGACAACGCGGAAAGACCGCTGTTCGCCAAGGGGTTTGCTTTCTTATCATCTTGTCCTGCTCCCACTGCTGGCCCTACTCCAGCACCCCCAACTCCAGCAGCCGCAGTCCCAGTTGATGCCTTTTTCCTATGTATGCTTTTAAAAATTCCTTTCAACTTGTTCACCTCCTGGCTATCCAGGTCCTTTGGTGCAGCTGCGCCGGTGTCGCGTTGATTTCCTTCAGGGGCTAACTCCCGCAGCATATTCTTCCGGCGACCGACAAAAAGGCCCTCTCCATTGTCGGTCGGCACCTCTGCCTCGTTGTACGGATCGTTCATGAATTCGTCAAACGAAACCCTGGCGTCGTCGGAGTGCCTGCTATTCGACGGAGCTCCTTGTTGTCCATGTCCTAGCGTTGGTGCAATTGTTCCTCGCTGTGAAGAGGTAGTTCCTCCATCAACACCTTGCTGGTGCTGGTCTACTCCTTGATGTTGAACTTCCCCTTCTGGTCGTGCTGCAACTCCTCGTACACGACCCCGCCCGCTTCGCTCCTCCGCGCGTCCCCTTGAAGACGAGGAGGACGAAGATAAAGACTGCTCACCAGGTGGATCATGAATAGTGGTTCTTACACTGCTATTTTGAAATTCCGACGATTGTGGTTCACCATCCTCATGCGACAGCGCATCAACATCCTCCAGCCCCGCGAGACCCGTAGACCTCGCAACCGGGGTCTGCTGCCTCTGGATGCGGCCCGGGTGGGGGGGTGCGGGTGGGGGTGGTTCGTGGTCCTGAGCTTGAGCTAGGAGGTTGTTGAAGCTAGGATCTCCCGCGAAAACGTCGTTCCGCATTCTATCCAAATAGTAATCCCCAGGCTCCTCTCGGTGCACAGGTTCCTCGTAGCTAAAGACCAGGCCGTTTTCCCCCTGGCGAATCTTGGTCACCTGTCCGTCAAACGTAACCCTCTTTTTCGGCCGCCGAAACACGACAGGACTGTTACTGCTATCCCCGGTGTTGCTGGTCAACATTCCGTCCTGTGACGAACTTAAGTCCGACGCGGAGGAGGCACTATTTGCACCAGCTCCCAGCATCGCCGTCGTCCCACCAAATGTTGTGGTGGAACTGCTGCTGCTCGCTGTGCTGCTGCTGGGCCGCTGCTGCGGCGGCCCCCTCTTCTTCAACGCGCTGGCCCGCGGGGTCAAGTCCGGCCGGGGGACGCTGCGGCTGACGATGCTATCCTTACTGGACGCCCGGTCGGAAGAGGAGCCTCCGTCTTGCGAGGCCGCGGCGGGCGAAAATGGACTGGGAGGGAGGAGTTCTTGACTTCCTGACCGTGGGATTTTTGTAATGCTTCTCGCATTGTAATGATCTTTCGAGGAATACCGCGGCTCGCTCGGCGGACCCATCGTGCCCGCTGCGGGTGATTTCGAGGGCGTGGGGGGAGGTGGAGGTGCGGTTTCTGAAGAGACAGGAGCTGAGCCACTGGCATTGGCAGGGGCTGCCGTCGGGCCGCGAGCCCCTTGCTCTCCCGATGCGCCGTCATTGTTCGCTCCAATATTATTTTTAAGAGGACCGTGGTTCTTTGCAGCGGCAACCCTACCACCAGTGCCAGTTCCACCTGCCGCACTTCCACTTCCCGAAGCCGAGCCTCCAGAACCACCATCGCCTTCATCTCCGCCAGCACTAGTATCGTCGAACGCGTTTCGCGAAGCCGAGTTACCACCTCCCAGAGTGCTGGTTGATGAGTATGGGGATGTACTAGCGGGGTCCTCCTCATCGGAACTTCCGGTGTTTCCGTGCCCGGCCAGATGGCTGCGGATGTCCTCTTCCTTCGGTTCCATGAACCACATAAAACCGTCAATGCTCAATGTGAACACCATGCCGATCCAGCAACTCGTTGCAAATCCGCGCCCTGGCGGCAACGTTGTGGTGGCACCGACCACACTAGAGGATGTAGCTGATCCACCTGGGCCAGCACCTGCTCCATTTCTGGCCATTTTGTTGAGCATGTTTGTTCTACCCGTCCCCACCACCGGCACCTTCACGGAGGATAGCGCGCTTTTACTCGACACCAGAAACACCGCTTGGCACATGGAGTGCAGTAGTGCTAAAATCAATCCGACGAACTCTGCGTTGTGCGGACCAATTTCGAACACACCGAGCAGGTAGCTGTGCTGGTGGAGATACTTCCAGACCGCGGCGTGCCAGTGAAAATTGTCAAACTGGTCGCTGTATCCTGTGCAAAAGTATCGCACTCGTACTAATTGCAGATATTCAGGACAAATCCAACGCAACTTTCTAGCTGAAATAGCATGACAAATTGCATTTTTGTTCTTGGGAGAATTTGCAATGCAATTTATACGTATTATGATAAGTACTTTTGCAGAGCATACATCGTCTTCTGTGCTGTCCGGGTCGTAGAGCAAGTCGCGATCCCCGGTCTTCCACGCGTATTCTTCGGCGGAAATGGTCTTTTTCATGTTGTTTGATGTCGGTGCAGAAGTTCCGTCCTCGTTGAAGTTTGTGATGATGGACGTTGGCGTGGGTCGTCGCTTTTCTTTTTTCCGCTTCTTCCGATTTAGCTGGTCAACGGGAACTCCACGCAACCCGGTGGGGTCAGAGCGGGACTTTTGAATACTATCCGGCTGTTCATCTTGCAGAGAATGGGAAAAAATGCTGTCGTCTACCTCTTCTACCGCTCCTTCCGCACGACCGTCCGCCAGAGTCACAACTCCTCCAGGCGGTCCAGAGCCGCCTTCCTCGTCACTACCTTCTGACTTTGACGCGGAGGCTTTGTTCTGCGCACCACCCGCGGGCCTACCGCGCGGGGGCTGATAATTCATCACAACAACTGGAGCGGAGGGTCGGCTTCGCATATTAAGGCTGGCGTCATCCTCTTCGGTCGAATCTACGGGTGTGCTGCTGCTCTCGTTGGGATCCGGATCCTCAAAAACATGCGAGGCTGCTGCACCGGAAGATCCCCCGTGACTTACGTTTTCTAAGTCCTCGCTCTCTTCTTCCCTTTCCGATTGTGCTCCAGCCTCTTCGCTGACTGATTGCAAGGTCGACCCTGTCCTGGAGCTGTTGTACTTCTTCTTCCGACTGTTGCTGGTAGTTTCATGATCTTCCTGATCATCATCATGGTGTAAAGGACCACTACCTTGACGCGGTTCATTTTCATTGAACCCTTCGTCCGCAACGATGGTGTCGTCGTCTCCTGGTCCTCGTGCAGCTCCTACATTGAACGAATGCTGACTGCCGAAAATGCTCGCCAACACGTTATCCACGTGTCTTCTAGTTTCGTCGCCAATACGATTGAAATTCGAGCCCCAGGAACTGTTCAACAACCCATCATCTACTTGCTCGATGGATTGGTGTTGAGGGTCAGCTTCTTCGATACCACCGAGGACTACTCCATCGCGGTCCAGTGGAGGACCACTCGCCTCGCCGATCTCTTGCGCTTCAGCATGACCACCTGCTCTCCCGAATTGCTGTCCTCCTTTTTGCCGCCTGCTACTTGCACTAGAAGTTCCAGCAGTTCCGTATTTTGCGACGAATGCCTGCCGCTTCCGCTCCAGTCGCTCCTCTTTGCGCAAGTTCTGATCCCTCTCTAGCTTTTCGTACAAGTGATCCCACTCTTCCGCGTTCTTGTGGTGCTCCGGGTGAAAAATGCTGAATTCGTGGTGGATCCACCCGGAAGCGAAACCCCCGACCGTCGTGAGAGCGAGGGCGACCAGAGAGAGCCGCTTGGTCTCGCGTAAGGTCGTCGAGGACGTGGAGGCGTTCGCGGTGGCCTTGTTCGCCGGGAGGTAGTACTGGTTTAGGTCGTGGGGCTTTTTGTTTCTTTGTAGGTTCTCGTCGTGACAATTCGGATCATCCTCGTTTTCACTACTAACAGGTTTGATATCCTGCAGCAACGTTGACAGCACCTGCGTGCTGTCGCGCGTCAGCCGGGCGATGGACTTTTTCTCTTCGTCTATTGTGGTCGTCGTGCTGGTGTGGTCCCGATTTCTATTGTGCGAAGATCTTTTTCTGCTCCGACGACGGTGATGACGCCCTTGATGTTCCCCATGACTTGGATAATTTTCCTGCGTGAAGAACGACTTCCGCAACAGTTCGTCCGCTGACAGCAAGGGAACTTTGTTCAATTCCTCGTCGCTTTTCCGCTTCGTCAGCGACCTGTGATTATGAATTGCAAAAGTATCGCACTCGTATAAATGCATGACAAATTCCCTCAGCATGACAAATAAAATTTGTAATGCGGATTTGAGTTGAGAAAGAAATTTGTAATGCATGACTGCAATACGAGTACGATACTTTTGCACAGGATAGTGATCCCGGAAAAACTCGCCAACGTTTTCGGCCACGTATTCTCTGCAAAAGTATCGTACTCGTAGTGATCCCATTTATGCATGACAAATCTCTTTTTCAAGGTAAATCAGCATGAGAAATTCCATTTGTCATGCTGAGCAAATTTGTAATGCGATTACTACTAGTACGATGCTTTTGCATTTCATACCACGAAATTTTCCTCTAGTGGTCCTCCGCTTTGCGCGTGTCTCCTCCGCTCGCGCATCTTCAAAAACTGGCCGTAGAGGAAGACCCAGAGCAGCAACAGTGGCTCCATGCGCCACGGGGAGCCGGGGTTGAGTTGGTGCGCCTTCTTCTGCGTCGCGAGGAGCGAGGGAAGCGCGATTCCCGGGATCAGGAATTGCCGCCAGGCATGCTTCGTCGAGTTGTCCTCCACTGCTGGTGGTTTTGCGGGTGGAGAAATAGTTGTGGCCACCGCAAGGGCGGCGCCACCACTACTAGCATTCGCAGTACAGCTCTCGTGCGCAATCGCTTTGTTGCGTTTTTGAGCCAATCTTTCTGCTTCTCTTTTTTCCTTCTCAGACTTCCCATGGACGTCTTTCAGAAAGTCAAAAGCGGTATCCTCCCCCTCGCTGCTTGTGCCGCCGTATTCGCGGAACTTGATGGCTGCAGGCGAGCGATAGACCCCCTTGTATTGGTAGCTAGGAATAATCAGTGGGGGGCTATCGTCATTATTATCGTTTTCCATGTCATCGACGTCTTTATCCGCTGGTGCGCCAGGCGTGCCTGCAATTAGGAGCGGAGGTCTTGTCGCGGTCGTGTTCTTGCCTCGCGCACTACTTGGGGTAGGATCTTGGTTTACGAGAAACTGGTTTTTGTCAGTCCTCGCACCATGATGCAAGTGTCCTTGCCCTGCAGGACGAGTGCCTGTTGCTTTTTCGTCCACATCTTCGTCGCTGTCAGAAGAAGAAGACACACTAGAAGAACTTCCTTCATCTTCGCTTGATGTGTACGACTCTCCAGAAGTAGATGCTCTACTTGACTCTAGATCTTTACCGTTGCAGGTCTTTTGGAAGTTGCGCATCTCAATTTCGCCACTATTTCCTCCAAATCCAATCCCACCTGCAGGGATTGTGCTATTGGCACTGCCCGTCTGCAGTCGCAGCTTTGCTAATCTCGCCTTCTTCTTTTTTCTTCTGTTGCTCTTACTTCTTGTCCTTGCAGCCCGCCCTCCTTCTGCTCCGAACTTCGGCACAGCATGTTCTTCTGTGCCCCCCACCGCGGCCTGCTGATCGGCGCAGCTCCTGTTCTTCGCCCTGCTTCGCCACAAGTCCGTGCCGGGCAACAGAGGTTTAAACCTGTCCGTAAAGAAGCTGAAGAAGCAGCAAAGGAAGAAGCATCCGGTACAGCACAACGTAGGCTGAGAGATCTTAAACCAAGGCTCCGTGCCGAGAACGCGCGTGAAGCGGCGGTTCGCGCAAATCTGGTTCACCGCAAAGAAAAGCCAAATCAAAATTATCACCGTCACGACGAATTTCGTCGGTTCGCTACTTGTTTTTCTTTGTGACAACTCTTCAGCCAGCACTGATCTTTTTCCGCAGGGGCAGCACCGGAAGGTGGTTGCGCAACTGGTCTGTATCCGTGAGAGAAAAGTGGTTTTCTTTGACCTGTTGTTCTTGATCTGTGCCGATTTTTGCCTTCCTCTGTTCATCACATCGACATCGTCTATTCCAGACGAGACGCTTGCAGAGGGAAAGGTCAGGCGCCGATCGTTTATTTTCCCTGCTCCAGCAGACAGTGCGTAGGCCGCACCAGCGAGATGATCATGGTCCGTAGTTCTTAGACATGGCTCGTATCCCCGTCCTTCTGCGGCCAGTAGGAACCCTCCCAGGCTCATGTCTTGAAGCTCCACCTCGCCACCGGCAGCCACATTGTTGCACGAATCGCGCTCACTACGGGAGGAAGATGATGAAGTTGTCACCATTGCTGCGTTGGCGCCAGCTCTAGAAGAACCCGCTCCCAACATGGTACTAAGCCAAGCGGCGCGACACCCGCGAACAAGTTCTACGATCGAGAACCACAAGACGCTGCGATTAACTTGTGGATCGTCCGAGCTTTCTTGTAAACACAGCGGACGGTGAAGTGGACGACGACGATTCACGATTGCCGCTACATCACTGATCGTGCATGAAAAGGACGCACTTGGTGGTGCCAGAACGTTTTGGCGAGACGCGCAGGTCCCGCCATTGCTGGTATCCAAAATTGCCACCCGCAGCTCCCATGATAGACAAAACTTCCAAGTTGTAGTAGAACTACCGTGCCAATCATTGTCGAGCGGAAGACCTCCACTAGCTGCAGAACAAACCAATCAACCAATTGATACATCAGAGGCAATAATTTGCTGCAAGATACAACGATTTAGCATGAGGAGCTCTTCACTGCGGCTCCTGCGCGGCAGCGAGAAACAAGCCCGCAGAAACCGCAGCGTTCGACCAACGTGTCCGTGTGCTGGCGCAGCATGTTGATCGTCCTGGTCTCACTCTACTATTCTTTCAAGAACGCTCCTCACCCGCCTCGACCGCTATCATAATCAGGAGACATAGAAGAAGTAGAAAGAGAGAGAGAAATTATTTCAAGATCTGCAAATAAAAAGAAAAAGCAGGACTCAGCAACAATGAATGCTTCTGCCAACCTCTGAAATTATTGAATGCCTCGGTCAGAACATCATTATTCTTCTTGGCGCTAGTTCGCTACCCGTACTTGAGCATCCACACAGACTACGTGATGCTCCGTGCGAAAAAAGCAAAGGGACAATGATCACAATGTGTAAACAACGTCCCGAATACACTCCAACGTTTGATGGCATGTTGCGTTTCTCTGTTCTATATGATCATGGAGAAGCAAAAAGCTTTGCATGTAATATCCCAAATTGCTGACGCGACATAGATACAACGGCGTGGTCGCATTTCCACGTTTGATTTGCAAGATGAATGCAACGAAAATGTTTATGTTAGCTGGATAAGGTAAGTACTGAATAAACGAAAGACAAAGCGTAGATTAACAAGACTCGTTTACAGCTAACTCAACCTCTTTGCCAGATTTTTTTGGAAACTTGTCATGAAAACAGCTAGAATAAGAGCATCAGCACGTTCACTTGGATCTGGTTAGAGTCTCATAAAGATAAGGTCGATCCGGAAATTAATTTGTTTACATAGCAAGCTGATAGTAGTCACAACAAACATGATCAAATTAAATTCAGAAAGCTTTGCCAAAATAAGAGATCATGAGAACAAGACAACGAATAAATCGAAAAACGCTACAGAAATATACGGCTATTTCATATAAGGCATAAAAGAATCAAATGTCTTTGCTGTCATGCTGTTCCTGTTGCTGATTGTTTCATCAAAGACAATTGCTCTTCTAATTTTTTTCATTTGTATTTGCCAGCTAGCGCAAGTCAAAGTCAGTGCGGAAGACGAAGCCCGAGCGCGAAGCCGAGCGCAATAAATCAGGTGAACGAAGACAGAAAATGACGACCCTGGTCGCAGTTTCAAGATTCAACATATGAGCGCCTGTATCAATCACTTTGGAGCCTAAGACCTTGTTGTTAGAAGTAGGTGCGCAACGCGAAAGATCATGAGTCAACAGCTGTCGTCTTCAACATCGACAAAGTAAATTGAAAAAATTGAACTAATTGAAATTCATTCGAAGCTGTTTCTTCCACCAGTCAACGTTTTCAGCGTCTCCCCCCGAAAGACGAAATTGCACCGCCGAGCCCACCCGAGGACGACGAGGATCCTTTACTCCTCCCGGCCAGGTATCCTCCGGCCGCTCCCACCGCGGCGCCAACTGCGCCCGCCTTCAGCATGTCTTTGGCGCCGCCGATTTGGCTTCCCGCACTGTGTAAGTATATGAATTGAAAAAGTATCGTACTCGTATAAGTGCATATACAAATTGACTTAGCATTACAAATTAAATTTGTAATGCAGATTTTCCTTAACAAAAAGATTTGTGAATGCATAAACGCGATTACGATTAGTACGAGTACGATACTTTTGCAGTTCATACCGTATCCCCCGTGATACGAGTCGTCCGATGAAGAGGAATCGTAGTAAGAACTCCTGTATCAAGTGCAAAAGTCTCTGGGTCTGGAAATATGCAACTTGTAGTGCTAGCTTTCCATACCGAGGAAATCTGTATTGCATAACCAACAAAAGTCGCAGCCTCTTTTGTACATGCAAGCACGCAGTTTCTGATGCGGATTGCCTATCATGAAAAAGCGGAGGTGTGGAAAGTTGTCATGCTAAGTTGCGTGCGAAGGAAACTGCTTCCATCATCCACATTTTTGCATCACAAGCTTCCAGACCCAGACATATTTGCATTTGATACCTGGTGCCAAAAGTGGGGGGGAGAGCTTCGATGATGAATGTAGGATGCGCGGTCGTCGCTGAGATCGTGGCACTCGATGCAACCACAGGATGTGCAATCCGGTTCGAGCTCGCGCTTGCTGTGATGTTGACTCGTGACAGTTTGTTCGAAATGTTGCGCAGGAGCCGCGACCACGGCGTGCCCACCACCATCCTGCTCGGCTACTCCCCCGTGGGCGAGGCTTTGCTCCACCAAGTGGTCGGCGCGTTCCTGTTCCAGCTGCTCATCTATGACAATGCACAACTGCCCCCCCCCCCCCTCATTTGTATAGCATGAACGGCAATACAAGGGTCAGCAAGAATGCCGGTTTTGCATGACAAATTTCCACAGGAGTGTAGTGCTGTTTGGGCTTATTCCGGAGTTTGTCATGCAAACAGTTCCAAGAAACACAGTCTGGATTTGGTATTTTGCATGACAAATTAGGGGGAGGGGGAGTTGTGCACTGTCATATCATCCGCGATTCGGCTCTCAATTTCCTGGAACTGGTACCGGTCGGGCTGACTGTTACTACTTCCACTCGCCAAGGCGCTGACGTGCCCGTTTTTGTCAACCGTGAACCCCGTTTGATGTGCCTGCTCCCTCGCGTCTTGCAAAGCTTCGAGTTCTTGCTCCGCGCGTTCAGTATCTTCGGACAATGTCGTCGTCCCTTGTTGTAGTTGCGCAAAGGAGCTGGAGCTGCGAGGGGAGGAAACGTCCTCTCCACTGGACCCACAGGACGTGCTTCTACCCGAACTGAAATTTGTGCTGTTTGCGGCATTTAGTTTCGACGACGAGGCCGACTCGGGCAGCTGCGCACTACCTCCAGCTCCCGCCCCACCAATTGGTGCGCCAGAACCGTGGTCCACGACGAGTGGCGGTCGTCCGCCGCGGGGCGGATTTGGAACCAACACCGTCAGAGGAGGACCGCCTGCTTCGAGAACAAGTCTGCTGCTATCGTCGGGATCATGATCTCCTAGGTGGATCTCAACGAGGCCAAAACTGAGGGTGTGCGGATCGACGCGGTGGTCTTGATAGTCGTAGGTGGAGCTGACCTGGAAGTCCAGCAGCGGGAGGCTTGGCCACTCTTCCCTCGTAGTAGAGTTAAACGGAAGGAACTTCCACTGGGTATGTCCACCCGTGTCCGCTTCCGCATAGTAATGGATGTACTTTTCACGTTCATCCCCAGGAGTTGTTCTTGTTCCTGTAGCTGCCTTGTTCCTCTTGTGCTTGTCGTCCCCCGCGCCGACAGCATGCAAGTCGTCGTCCGCTAGCAGTACACGGAACTCGAACTCTTTCCGGCCGTTTGGAAGGCCAGTGATGCGCTGCTGTAGCAGCGGCTTCTTGTTTTTCGTCGCGTCAGAAGCCAGCGCCAGTGCGGGTTCATCATCGTGATCAAGCTCGTTCCGGTCCTGCGGCTCGATAGACGCTGTGCCAGCCGCTGGATCGTACCACTCCGTGAGGGCGGGTTCTGGGGGCGTCGAATGATCCCAGAGGAACTCGTCCACGTACATGCGGTCCAAAAGGGCGACCCCGAGGCGAGGGCCCTGGTGAATACCGTTGTAGTCGATCACCGGCAACGTCACCCCCCGGTGACGATTAATCTCCGCAAAGTCGTGGTCGGTCGCACCTGGACCGAGGACCCAGGTGGTGCGACCCGTGGGGCTCGTGACCGCACGGTACAAGTTGACCTCCCTTCATGGGCGTGCCAGGCAGGAAAGTGCGAAAATGGAAAAAAAGTGCGTGTCATCATCGACATAGAGAAAGGGTCTCAATCTTCGTCGAATTTGTCACGCCCGATCCCGATCCCTCTCGTACGAGGATCAGTCGGGGGCGAGGCGCGCGGTCGGCCTTTTTAAATATGAGACATCACGACGATGGCCTTTAATACTGCTAGGCAGGGCCGCAAGTGGTAACGCAACGCATGGCAAAGCTATCTGCTTCTGGGTCTCGCCCTTAGAGACAATCCGTCAACACGATGTTAGCTTAGGGCAGAGCCATGTCCTTTCGTCTAGTGCCCCTGCAATCTCCCCAATCGTGACAGTCTCTCTACGTTTGTTTCATGACCTCAGACAGTTGATGGAGCGCCATGTTGGCTCAACATCATTTTTTCCGCTTTGCAAAGTTCCAACCTGACACACCCATACCTTCCCCTGTACGTCCAGCGCGCTCCTCCACATCCGCCCGAAGACCAGAAACTCGTGAACATCCACACCCATGTACCGTGGGGGATGTGCATCTGCGGCAGCGGCAGCCGAAGTGGTCCTTTCTTCAGCATGGTCATCGTGGTGGTCTTCTTCTCGCCCTGCACAAGTAGACCCGCAGCTACGGGACTTATCCTGTGCGTCTCCCTGCGCAAAGGAGCTTGCTGGGTTGGGAGAAGACGCGTCTCCGCTGCAGCCGCAGGACCACGTGCCGCCCGAACTGGTATTTGTGCTCTTTGCGTGTGCTGGTGGGGCGATGCGGCGCTCACCGGATTCTGTCAGATACCGCCCCCCAGGGATTCTGCCAGAGGCTGTCACGAACGTTTTCGGTCGTTCGCCACCGGGCGGAACGAAAAAACTTTCCACCACCGGATTTCCCACCGTTAGTTTGAAGCTGTCGCTGTCATCGGGATCCACTTGTTCAGTGTTGACCTGCACGAGCCCAAACGACACCGAATGCGGGTCGATCTCGGTCGCGGTGACGTCGTTTTTTAGGAGAGAAGCGCGTGTCTGTTTCGCATCCAAAAACGGGAAGGTGGCGCCCCACTCTACTTTCCGTTTCCTAGTAGCATTATGATCATCATCATCATCACCGTTCACCTCTTCAGGCTTAGCTAAAGTAAAGCTAAGCGAAGGGGACTTCCACTGTGCGTGCCCATGATTCGCCTCGGCGTAGTACGTGACGTAAGTTCCGCCAAGTGCTGCGGGTCCGGCTGTTTCGTTGCTGGCCCCCCCGGCATCATCGTTTTCGGCGTCCGGTTGTAACAGAAGACTGTACTCGTACTCCAGCCGCCCGCCTCCGAGGCTAGTGATGCGCGCCAGCGCCAGCGGCTTCCGCGTCGACGTCGGAGGCAGTGGGAGCTCTTCACCGCTATCGGCAGTAGCGTGCGCTTTTTGCACGGGAAAATTTGCATGTCCGAAAGTTGTCAACTTCTCTTCCTCCATACTAGGGTCGCCGTCGTCGAAGAGAAGGTCGACGTGTGCTGTGCCAGCCGCCGGATCGTACCACTCCGTCGTCGGCCCAAATTGGGCATGTGGAAAATCTGGATGGATGTCCAGCAGGGTGACACCGAACCGAAGGCCCTGATTGATGCCGTTGGTATCGATCACCGGAGCTCTCTGGACCCAATGCTCTGTCTCCCTCAGCAGCTCGTCATTGCTCGCTCGAAAGCTGTGGTTTGGCAGGTGCGCCCAGGTAGTGTACCCCTTGGCGTTTGTGAGCGCAGTGTACTTCTCGGCTCTCGGTTCGCCTTGCGCGTTTTTATACATGACTATCACAAACTCATGCACCTGCGTGTAATTTTTTCCATACCCGTACTTCTTGAGCCTCGGAGAAGGATCCGGATATGGAAATCCGTTCTTCACGTCTTTTTTGTTCCTTCCCACTTTTTCTTCCTGCACGAAGGACCACGCTGAGGTTGTAGCTTTTCCACCTCGCAGTTGAGAGGACAGTGGGTGCGACTGGAAGCTGGTCGTTGAATCTTTGGCCTTTTGCGAGAACGACACACCGGATGCTTCTTTTTTCCACGAGCTGGGCCGCATCGATCCGAGATGAAAAAACTGAGGTTCATCTTGCATTTCATCGGGTCCGTCGAGTGCCGCTTGATGTTCTACTTCATCATCTTCTTGAGCGGAGTCTGCCTGCTCGCCATCATGTTCCTCCTGGTCGTTGATGGCGCTGATGATTATGTTTTTCCGCTTATCGCCGATGCGACCACTAGCCCAAAAATTCGCTGAGGGGTGTCCAAGGAACAAGCAAAGAAGCGTTGCTAGCAGTAGACCTGCTGCACAAACGGAGCAGCGCTCGCGGCCGTACGGTTTCACGACCAACAGCACCATCCCAGAACGGTCCTTGCGATGATGTTTGCCGGTGGAAGGAGAAAGATTACAGACTGAGACTCCTCATCAACATGGTGATGTTTTGATTGCGCTATTTCTTGAGACTACTTCTGAGTGATCAAGAATAATACCAACGGGTCTTAGGTTTCTAAAATGCCCTTGCTCGTCCTAAAACAATCAACGAACAACATGACAAAAAAAAAAAAGAATCAATCCAATTCCTTCCTAGATAGAATTTGTTTGAAAGAAGCCTACGCTTCAGTAATTATTCTTCCTCGTCTTTTTCACGAACTCATCAATGCGACATGCTGTAAGCACCATTACCAAGTGCTTAATGGAGGAAGGATCTGGTTTACTTGGTTACGAAGTTTACGAGGAGGACATTCCCAACGAGTGAAATCTTTGTTGCACCACACGACGATGTAGTTTATGGGTACTACTTTGGAGAAGACAAACGATGTTGATGGCTCATTGAAGAAGAGAAACGATGCTTCTGTGGATTCATGAAAATATCTTCAACATCCCCGGTTGCGACGATCACCGAGATCATTCTCGACGAATTTCACGAACATCAACCCAATCATGTGAGCATCAAACAAACAAGACTAACTTACAACTAACACAACCTCTTTGCCAGATTTTTTTCTAAACTTGTGCTCGTCACCAAAACAACTTATGAATGAATAAGAACATCACGCTCACTTGGATCTGGTTAGAGTCGCAGAAGGATACGTTCGAACAGGACATTAATTTTTTTTACATATTGACATCAAACTGAGAGTAGTCACAACAAACATCAAAAAACCAAATTCGGTAGAAGATCATCAGCACAAGAAAACGAAATCGAAATCGAAAAAAAATTACAATGTAGAAACATACGGGTACGGCTATTCCAACATACGAGGCATAAATTTCAGCGTCTTTGCTGTAATTCTGGTGCTGCTGATTAGATTCGTCAAAGACAATTGTAATATTTTTGTTTCATTTGTAAGCTAGTGCAAGTCCTCCAAGTCAGTGGGAAGCGGAAGACGAAGCCCGAGCGCGAAGTCGCGCATACTAAATCTTAATCTTCTTCTTCAGGAGAAGGAAGAGGAAGACAGAAAATGACGACTCTACTGGTCGCAGTTAGTCAACGGCTTTGGTCTTCGGAATTTCGATTTCCTGAATCGACGAAATACAAATAGATCGAAAAAATTGAAATTCATTCGAAGCTGCTCCTTCCACCTCCACAGTCAACGTTTTATTCATCAGCGTCTCCCCCCGAAGGACGAAATTGCACCACCGAGTCCCGAGGACCTAGACGAGGGTCCTTTACTTCTCCCGGCCAGGTACACTGGAACTCCCGGGCGGTGCCCAATATCCGACACGTATCCGTCGTCCGAGTCGTACGATGGAAAGGAGTCGTCCTGTGGAAGAGAGTTCCAGGTGCTGTGCTGGCACCCGAAGCAACGGGTATGGTGGGGGCGAGAGGCATGCGCTTTTTTTGCGATGTGTTTTCGGTTTTACATCGTACAGAATACATGCTTACAAAGTACATTGGAGGCTTTACCTGTACACTGTGCCCTACCCTAGTACGTGACCCACCCTAGTACACTGCGTGCATGATGTACGATGCACAGTGTACGAATCTGCGGCCGTTCTCCTCCAGTATACTCCGTAAGCATGTATTCTGTACGATGTAAAACCGAAAACACATCGCAAAAAAAATACATGCCTCTCGCTCTCACCATAATTTTCGGCGGTGAAGCAACCACAGGGTGTGTTCCTGGTGGTCGTGGTCCAAGAACCTTGCAAAGGAGCCGCGACCGGGCTGTGCCCAGCACCATCCTGCTCATCATGCGCTGATGATGATGATGATGATGATGATGATGAATCATCAGTGGATCGGCTCTGCTCAGCTACTCCCCCGTGGACGAGGCTCTGCTCCACCAAGCGGTCGGCACGTTCTTGTTCCAGTTTCTCCTCCGCGATTCGGCTCTCGATTTGCTCGAACTGGTAGTACCGGCGGTCTATCGGTATCGGAAAGTCGGCTTTCGTGAGAAAAAACTGTCTTAGTCTCGAACCTTTGCAGACTCAGCACTACAATTTTTTTGCTCAGCATGTTGATGTGAAGTAGATGCGTAGACACTTCTACAAGGGAAAACACATACGAAAGACGCGTTTCTTGCATGTCGAGCATGGCAAAAAAAAAAAACTAACTGTCTCAAGGGAATTCCGCATGACAAGTTGAGACTGAGACAGTTTTTCTTGCGATATAATCCAAATCGGGGACCCCGTTACTGCTTCCTCCACTCGCCAAGGCACTGACGTGCCCGTCTTTGTCAACCGTGAACCCCTTTTGATGTGCCTGCTCCCGCACATCTTGCAAAGCTTCCAGTTGTTGCGCCGCGCTTTCAGCATCGGACAGTGTCGTCGTCCCTTGTTGTAGTTGCGCAAAGGAGCTGGAGCTGCGAGGGGAGGAAACGTCCTCTCCACTGGACCCACAGGACGTGCTGCCGGAACTGTAACCCTGTTGTTCTTTTTTGCGTCCCGTTTTTTCTTCCTGCACGAAGGACACTGAGGCCGTAGTTTTTCCACCTCGCAGTAGAGAGGGCGACGGGGGGTTGAGCTGGAAGCTGGTGGTTGAATCCCGACTGGCCTTTTGCGAAAACGACACACCGGATGCTTCTTTTTTCCACGAGCTGGGAATCGGTCGGGCGCGTGGCGACAAGCACGGCCCGCCGTACTTTGACTCCCTGTCGAACTCGACGCATTCGGCCCCGGTGGCTTCGTTGTGCCAGATGATGACCATGGTGTCTGCGGGCCTTCTCACTTCAAGAAGAGTGTTGTCGCGGGTTCCACCAAAATGAGCGCGCAAACCGAGCCAAACCGCCCCGCCGTTTTTTTCTCGAAACCCTTGGACCTCCTGTCGGTCGACTGACTTCGGGAACTGAAACGTAGGTAAGTGCGCCCACCACGTCCGGCGATGCCCCCAGCCGTAGTTGTCTCCTTCCCACTCCGTCGTCGTTACGTAGTCAGTTTTGCCATACCAGCGAACTGTTTCGTTTGTGTAGACCCACGGTTTTTTCTGGCCGGGCGGTCGCATCTCCGCTTCGAGCGCAGCAAGAACTGTGTCATTCACGAACTGGATCGGCTCGAAGGCAAAACCTCTCGTCCAGGACTCGGGAATTGGTCGAGCGGTTTCCGTATCGCAGGGATCGCTGTATCTTGGCTCTGTTCTAAAGTCGATGCATTCGGTGCCATCCTTGATGTTGTGCCACATGACCACATATCGAATGCAAATATGTCTGGGTCTGGAAGGCATGCAGGTACTGCTTCATCTGCAACACCTTTGCTATGCCTATTACGCATGAGCAATGCACGACTTTGACTTTCAAGTACGTGGCCAAAAGTTGATGTGATGATGTGGACAGGTTTTGTTACACATCGAGACCATCATTATCATCATCATCATCATCATCATGTGGATCGGCCTCGGAGCTATGTTTTTTTCTTTTTGCTGACCGGGTACGCTACGAATTACAGATTTTCGTGTGAAGATGCAGGACAGAGAGCATCACAAGTTAGTTCACAACGTTCCTTACCCAGAGGGCATATTTGCAATGCATACCACGAGTTCGTACTGGCCCGTGAACTCCCGCATAGCCGGCTCGAGTTCGTCAAGACCGGGGAAAAAAGGCGACCACACTCCAAACCAGATATAACGGCCTGGATGCTGAGTCTCTGCAGATGTAACGACGTCCTGTTGCTGAAATGCCTCGGGCAGTTCGAAGCCTCGCAGATGGGCCCAATGGTTACGACGCAGGCCCCAATCAAAATTGTCGCCTTCGCTCACTGTCAGGACAGTGAAGTTTAAGATGTCCATTTTTATGAGCCCGTCCTTGATTGTTTTATTTTCGTACTTTAGCTCCATGTGATTTCCCTCGCTTCTTGGCTTTCCGTCATGGGCGTTGGTTGCGCTGTTTGTTTCGCTTCCCAGGAGGGTGGACCAGGCACTCGGGATCGGTTCCATGCTTGGCTGCGTGCACGGAGGCGGTCCGTTTGGCTGGATATACCCCATGAACACCTGATGCGGTTGCTCCTTGCATTCGCGCCCACCCGCCTCGCTGTGCCAAATCACCACCTCTCGGAGATCGACGTCCTCTTCCGTCTTGTTGAGACCATAGATTCCGAACCATCTAACCCCCTTCTGCACAGCGCTCTGCCAGTGCTGATGGTTGAACAACTCATGGGGCAACCTGAACCGCGGCAGGTGCGACCATGTTTCCGAAATTTCGCCTCCGGCCTTGTCGCGGGTTACATGCACCACCACGTAGTCCTTGCCGCCGACGGGCACGTCCCAATGCTGTGTCCCGCGAAAGTCCATGGTCGTAACCTGCGTCGAGAGTCTCATGTCCTCCACGTCGGCGCCTGGCCTCCGCACCGTTCTTGCAGTAAATGAAATGGGTGGAGCTGTTGAAGTAGAACCTGCATGGTTCTCCACACGACCAGGAAGCCCGTACCCCTGGATGCTGTTTTGCGGGAGGCAATCGCCGGTTAAACAAGGAAGGTGTCGGGGGAAATCGGCTCGCTGCACGAGGGACGAGGTCATGTCGGAAGTGGAAACAAGGCTGGGGAAGGATGAAAATCCCGAACTTTTTTTGGCGCTGCGAAGATGAAAAAACTGAGGTTCTGGTTGCACTTCCTCGGGTCCGAGTGCTGCTTGTTCTTCATCTTCCTGAGCGAAGTCTGCCTGTTCGCCATCCGGCTCTTCCTGGCCCACTGCCGCGTTGATAACTATGTCCTTCTTCCGCTTATCACCGATGCGACCACTAGCCCAAAAATTCGCTGAGGGGTTTCCAAGGAAGCAAAGAAGCGTCGCTAGTAGGAGACCTGCTGCACAAACGGAGCAGCGCTCGCGGCCGTACGGTTTCACGACCAACACCATCCCAGAACGGTCATTTTGGCGTTCTCCGGAAGGAGAAAGATTACTCCTCGTCAACATGATGATGTTTTGATTGCGTTATTTCTTGAGACGGCTGAGTCATCAAGGAATGACGACATACAGGTCTTGGGTTTTAAAAATGCCCTCGCTCCTGAAACAATCAACGAAAAAAGGGACAAATAAATAAAGAAAAGAATCAATCAAATTCCTTCCTAGATAGAATTTGTTGTTGTTTGAAAGAAGCCTACGCTTCAATAATTATTCTTCCTCGTCTTTTTCACGGAATCAATGGGACGTGCTGTAGGCACCATTAGCAATTACGAGGAGGACATCGAACCTTCCCAACGGATGAAATCATTGTTGCACACGTCGACGATGTACGTTTATAGCCCCTACTTTGGAGAAGAGAAACGATGTTGATGGCTCCTACGATGTTGATTGAAGAAGAGAAACGATGTTGATGGCTCCGACTTTGCTGGAGTCATGAAAATATCTTCAACACCCCCGGTTGCGACGATCCGGAAGATCATTTTCGACGAATTGCACGAACAGCCCAATCATGTGAGCATTATGCACTGTGGTACGTACTCGAGGTCGACAGCTTTAGCTACCACTCGCTCGTCCTGCTTGTCCTTGTCAAAATAAGCAAGAGATCATCTACAGCCACTGAGTTGTATGTTTGGATCGTATCGCTGCAGAAAAGGAGGGGGAGGGCGGTTCTAAATTGGCTGTCACTTCTAGCAGAAAGTCGCACTTAGGTAGTTTACTGCTGTGAGAGTCTGCTGTGAGGCGGACGACGAATGAAATAAAGTAGTGAAACGTACAAAATGTCACGATAATGCTGCGCCTTTGCTTTCTCCGTCGAGCGATGAACATACCCCACTCGAACCATAAGTGCGACTGGTGTGATCCTGAGCTTTGACGAAGAACGTTAGGAGCATAGCGATGTCTCGCGTATGCGTAGTAGTCAGGTTCTTTTTGTCTACCATGCTGCCGCTCAGACGTATAATTTTGCAACAGGGGTAGTTGTCTTTAACATCATACACTTCGCACAACATCACACCTTAACGCTAAGTATTCTACTTTTGTACAATTGTCTTTGTCATCATCGAATGTTCTGCTGAGTACAACTACGTGGCTTTTGGTATGTGAAGATCCGTATCATACAATCAAAGGGTATAAAGTCTTCCAGCGCGGCACCAACCCGCAGAAAAGTGCCGATTTCTTCGAAACTTACAACGAAGCACTGTTAATGTTAAGCGTGCTTCTACGCTCAGACGAGAAATAGAAACTCAAACTCATGCTCAAATCTATATTCGATATATTGAATTTCTCCATACGCCAGCTCTTGGCCGCACGGGTCATCCTCCGAGTGGGGGAGCCGCAACTTGTTCTCCAACACTTCTATCTTTGCCGCGCGCCTCCAAATTTCATTTTCAATTACTTTTACTTCAATCTCGACTTGATGCGTCATTTCCCCCGAAAAATTCCCCGTCTTCAACATCCACAGCGTGCAGATTCCCGACGCTCAATTCCGACTCGCGTCGCTCCTTCATTTCCAATCGGACCACTTCGTCGCTCATGTTGCTCACCCGGAGTGTATGGAGGCGTGGACAAGAGGACCCCCTATGTTCCCTCGTTGACATTACACTCACAATATCCAGGAGTAACAGACACGACCTGAAAGATACAGCTTCCCCCTGACTACAAAACAACACATCATGCCGGGCGGGCTGTAGAAAAACTATACAAATCTGTTCTTTTGGCCGCTCCTTCCAATTCCACCCGCGGACCAAGAACTTTCCATGCAAACTACGCAGCCAAAAAGCCCCGGCGGCAGCGCAGGAATCATGCGTGTGACGTTGCGTCACGAACGAGCACGAGGAAAACAATTATTACCCATCGCTCAGAGAACAACAGCATCGCGGGGCTCTTCTTATCTACACTTTCGTAAGGGGCGGCGTGCGTGGTGGCTGCCAGACACAAAACTTTCACGCGGAAGGGTCGGTTTAACCAAAGCAGGGTGGAGATGATGGAAACGCCGAGGACCGCAAACACGGCAAAGCAAATCAGGCCCTGGACCAGGGGCATTTTGATGACGCACATCAGTCCGATGGAAACCGCAAAGGACGGGGAGCCGTACATGAAAACCCAAACCAGCTGCGTGCGCCACGTGCGAAACGAATCTTCGCCATACCTATCGAGATCATTTATGTCGTGATTGGAGTAGATTGATATGACATGTTGAAGACATAGACAACTCCCGCAAAGAACAAAAATGAAAACAGAAGAAGTACTCACATCGAAGCGGGTCATTGAAGAAACTAAACACCGACCGAATGGTCACGACATTCACGCATCATATCCACGAATGCGCGGTAGGCTTTTTCATCTTCGGAGATTACAAATGTACCACTTTTCCAACTGCTGCTCGTATTTCACCCTCGCCACCGTGTTTTCCCCTCTCGCGACTGCCAACGCCTTTGCGATTCGCCCTTGCTGCTCCAAAATTGCGCAACACACGCTCGTGTACAGGGACAAGGCAATGGAAATCCCTGTGACCACTGGAAAGGAGTACGAGGCCCACGCCGGCCCGGTTTCGTAGTCCTCCCGGCTGACGGAGGAGAGACCTGCAAACGCGAAACCAGCCAACAGAGCGGTGACTAGGGAGATGGACCCCTGCGAACCGGTATCAAGTGCAAAAGTGTCTGGGTCTGGAAGACTGCATGTTTGTCATGCTTGTCTGGCATGACTCTTAAATCTGTCATGCACGTTACCCAAGAGCTCCATTTTTCTGTGATGCAGAAACGCAGTTTGTCATGCAGATTGGGCAACACCTAGAAGCTCAGAAACTTGTCATGCTGAGCCAGCACTTGTGGGCTCATCATGAGACGCCACCCAGCATCACAAGTTTCCAGACCCAGACATTTTCACATTTGATAACCGGTCAAACCGGTTAGCACGTCGGAGTAGTCGTTCATCCGTGGGGGATCTTGCTGCTATGCACTGTAAATTTCCCGTACATGTACAAAATGCATGACAAATTGCGCCAACTTGCACTGTCCAACTTGTCATGCTAGACTAGGACTGATGGCAAGTTTTGCCATGCAGAGACTGCAATTGTACGCGTACGGGAAATTTACTGTGGATAGCTGCTTGTTGTTCTGATGAATTTGCGTCGAGAGACGCTTCTCCTTTTGTGTGGATGTGGTTGATGCGATGGAGTCCCTGGTACTGTTGTGTTTGTGGTCCTCAGAAGTGTCGACTTTGTTTCTGCTGGACAATCTGCTTTGCATTTTTGCGCGGCAGGGTGTGGGAGTGAGCATGGAATTAGGTGGATGGCCTTGCTCCTTCGCATCCTTTTTTCCTGCTTCATCTTGTTCCAGGCTAATGGCACGACGACTTTTTGGAGTGTGTACTTCGTGCAGCTGAAGGCGCTGGTTTGTCGCGGCGCTTGTCGGTGACGGCAAAAACAACACCCCGCCAGGCTGGACAGTCTGCGGATTGGGCCGCTTATGCTGCGGATCATGCGTGTCATTCTTTGCTTGCGGGGCGACAGTTGGCGTATGTAGTTGCTGCCTCCGCTGTGCGGCTGCGCGGACAGCCGTGTCCAGAGTGATCAGCTTGGTAGCTGCGGTCGGGGCGGCAGGCATTTTGATTGTGAACAAGTAAAAGAACCGCGCGGCAATGTATGAAAAGGTAAGATGATATAGATGTACGACGACCGGGCTCCTTCCTAAAAAAGCAAAAATGTAGTTCAAGAGGGACAATCCCAATCGTGGAGAGTTTAGTCTTTCTTCTCGTTCTTGTTCTCAGATTTGAATTGGCTCTAACTGCGACGACTAGCCCTATTCCGGCCGCTTTTACGCCTCGGATCGTTCCTCGGGGGAAAGCGAATGCCGTCCACGAGAGCGCGCGGCCTGTCGTGCCTGCACGCGCATAACGGCACCAAATACTTTGGCGAATACACGGCAAGTCCACCTATACTCGTTGCTCTCCGCTGTCAGATTCCTAACTGGCAGCGCAATTCTTGTTTATCTGATCTTTTCTGTATTTCCTCTACCTGGAGGTGGCCGGGATCGTGCTCAAATTTTCTGTCACCCTCGCTAAACCACTGTCCCGCAGCACTTACGCCAAGGACTGAAAGCCTTTACCTTGGCCGTAACTGAAGATCGGGTGTGTGGCCTATCGTTGCCTCGAGCAGCTCTAGGTGGTCTAAGTGCGTCGACGTGTTGTACCTCCGCAGTAGAATTGAATGCGTACGTGTTTCTCAGTCTTCATCTTGATGAGGGCGCCTCTTCGCTATATATAGCTACTGCAACGAGCAGCAGTCTCAGCATCGTCATCGCCTTCCCGCCGCCTCTTCTCGCATCTGCTCCAGGAATTGCACCATATATCTGTGCCGCTGCTCTGCCATTTCCCGAGCTGACTCCGTGCTCAGGCGCTCTTTCAGAAAAAACAGCTTTTCGTAAAAATGTGCGACCCCGTCCTCGAGACGATCCGCTTGCGACCGGACGCTTTCGGGAACTTCTCCGGGGCTGTCACAGCTGCGATATGATGTTTGAATGAATGGATTTTCAGGATCATACAGCACGAGTCAGTTTACTCCTCCTCCTCGATGTCACAAAGATAAGTATTTTCACAACATTATCAAGCAGCACAACCTAATCTACGGAGCAGGTTCCGAGGAGGGCCAGGGCGGCGATAAAGGAATGTTCCATAGAATGCCCCTAGTATGGAAGATCACGATTTGGATATGCAGCACTTTCGAACAAGCCATGTCCATCATTCCTGCGTATGCCAACACTTGAGCATGAGCAGCAGGAAACACCAGCATTTTTACCCTTCCTCCAGCTGAAATAGGCTTTCCTCGGAGTAGAGCGGTCGAGCTTGGCTGCCACCATAGGCGAAACACCGCGCGATGCCCAACGCCCCGAGCGCATCGATGCGGTCCGCGTCCTGCACGTACTTTAGCATGCATTCCTTGGCGTGAACCTGCTCGGTGAAAGCCTCTTTCCCGTGCGCGCGCACAAATTTCTGCTCTTTTGAATAGGACACATGCTGAATCAGGAACGTGACGCGGTCGATGATCTCAGGGGTAAGGAAAGTTTTTGCTTCTAATATTCCATCGTCGACGTTTACTTCTTCCCAACACCTTGTCTCTGCGAAAATCTTCGCTGCGAAAGAGGAAGAAGGTTTCCCACTCTCGTCCCCCGGCGGTTTTGCGTATTTGTGGTCGTCAACGTCATGCAGGAGAATCGCCAAACGCGCAACCAAAAGATCACTTCTGCTGAATAAAGGCCGCGAGGTGGACCTGCAGTCGCCCTGTACTACCTCTTCATCTGCCGAGGATGGGCGAAAACAGGAAGAAGTATCTCCTTCTGGCGCGGCCGTCGCGCCAAGACCACGTGGCGATCCCGCCACCGCAGCGTCCTCGCGCTCCAAAAGCGTTTCCAGGAGGCGCGCGACGCGGACGATGTGCGCGAAGTCGTGGGATCCATCGTAGGTATCCTGGACCGCTTGCACCTTCTCGGCGACGAAACCCAAAAGCGCCGCTTCCCAAGTGGTGGGTGCTAAATTCCCAAGAGAAGGGTACGAAATTCCCGAGGACGTAGGTGAAGCGCTATCTTCCTTCATCTGAGGCGGCGTACGAGCTATCATGGCACAAGTAGAGGCCACATTGCTCTGCGCAATACCAAAAAGGCCGGGCGCAGTAGTTTCGTCTGGACCTTGTTCAGCCGGACCTGCTGGATGGAGGCTGGTGTCGCGCAAAGGTTTTGAAGCTGGTGAGGAACAAGTTGGCATGTTTTCGTTCGCGGCTATTAAGCCCTATGATTTGTTTACTTATATTCGCTTTCTCCAAGAAGAACAATCGACTTTTCCTCGGATATCCAAAGGAGTGACGGAGGTGGTCTACAACAGCTTCGCACGAGAAACTACGATTAAAAGGTTACGCGCGTTGTCCTCTCCTGCCGCTTACAGGTACAACTTCTCTCTCTTCTATGAATTTGCGCGGAACTCTCGTTTGCTCCAGATCGATGGCCGTCTTACTTTTTTATTGCGTCTGCGTTTCCAGGTGCGGTGCCTATGGATGATCGGAACAAGAACACTCTTCTGCTTATTGATTGTTATCAGCGACCAGTTAGGTAGATGAACTCGAAGAAAGAACTACACCAACTACACCAGGCACAAAAGAACAGGTAGGCCCAGACATCTCTGTGTCATTACAGCTGCACGCGAGTGCGCGCCTCTGAGGGTCAATTCAGGGCTGACGGTGGGTGTAAGTTGCGCTTTTTAGAAATACAACCGATTGATGTTGCCACTTCACATTCTGCGGTGACTGAAGGTTCAATCAGCACAGACCTAGACCTAGCTAGGTCGCTGCTTGGTTTTTCAAAGGAACTGCGATAACCTACATACGTCATCATCATCATTTATCCTGCACTAGGGGGGGGCGTGCGGAGGTTTGGGCTCGAGTTCGTTCAAGCTGCATCTCGAGGGTTTCTCACTGCAGCACCGCACATCGCTTATCGTCGCTTACTAACATCAGAGAAGTCTGAATATCGAAACATGGTCGTATATATGAATACGTATGTTATTGCTCAGTTTTTCAAAGGAATTTATATATGTATCGATCTCAATTCTTCTTTTTTATGGTATTTCTTGGAATTTTTTTTTTTTGATGGATGATCTGATAGCACGGCCGATAGGTCACAAAGCTGTATCCTATACGTTGCACTATCGTCGTAAATGTATGAAGATGATGTGGTCATCTTGATTTAGATCGGAATTCATTGATACACCGTCGCCGTCCCGGCGCAAGACGGCGCCCCACCGTCACCTCCTGACTCCGGAACCAGCGCGCGGCCGTACCACGCAGAAGCGTCAATCGCAAGTTTGAGAAGTTCCACGATCTTTGCGAAAGCATGCTCAGAACGACGCTCTGCCTCGTCCTTTTTTTGTTTGTAAACCGGCAGTTCCTTCTCTCGAACTTGGTCCCGCGCCTCGCTTAACCCCTTAATCTGCTCGACCAAGTGTTCCTGCGCACCGTCGTACTTGTCGAGCAGAGACTTGTACTTGGAGTCAATCTGTAGTATTGTGCGTTGTATGATCACGTGGAATTTTATGCATCTACATGCGCACTTCTTTGGATTCGGGCTCGATGAATAAAAAGTGGAACGCAGAATATTAACTCGGATCCTGCAGTGTCTTGAACAAGATAGATAATTTCACTAGGCTCCAAAATGATGATGATCTGCTTCTTCATCAGAAATTACAATGACGAATGATGTAAACTCCACTTCGCCCAGCACGCAATAAGCTAGGTCAAATTTATTTTCATCACTACCGCAGATGCTCTGAGAGTCTTCTCCTGCTCCAAGTTCCGCTTGAATATGTCATAATTGTCGTTCAAAGTCTTCAGCTGGAGTGCCCTGCTCCGGCGCATAGCAGTTTCCTCGTCGGTCTCCGGTCCTTGGGGTCCGAAGATTGTGTTGATCACTTGACACTGGCTTGTCCTTTGATTTTCTAAGCATTCTGCACGCAATGCCATCTCTTCCTCCAATTGCCGCACTTCGTACCTCTGCAGGGAGGCCAGCTGCGGTTTGCTTTTGTTGCCGCACCAGTCCAGTGTTTTCTGCAGCGCGTTAATGCCCGTGGTCAGGGCCCCACTGGTCTTCTGTGTGATAAATCCACACAGTTCGGCTCGCGCATCGTGATCGCTTTTCAGCGCGTCACGCACTAACTCGACCTCCTTCTTGGCATACTGTTCGAACCACACGAGATTGACGAGCTGGCCCATGTCTAGCTGCGATTTTCCGTGGTCTTGTAAGCTCTGGACCGCAGCTTCGTGATTGGCTACAAACTGACGATTCTGGCGGACAACTGTTGGCTTTCCACGTTCCTCCTCTGTGGTCTGTGCGAGGACTTCTTGATGGAGATCGCGATAGTCCGCGACGACCTGTTGTTCATCATGTACAACCAGCTGTACCCCGTCGCGGTCATCCACGTGTTGCGTTAAGTCGGAAGAACCTCCCCCATCATGATACCCATGAAGATACTCCTTGTTTTCCACGACAACGGCTCGATCGGAGCAACAAGTGCTAGCGGACGAGTGACAGACCATTTTTCCGTGTCCTTGGAACGACCCAGCCATCTCTTTTCCGTCGTCAGCACAGCGCGGGGGCGCTGCGAGATCATCCGTCGCACAGTGTTTCACTTTCATCTCCGTAGTCGGCTCCGCAGTCAGCAAAGTTGACTCTAGATCCGGTGAAATCGCCGCCATGATCTTCTTTCCGCCATGGGTAGAAGTGGTAGAGCAAGTGGCATCATGATGAAAATCTTCAGGGTTGTTCAGCTGCGCAGGGGCGCGTTCACCCAACGCCGTTGCAACGTCGGATGTCGATGCGCTTCTCTCATCAACCCTCGTCGTACTGTCACAGTCATTGAAATTATACTGCGGAAAATCGTATTCATCTTCGGTAAAAGTGGTGGACGTCATGTTTTTGTTGACCAATGAGACATCTTGTTGCTGTTTTTCTTCACCGCCGTTGCCGCTGTTCATTTCATAGTTTGTCTCTACCGCCGGCGTGGAACAGAACCAGGAGTCCGGGTCCGGCGCGGCGCAAGTGAAATAAGTCTGGCGCTGCACTTGTTCTGGATGCGAGAAGGAGGCTGCAGCGAAATAACCCCCGTCCGACCCGTTGACAAACTGAGTTGGAACACCAGGCTGCACGTTGTAGTACGAGTAGTTTGCGTCATCTCCATACACTCCTGGAACGGGCACAACTTCGTGAGTCGGGGTGGTCCAGCACATATTAACCGGCGTACTAGCGGGGTAGTTGCCATCAGCAGTTGAAACGAAAGGTGCCGAGGTACTAACATAGTTAGAGCCTGGTGTAGAAATCTCCGGTGGCAAATAAGCTTCGGAAACAGATGCTGAACCAGCTAGCATGAAAACCTCGTGCGTCGTCGCCGGGGCGGTACCCTCCATGGGCACGACCGTGTAGTGCGGCGACGGAACCGGCCATTTGTCGTCCAGCGCATTTTGGGGAGTCTTGTCTTTTTCCTTGCCCGAAGATGAAGGCAAGGGACCAATCGGCGGCGGCAACGGGCGATACGGAGACAGAACTGTAGGAGTTGATAGCATATTTTTAATTTTTTCTATTTCATGTGGTTACGTGAGGGTCTTTCGATTCCAAAACCAAAAAATCAAGCGCAGCATCTTTTTGACATCACGAAGAAAAACACGGGAGAAGGGCTGTCTGCTGCCGAAAATATTCCAATACCTCGCTCACTTTGATTTTCGACGACAGGATCTTTCACGGAGTTCATCCCCTTCTCCGCCGGCCGGTGCGAGACGGGATCATCCGGATCGTCATCCATCGAGTTCTGCAAGTCGCTCCAGCCGGTAAGACTGACCTCCGGTCGTGGTGAAGAACTCATCTTCTCGAAAATGGAAGCTCAACAAGTTTCGACAGCTGAAATGTTAGCCTGCAACTGGATCTAGATCTACTAGGCGTAAATAAGTACAAAAAAATAAAAAAACTCCGAAATTAGAAATATGCAGAACAAACTCAAAGTGAATCTATCAAGACCTGATGAACAGCTATGTTTTAGCTATGAGAAACTACAGAAACGTGAGACAATTCAAAAATACACATGTTCCATGTCTGACGAAAATGAAACATACGAATGACACCGATCGTGTCCGGAAAAAAAGTATCATCCTAAACTTGGCGAACGCACAGGCACAAGCATGAGCAAGTGTGAAAAGCACATAGCAGAGTAAAACTAAGTGTTGTGCTAGAGGAAGATCTTGATGATCATAAACCGGAGCGTATGAGGGCTTGTGATCCTTTTTGTTGTTGGTGTTTTGATCTTCCATCAACCTGAATTGAGCACCAGCAGCAAGCAACATTATTGACATCTTCATCCTTTTCATTCTCAGCCAAGTGGCGGAAAAGTAGAGCTGCAGTAGAACGCAAAGAAAGAGCAATCTGTAGCCAGCATTGCGCGTGCGTCCGCCTTAATTCCGGGCTTCGAAGCTCTAGCTCTTGCTTTTCGCCCTACAGTTGAGCGCAGAGCTCCTTGGCTGTTGAGCAGTTGATAAAGCTTACCATACTAGCTCCTCCTGTTGAGCAACAGCTTTCTCGACAACGACAGCGCGAGCCTCGCCATCATGGTATTAGCAGCACTTTAGAAGTACTTAATATCATGATTCTACACAGTCAACATGTTCTTGCGCGTGCAGCGTGCTTTGCATTTATAACTATGGTCAACATGCTTGAGCGTTTTTAGGACTGCTCTGCCTGCAGCTGCTTCCTCATCATGGCGGAATGATTTTTACTTCATCAAGGCCATCAATCACATCGACAGACACATACTCAATACTGCGCGCTGCACCACGATCCCCCGCAGGCCCTGTATTCACACCCGCACTTCCAATCCCGGCATTATTTCCAGTACTTCCTCCACCGACCCCGTTCGCTGCCTTGTTCGGAGTAAATTTCAGCGTCGCGTGCTGGTAGAGATACGACCCGCTCGCGCAGCGACACGGGGCGTCGCTCATTATGCTGGCTTCTTGCTGTTCCGCAAGCTGGGCTTTATGTTGCGCGCTGTCGTGTAAAACATCCCCAGCAATGACCCGATCTCTACTCCCAGGCGAGGCTACTTTGGGCGCTTTGTTGGCACTCACCGGTGCGATTTTGATGGCGGAGGCGGGAGGCTGGCAGAACAACGGATTGTAGGACAGATTCGCGTATCCTGTGCAAAAGTATCGTACTCGTACTAATTGCAATCTTGCATGACAAACCTACCTTTTTACCTCAATTAGCATTACAAATTCCATTTTTCTTTCTGATAAGATTTGTAATGCAATTTGTACTAGTACGATACTTTTGCAATGCATATCGCGGTGCTGGTGTTTTTCGCGTCGGCGAGGTACAAGCTTCCCGCAGATCTTGCGGATTCTGGCGGCTCCGTGGGGTTCATTTCCGAGATGGTAGTCGGAGAAATCACAATTTCGTTCGGGGAAATTGCCGCTGCTGATCCTGATGGTGCTGACGGGTTTTTAATATTCGCGTTTAGAGCGTTGCTTTTGGCTGCTTGATCCGCGGTCCGCGTTGTGTCAGAGGTGGTTGAGAGGGACGTTTTTGAGACGACACTTGGCTGCTTCAGTTTATTCGATGCAGACGACGCTGCTCCTGGTGCGCCAGTACTGGTACCAGTAGCACCGGTGTGCCGCTTCTGCTGCTGCTCGGGGACCACCACTACGTCTTCTCCAGCTCCCGGGACGAGGTGTGCTGTACCTGTACCTGTACCACTCCCCGAACCAGTTGCTGCACTACTACTACTTGCTACAACGCCTCCTCCAACTGTCATGTCGAAGTAGTCGGTGAAATTCGTTTTCATGCACATCAGCGTCAGTTTCAACGAGTCCCCATCCTTCGACAACGAATACACTGTGGTTTGGTCCAAATTTGTCCCGGAAACCAAATACTTCCGGCTGTAGCTTCCCCGGTCCAAGTTCGCAAGTCCACACTGACACATCTGCGTGGTCACCGCCTGTATCAGTGCGGAGGTGTGGTTTGCGGAGAGTTTCTCTTGCTTCGCGAAGGCCAGAAAGAAATTCTCCAGCTTTTCGAGGAAAAAATACTGAAACTTCTCCTTCAATTTCTCTTCCTTTTGGAGCTGTGACATCGCAGAGGATATGATTGGCGCAGGAGCAGGTGCTTTAATATTGCCGGTAGACAGAAGTGAGGAGTTTACTTGCTGGCTCTTGCCCGTTGATCCTACAACTCCCGCCTTAGCTCTATTTTTAGGCTCTTCCGACATGGTGGAAGAGCTTGACTTACTATAAACCGCATACGGTTCTTTATTGTCTGTGGCGGGCGGAACGGCCGTCGAGGACGTGTTGATCAGAGGTCTATTGTGATTTGAAGATGATACCTTATTTCCACTGTTCATCGCCACATTATACGACGAAACCGTACTGCTCCCACCGACCGTGGTCGAGTTCGTGCTCTGGTCCATGCCGGTATGTACGCTAGACAAATTTTTCGCGCTTTCCAGGTACTTCGCGAAAGAGAAGCCCTCGCCGTCGATGGTCCATTCCGCGCGGGCGATGTCCTTTATCAGCTGCGTGTTCACGTCTTTCGTCAAAATCCCCTCGAACGCGTCCTGGTACTTCCTCTCGTCGATCGGTTTCGTTAGGTCGAAAACGTCGTTTTTCACGCTGTGGCGGAAGAGCACGAGGAATTGGACTAGGTGGGAGGATTTCAGCCGCAGTTCCGGCTTCTTCGTTTCGTAGTGGATGAGAAATCTCAAATTCTCCTTCCAGAAAACCTCCCACGGGATTTTCGCCGGCGGATAGGCCGATCTAGGATCATTTTTATTCGTACTAGATATAGATTTATTTGCACTGCTTGTTTTCCCAGGACTGCCTGTTTGTTGGAACAGCACCGAGGCCAGCGCCGGATCGTGGTACAAGCGGACCAGCACCTGCTTCAAATCGTCCTCCGTCGGGCCCGTCGGGGGGTACTTTTTCTCGAAGCTGGGCACGAGAGCCATGTGGTGCTGCGAGGACGAAGAGGACCGCTTTGGCTGTTTGCTGCTGGACCGCGTATTCACGACCGGGCGCTGGCAGACCGCGGTGCAGGGGCCGACGAGAAAGTCATCCTGCATCGACGCGGAGGACGTGGACAGACAGGCACCGAACATGATGCTGGCGCCGTCGAGGGGACAGCACTAAAAAATGGGGAAGAAACGAAACCCAAACCGGCTCACTATCCAAGAACTCGTGAAGATCCTATGATCTTCTCCGCCTGAGCTTTTTCACTCGCGGCCGCGGATTCAGCTTTGGTGGAGCTCTGGAGATTACGAGCTGCGCACAGCTCTGGGGATTCCGGACACAGGGCCAAAGAGAAGTCTATGACTATGAGTTTCGAAGGTGGCGTAGAGAAAGAGACCTTCTACTTCTATCTAATAGGAGGAGGAGAAGGAAACCACTACAACAGTCAGCTTCTAACTACTAAGCTATTCTCTCTTTTAAGCTAACCATAGGACATGTTTTCGCAGTTGACTAGCCAAGCAAAACCGCAGATCTGTAAACCACTAGGGCGCTGTCTTCCTCGGTCCTTGCTCAAAGCCCAACTGCCGGTCTGTACTGCAAACGCCCCCATGGTGTCGCAGGCCGCTTGATTGTAGTGGCTCGCTGGATCCGCGGCAGTAGTTGTGTCCGCTTGCTGTGCGTCTTCACTTGATGTCGTAATTTCCGATGGAGAGACAACGCAACATACTAGCTACTACACCGCGATGCGTGTCAAACCACTCAGATGGCTCGGGGCGCAAAGTTTGGAGTTGTAGCGCTGGCACACAACAGGGTCGAGACCGAAGCCCGTTGCCAGAGTGCCCAGACACCACGCCTGTTCGTCGAGAAGAAGTGAGCCACTACTGTGTCGAATGGTTGTGAGGGCGAAGCAACAGAGTTACCTGTAGGCTGAAGCCCGCAGTGGAGGACTCCCAATCCCTCCAGCGTCGAAGTGAAGTAGTGCAGCATGATGATATTATAAAAACGTCGCCCGCTCCGACGTAGTACAGAAAGCTCCCCCGTCGTCGATCCTCGGCTGACCCTCCCCCGTCGTTGGCGGAAGTCCTTCTGTCGCGCGTGTAGGCGCGTCCACATCCGACGTCGTTAAGGGGGGCGCTGTTCTCGAGCACGCTGGCTGTGCTGATGCACAAAGAAAGATAGCATGGGTGGAATCAAAGGAATAACCAGGGGAACGACAAAAGATCGATAAGGACAAGCCCGCGGGTTCCTCTCACTGACATGTCCTGCGCCCTCGTCCCTAAGAAAAACGCAGGCCCTTGTCGCGTCGCTCGATCACGGCACGAAGGTCACGACCACGGCGGGCGCGGGTGGAGTGTATAAGCTAATCTATGCGCTATCTCTCTATTATCTATTGGCCCGGTTTCTTTACTTTCTTTTTTACTCTTACTATAGTTTTTGCTATCCGCGGCCTTCTATCTAACTCCACGACGAGGCTACGCGGTTACCCGTGCTGCGGCGGCGCTGTCAGTGAGGGGGACGACGCCACTATTTTCTTTCTTGTATTTTTGACCGACGTATGTGGTTCCTAAAGGGACGAGGCTCACCGGGGTCATTAGGCTCGCTATGGCCAACCTGCAGCATCCAGGGACCCTCACGAGGCCCTCGCCCCCACGGTTTTTGGTTGGATTTCAAGTAGTATCCGTTCTCAACAACGACGAAGAACAACGACGAAGAACAACGATCTACTTTTTGTTGCCATTACTTTTTGTTGCCATTACTCACGAATAAACCACTTCGTTGCTCGAAGTCGAACTTTGGCGCCTTATTCTCAGCGCCTCTTCATCACATTTGGTTTCCCCTTTAAAATGTCACTTAATATAGATCGGCCTCGAATAGTTCCAAAAACTGAAGTCTAGTATACTACTAGCTTCTATCTAATAGAAGTATTAGTATACTACTTAAATTTTAGTTTTACTTCTTCCGGGCGGCGACACTGCTCGATCCATTGCGGAAAGCAATCAGGAGCATGTATGGTACTTCAACTTCTCGTGTTTCGCCCAAAAGGAAACTAGGGCAGCGAAGAAGATGACGCATTGAAGTCGATGAACACGAAGAAAGCATAAGCAAAAGACTGGTGCGCAGCACTCTGGCTGGCGTGTTTAGGAAAAGCTTCCGAAGTTCTGCATGATCGTGTCGCTTTTTATGTCTTTCGAATATCGAAATGCGTGCGGTCGCCAACTCCATTCATGTCGAGCTAAGCTAAGCACTCAAGAAGTGCGCCGGAGGACCCGCAGCCATGTTGGGAGATGTGGGTATTTTTTCAAAAAATATCATGACCGGGAGCGCGGCCGGGGACGGGGTAGTCACTATCTTCTGATAAAGGGGGGTTTTTGGCTACCCTACTGCAAGTCGATCTCGATGGCGTGGTGGGTATCTCATTTCATCTCGGCGAAAGAATATGCTGGGCAGAACAAGATTCTCGAAGGACTTAAGCTTCCAGCTGCAGAATCATGGCTTCCTGCTTCTCGAATTTCCGGTCCAAGAGACTTGCATCTGTGACGTCTTCTCCGTCGAGGTACACCCTCTTCGACAAATTACACCGCACGAACTTTTCCTTCTTCGGAAAGCCCTGCTTTATTACCGCGTAGCGCTCCAAGCCAATGAGCGACATCGCAGGATTTGCTGACAAGGTTGGAAACAAATTTTGCTGCGTTGTCGCGTGTTCCAAGTACTGCACCACGTCCAGAATCTTGCTGTTGGATTTCAAAAAGCGTCGCTTCTGTGCCGGATCCGACTTGAAGCGGAACTGGATCGTTATCGCGTCCGCGTTGGCCTGGTCCGGCTCCTGCTGCGGTTCCGGCACCTTCACGTCTGCGAGCGAGGCTGCTATGGCGGCCCGCATATCGGCGTCCATCTCCGGGTCATCGACCGCTATTGGCTGCGAGGACTGGGAAGCACCACCGCCGGAAAGCGTGTTGCCGGCGCCAAGCTTGCTCCAGTCGGTCTCGACTTTTCGCTTGTCGGAGGGGACCACCATGGTGAAGGCAGGTTTGCCGTCGCTGTTGTAGTTTCGATGGAGGTCGTGGGAGAGATTGGTGGATTTTTGCGACGTCAGTGATGTCATGTTAGAACTAGAAGACTAAATGGAAATGCTCTCTACTATGCAGGACGAAGAGGAACGTCTGGGAACCGCCGAAAAAAATAAAAACTTCGACTTCTGCATATCAACTCACAGCTTTCAAGTACTTCTTACCCATCCTCTCCATCTCCGCCACCCTCGCCTAGTTTCTGTGCGTCCTTCATTTCCTTGTCTTCCGTTGCACGGTGCTCATCTCGCAGCCTGTCCATGTCCCGATCATTCAGGAAGTGCTGATGCCCCGCAAGATTGCGATGGAGAAACTTGTCCGGCGGTGGAAGCGTAACGCTGGACTTGGCGGAGTTTTGGGCTGATATGTTTTGCGTATTTCGTCTGACTCTAACTCTAAGGGGGAATGCATCTTCACTGCATTACAATTACCACACAACGATCGATCACCATGAGGGAATGCAAGAACACAGTTGCCATTGAAGTACGAATAAAGCTGTGGCATATAGACATTCAGATGACGCCGGAAAGCGAAAGTAGGATAATAAATGATCAAAGTCAAAAATATCAAACCCATGAAGACAATGTAGTACGTGGTCGCACGACGAACACCGTGAAGCCCGCGCTCATGGTTGATTCCAAGAAGGAATTCAGGTGCGAGTCCGAGATAAACGTCGGCGCCGGCTTCAAGGAGTCAAAATCGTACCACTTGGAGAACACCTTTCGCAAGCAGAACCAGTGCGCCCGCCGGTGCGAGTTGCACACGTACGCTTCCTCACGGTACGCACCGTCTTGGGTGGACATGATTTTGGATCGCACGTCGGGCCGGTCGAGGTTCACCAGCGTGATGTCGTACTGATTCAGCGCGCGCTCCATCACCGGCAGGGAAAAATTTCCGTCCGCGTCCACGTTGTGACTCTCTCCACCGGGGATGGAGGGGCCGCCCATTATCCTCGACTCCTCCGCGTCGAGCTGCTGGGCAATGGCGCCGAGCGTAAACTCGTCAAACGCCGGCTGTTGCATCAGGGCGTTCAGCGTGTGGACCGCGCACAGCTTGTCCTTGCCCTGCTTCTCCCAATACACTTGACGGTTGGCGGCGTCCATTCTGATTTGTCGCTGGGTTTGAAGTGGAGCTAGAGATGATCGGAGGACGGATATTACAGAAAACGCTTTTCAGGCCAGGTTTGGAATTTGAAGATGAAGGCCTTGCGGCCGGATGAAAAAGATAAGTTCAAATGTTGCTCTCGTTTGTTGATGACGATGAGAGATGTTTGTGCACCATCCAAAGCAAACTTTGTGAAAAATGACTGTTGGCGGTCGCTGGTATTTGAGAGTTTGTTGCAGTACAGATTTTTAGGTTCAATCTTCACACCGGAACACAAGTGCAGGATTCAATATGAGCACACGACTCAAAAATCTCAGCGTCTGGGTGTGTCTGTGTTGTCGATCTGTGACTGTTTGATTTGCTAATATCCTACACATTTGTCTTCCACCGGAACACCATTTCGCTTCGAGAAGGTTGTTGAGAGCTTTCAGCTACTCGGATACAACTTCTCTCCACCAGGAGAAAACGAGTATTTCCAGAGGTGCATATGGGTGAGTCAGGAGTTGCAGTTCATTTGCAAAATTCGTTCTTTCATCCACAAGGACAGCAACTACAGCTACTCGGCCACGTCACTGATGAAACAGGCTAACAACTGCAAATCTTACACAAAGCAACGCCAGTTACGCACGGACCGCCCGTGATCAGAGGGGGTCTGGAAATGCCTCAGGAATGCTCCAGGAATCTGCTCAGAAATGTCCCGACTTTGCATATATCGCCGCGCATCGGAGTCATCGCCGTGGTCGCTTTTATACGTCGCACATCACTGACGCGCGACACGATGGGCACGCCATAGCAACGGAATGACGGGCCACGGGAATTATCTGCGCCGTCCTGGACGACCTACATTGGGTTGGCGGACCGCCGGCCGGCGCGAAGATTGGGCGCGGGCAATAGATATAGACCCAAAACCACAGACCCGGCGAACCCCCGGGGCGCGCGCCCTACGCCACCACGCTGCAAAACTGAAGCGCATGCCGCTCGCGTCACACGCGTGACACGATGGCGCCACGGTTCGGAAAAACGGGGAGCGCCCCTCGGAGGGTGTTGTGCGCTGGTTAGGACAAAGGTGGTCGCCCAGCGCGCAAAGCTGGTGGCCGGCTGGCAATCCGTGCGACGGCTGGTGGCCGGCTGACAGGGCGCGCATGCGAGCGCGCGGCCCACACAGTGCGGCCCGCCCGTCCGAGCACGCGCCGCGGCCTGCGTCTGTTGCGCGGGCCGTGTTTCCTAGTTTCTTTCTGCGAAAATACAAACCAGCGCGCCGGCGCACCTTTGCTTGTGCGCTTGTAAGAAACACGCCAAGCAGGTTTCCTTGGGGAAAACCGAGAGGGGCCCTGGCTTCTTCCCCCCAATACGATTTTCCTGAAGAAAGAAAAACCGGGCCCAACCCTCCCAAGATCCCCCAATCGGCGGCCTTGCCCTGGGTGCCCAGCTAGGTAGCGCGCCGGGCCAGCGGCCTGCCCCTGCAAAGGCACACACCGGGCCGCCTACCATCAACGCAGTGCGGTAGGTGTCGCCGGCCAAGGTCGCACGCGACAGCTGCGGCACGCGAAGCTTCTACAAACATCCTGAGCCCGGCGGCCGGGCCGGCCGGGCTTCCAAAGCCCTACTCTTTACCCGCAAAAACCTGCACAATCTTGCGCCGGACCCTCCGCCCGCCACAGTTCTTCGCCCCTTTGTTCGCTGCGTGCTCACTGGCCGCGCCCAAATCCCGAAGAACTGCCCGAAGCGCCGGCCGCCCATTCCGGCCCCCCTCCGTCGGACCGGCCGACAGTATTCACGTGCCCAGTCTTAGCAATCGGCCTGGGCGTGCTCTGCAGGACATCCACCCGAGACATCAAAAGCGCGAGGAGCGCTCTGGGCCTGCTCTGTAGATCACTCCGCAACTGCTCTGGAGATGCCGCGGCCTTGCAACATAACACCGGAAAAGACGGCAATACTGCCGCGCCGCGGATCTTCTTCGCAGTTTCGCGGAAATTTTGACCCTTTGCAGCCTTCACGCAAAGGCATCTTTTTCACAGGGTCGGACTCGTTCGCCACGGCGCAACGGCCCGCGCCCGAGATCGATCGAATCAATCTCGGACGGATTTGCCATCGGTTCCCTCACTCTCGGGTCGCTGTGGCGATCGTTATGAACTTGATCCGCGCGGCAATTCTTGCCGAATATATAAGACGAATGAGGGGCATCCTGAAAAGCAAAAAAAAAACCAGCAAGGGCACTGCGTAACCCGCGAAAAAGCAACACCAGAAAAAGCCGAAACGCGGAAAATCGTGGCGCCATTTCTGCTATTGGGGAAAAAATGTCGCGGCTGTTGCATTTTTCTCCTTCAGGAAAAAACCTGAAAGCGTTTGCATTTTTTTCCTTCAGGGAAAAACCTAAAAAAGTTCGCGCGATTTTCTATAACAAAAAAACCAAAAAAGCTGCGCGCGATTTTCTACTACAAAAAAACCAAAAAAGTTGCGCGCGATTTTCTATTACAAAAAAACCCAAAAAGGTGCGCGCGATTTTCTAAAGGCCAGAAATGTGAAAAATCGCCGGCCTGATCGGCCTCATACCATCGGGGAAAGGCAGGTAAAATGGCCCGTCTTCGGTTTTGGTTTTTTTCGAGGGGGGATTCCCGCGCAACTTTTTTGGGTTTTTTTGTAAAAGAAAATCGCGCGCAACTTTTTTGGTTTTTTTGTAGTAGAAAATCGCGCGCAGCTTTTTTGGTTTTTTTGTTATAGAAACTCGCGCGAACTTTTTTAGGTTTTTCCCTGAAGGAAAAAAATGCAAACGCTCTCAGGTTTTTTCCCCAAAGAAAAAAATGCGAAGGCCTCGGCATTTTTCCTCCCTTTACAGAAATGCGGCACCCGGCAGCGCGTGTGGCTTCGCTTTGGCCTTTTTTTTTGCCTACTTTCTTGGCCCGGTCCTTTCAATTTTTTTCGCTTCGTTCGCGGTCTTTTTACTACCGTAGCCCGATTCAGATTCACCACGATTCTGATTCTCATTCGCGACGCTTCTGATTCTGATTCACAACATGTGGCCTCCACAAGCCAAATAGCTTACAACATGTGGCCTCCACAAGCCAAATAGAGTTTTGTTCTACGCAATATCCACAAAGGGCCAGCTGTAGTCGGGGCGCTGAAGCTCCTCAGCGCTCATCATCGTCGGACTCTGGGTCTTGGGGCCGCGCTCGCGAACTCCGGCGGCTGCTGCTTCATCCGGCTGCTGGCCGCCGCCCTCGTTGGTGAAGGAGTGCCTAAGTCGTGCCGAGGGAGAGGAGCGGCGCCACACATGGCGCCAGTGGCTGCGCCAGTGAGTTCAGCAGCCCCATTAACTTCATACGTTTCGGCTTTGCCTAGAAGCCGCTGCAACGCCTTCGCCGGCACTTGCATCCAAGCAAGGCCAACACGGCCCGCGCGGGGGCGCCTGCCTGGCTGTCGGCCGGCGGCCGGTCCGGCTGGCAGAAGCCAGGAAGGGCTCGCGGGCTGAGGCAGGCCTTCGCCCCAGGTGAGGTCCAAGACTGCCTTGGATGCCAATCATAGACACACACACGCGGCAGTCCCCTGGGCTTTGGCGGTAGAAGTGGAGGGAAACTGACTGAAGCAATTCTGCTTGCCACCAAACCACCCAAGACCAGCAAGAGACGAGAAAGAACGAAGCCGGGTCCGCCCGTGTCACGCGCGTGACACGGTGGCCCTGTGATCTAGAGAAGCAGGGCAGCATCCCCCTCGCGCCAAGGGGCGCGCCTGCGCGTGCGAAAGCAATGCGCCACGACAATGGGCTGACGAGGCGCCCGGCTGTGGCCAAGCGGCGCCGGCAGGCGGCCAACCAATCAATGGGAGGCCGGCAGTTGGTTGCTTGCCCTCCCGGGTGAGGCCGGCCGTGCCTGCCGCCCACAAGGGAGGAGGGCCAGAATAGCAGTCCGCCGCGCAGAAAGCAAGGCCGGGCCCGTGCCTGGCTGCCACAGAAACAAAGAAAGGAACAGCGGCAAGGCCAGCACACTGCCTTCTTACAGAGGCAGTCCCGCTGAAGGTCCCAACCTGTCAGAGCAGGCACTGAACCGCCGGGGCGGCGGAAATGCAGGGGCAGACGGGGCGCCTGCAATGCTTCGAACCGGGCTGCGGACAAGACGCCGGCGCGCCTGCGACAAAACGAAAGCGGGCGCAGATAGGCCCGACACAAGTGTGGCGCTGCGGCACTTCGCGTCCATATATGCAAGGGGAGGCCGGCAAAGGGATAAGGGGCAAACGGGCGGCGCCCGAACGTCAACGCCAGCCGCGGCCCGCATTGCGCGCCACAAAACTGCGCCAAATACGGCAGCGGGCGCCGCGTCTCGAGGAAGCTGCTTTGCGATGGCCCGGCTCGACGCCTTGCGTGCCCCTCTTCCCTGCAACCACAATGAGGGGCGCCGGCGTTGTGGGAATTGCCTCCGCCTTACATTCCCGAGGCCATTTCTGAGACATTTTTAAAGATGGCGGGATCACGGGCGTGGCAGTGCATAAGCCAGTTGTAGGTGTGTGCAACTCTCTTTTGCGGCACTATATTTCTGCTGCATGATGGAACGTGTTCTTTCTACGTTGTTGTAACCTTGTTAGGAGAAAGAGCCGAACCTTGGCGAGGACAAAACTTCTTCGCTTTTTCTTGGAAACGTAGAAGACAGGCTGCGCGAAAGCTCATCTAGATCTTGGAACACGGTTGTAGCGGTTTTGTGTTTACTGGTCGTGGACGAAGCTGTTGCTGCGCTTACAGCTGCTTCTTTGCCCAACCCGCTATTGTCTCCGGATGCTTTCACCCTTGCGCTATTCCAGCTCGGATTGTAGGTGGTGGTCCCAAACCCGACCGCTGCACCGCTCGGAGCCCTGCTCATCTTTGACAACAACAGTTCAGTCGCTTGCAACGTGCTGTACTGCGAGTCAAAATCGATGCTGTGAGGGGGAAGTAAACGACTGCTCGCCGACGTCCCCGTCGTCGTGGTGTCCTCTGCGCCGCTTGTTGCCTCGTCTCGCGTCGGCAGATGCGATTGCGCACCTCCTGCAGGAACATGCAGAGGAATTCCAGCGGTGTCCTCTTTATTTGGCATCAAATCGTTGTCCGTCTGCCGTTGTTGTGCAAGAAAGCTTCGCTGACTCGGAACGAAGCCGAACTTACTCTGCACTTCCAGCTGCCGTTCCGCTTCCACAGCTTGGCGCCAGGTCACCGCCGTTTCCAGCGGGTCTTGTAGTTTGATTTTCGAAGCGTCGTTGATCTTGCTGGGTAACATCCCCGCTGACCAGCCCTCCGTGCTGACTGGCCGTGGCTGCACTCGTAGCTGTTCTGTAGTTGCAGTTCGTCTTGCACTTGAGCCTGGTGTTGAGGAAACATCAGTAGCTACGGCGGTGGTCGCTGCGGTGGTTGTGTTGCTTGCTTTCGAAGCTGCAAATGAAAATCCGAGTGGTAGTACCGCTGCAGATTTTTCCCGCGTCGCGGAGCTCATGCTAGCTGAAGACACCGTCGGGCCCGGGAGGCCTTGTTTTCTTGGCAAAGCCGCTTGCGCTTTTGTTTGGGTTTGACGGGTAGGCTTCTTGGTCTCGTCTGGTCTGGTTGCTGTTGCCCCCGTGTGTCTCGCCATACCAGAGAGGCCAGTAGTTTTTCCTGCCAATACGGTTTCGATTGGATTCGGTGTACTAGTTTTCAGCTGCGCTGTCACGCCTGCCGAAAGCAGGTGGCCAGCTTTTTTCGTGGGTCTTGTCGACCTGGGTTTGGGTGGTCCGCCCGCTCGAGTTGAGGCCGATCCAGCTCCATGACGTCCTGGTATGTTGAATGGCAGCTGCTTCTGCTTCTTGTCACGAACCGTACTCATAGAGCCCGAAAACCGTCCTGGTTCCGGACTGTCTTCAAGTTTCAACCCGCGAGAAGCCTGCGGAGAAAGGACCGGCGACGAGACGCCGACGTCTTCACTGGAGTCACTGGCTGCACCAACGCCCTCTTTCGGCTTGACGCGTGGTAGATAGCCTTTCGCTTTGCCGTTTGCATCCCTGGTGGCACTTCTAGCGCCTCCATAGGTTCTTTTCTTCTTCACAGATTCGGCCAAGTTCAAGTCACTTTTGCGAGTCAGAGCCTGCGCCATAGATCCATCAAGTTCAGACGAGTCTTCCACCTCGCCCTCATCTTCCCGTCTCCGCAACTGCTCGAGTTTGTGCCGTTGTGTGGGTGACAGATCTTCGTAATCACTACTGTCAAACCCGGGAACTGATATCATGAGCTCTTCCGGCGGGCGTCGGAGCACAAAATGCTGGGACGTCGAAGACTTCTTAGTAGACTTCGAACTTTTACTGGCGCGACTGCTGGAGTTTGTGGTTCCTAACACATGTTGTCGATCATTACGGTCGTCCGTTGCTGTCGCTGTTGACGATAGCTCATCCTCGCGCACAGCTTCCAAGCGCTCCGGCTCGTCGTCCGAAGACGATAGCGCCTTCAGGTTTTGCGTTATTTCCGCCCGTACTGATGAAGGAGGGCCGGCGGTGTCCGGCTCCTGCGCGTCCTCGACATGCTGGGCACTGACATCAGCGGTTCCCGCTAGTACAGGAAGAATGTCGACGGCGTGGTCAGCTCGCGCGAGCAGGGAGGCTGTTTCCAACATGCGACGCCGTCGTCTTCTTTCAAAGTCTGGGTCGGGAAGGACGGTGATATGATCCAACTCGTCGTCGACGACATTGTGGTGGTCCCGTGCTGGAAGATGTCCTCGTCTCCTATCTTCTGCAATAGTTTTTGCTTCATCGGAAAGATTCGGATTACAACCGGATGTGGATGACGCGGGGGCCACGACCAGATTTGCCTTCCTTTTTTCCCGTACTTCTTCCAACTCCTGCACCCGCTGTGCGGCCTTCAACAAGTCACGCTCCAACTCGGCGATGCGCTGGTGCAACAGAGCCTTCTCCGCATGCTCCTCACGGAGGATATCGGCAAACTGGACCTTGATGCGGGCGACGAAAGCGTCGCGGTCACGTCGGAACTGACGCTCCATGACAGTAGATCGGGATTGCGACTCGAGAGAACGGACGAACAGGAGAGGAAAACGAAATAAGTGATCAGTTGGCCGCTTGCTAATAGCGCTCACATCTCGACAAAAGTAGAACGAAATGTTGGAAGCCAAAACGTCATTGAATTCTAAAAATCGTCACTGCAGCACACGCTTTCGATATTCTTTAGTTCCTGGCCGCTGCTCCAGATCGAAACACACGACCTACGGAAGCTGATTGCAATGTGAGTATGACGACGAGGCACGATCACGACAACAACCCGATGAAAAAGAGCCACCCGCCTCAATGCCCAGATCCTCGCGCTCACCTCACGTGGCCACACCTTGCTCTCGAAATATGAGAAGAAAACTCGCCAAGCTCAAGCGGAAGGTTTTCGCGATCGCGTTATTTTTCCGTGGCCGTCAAGCTTGATCTGCTGCTCTCTTCGTCTGTCTAGTACGAACAGGAACAAGTATAGGCTCGCGACGCTGATATTTGCGTCAAATACGTGATCGCGACCGAACCTCACGCCTCACCACGGATGCGCGCGCCGGTTGTCGAGCTCGAGGACGATGCGATGACACAGACACGAAATACAACAACACGAGGGGACGCCCAAAGAGAAAGAAGAGCAGGAACAGGAGCGCGCCAAAAAGGACCACAAATCTATCGAACCCATCTCCTTGCTGCAATTCCCACGGAAACTAACAACTCGGGAGCCCGGCCCAAGGTAGGTTGCGGGGGAGCTGGCGCACGCCGCAACTGCACCTAACAAACATAGATACACGGCAGCGGCACCCAGCGACGAGCGGGCTAAGCATACAACTCACCGACCTGCGCTCCTTCTACCAATCCGCAAAATAGCTAATGGTAGTAAAGAATACGACAAGGGCGGAGGACGAGGGGCAGGGGGGCCTGCCGGGCGGCTTCCAGCCTGGGGCAACCCTGCCGCCAGCTTACTAACAGGCAGACGCCAAGCGGCTCGTCGCCCCAAAAACGATACAGGGCACGCAGGCGACACCAGGGGCGTCGCGCCTCCTGTGGCTCCGATCAATCGGAGGGCCCGGGGCGGTTGGACCTGCTAAATTCGCGCTATTTTTTTTCTTATTTTTTCAAAGTGCCAAGCCAGAAACCTTCCCAAGGAACGGCGCTAGGGCGGCAACAGAGGCGGCCCGACGGGGGCGCGGTGGGGCGCCAGGTTTCGGCACTGGGTGCGCAACACAAGGAACGACACACCCCGCGGCCCGAGCCAGATAACCCACTGCCGCGGCCCCAAAATCAAAGGAGCCGGCTCGCCCCTTTTTCATTAAGGAACCACGCCCCCGATGCAAAACCTCAGCCGGCATTCTTTCGATCACTGCAGACAACACGACGGCGAGGTCCCGAATACGCGGCAAATTTTAGGACCTGCTAAAATTCCTGCTATTTTTGCTGCTAAGTATGCTGCTATTTTTGGGGTGGTAAATATTCTGCTAAAAAACCTGCTAAATTTGGGTGCTAAAAATCCCTGCTAAAAATCCTGCTAAATTTGGGTGCTAAAAATGCCTGCTAAAAACCCTGCTAAATTTCTGCTGGAAAAGGGCGGCTGCACGGTCCGCGAAGGGCCCGGAACGTTCTTCAAAACTGGCGAAAACGCAAAATCCTTCCCAGAACGCCTGTGGCCCGGATTTAGCGGGCATTTTAGCAATTCGCGAAGGATGCGAAAATGGTTGCGCCCGGACCTTTTGCGCGACCCTGGTCGCGCGCCTTCTGCTAAACAAAGGGCCGAAACATCCCCGGCGCCCGGACACAACAAATACCAAGGGCAGAGCGACCTCCTACCGACATCGGGCACCCATCGGACCCGAGCCGGGAAAGACTCGGGGGGCCGCGCTCGCTGGGCCGCCCGCCGGCATGGTGGTTGCCAAGGCCGGGCGCCCCGGTGGCCCACAAAGGAAAACGGACAACACAAGGATTTCGCGGCTGCGGAAATTCAACGAAACCCGAAAACCAACGCGGCCCCGCGCGAAACCTCTCGAAGGTGGAGGGGAGGCGGCCCGAGGGCGCGCGAAATATTACGCGGGCCCACTGCGCGCAGCTACCGGGGCGGGGCAGGCAACCGCCCGCCACCAATGCCAAAACGGGGCCGGCCTGGAAAAGGCGGCGCCCTTCATCACGCGCCGGCTTCCGGGTTTTTTAAAAATCGCGCAAAATTTAGCACTTTTTTAGCGCCCGCAATGGCCCCGGGGTCCTCCGACTGACTCCGAAACACCCCGCCCGGCCCATCCACGGAGAGAAGGAAACACGGAAACACGCCCCCCCCAAGCAACCACCGAGCCCCACCCCGGCGGACCTGCCTCCCGGGTTTGCCTTGCTTGCTGCCGGGCGCCCGGCCGGGGGTTGGCCCGTCGGTGCGAAACCCGGCGGGCCCCGCCCTTTTGCCGCAGTGGATACGAAACAAACGCGCACAACACCCCGCGCCGGTGCCCTGCTCCCAAAAAGCCATCCGAATCTGCGGCGTGCGGCGGCCGGAACGACTGCCATCGTGGTCCAGCGTCAGGGAGGGCGGGGCGCCCGCCGGTCCTGCGCCAAGGTGCAACCGCCCGGGGCACAGGCGCCGGCCGCCCCCGGGCGCGCCGGGCTGCGGGCGGGGGCTTGCTTCCTTGAACCAACAGGCGGGCCCACCAGCGGGCCGGCCTGGTCGGTTGGTTTCGCAACGCGCGCCGGGATGGCAAGGAGGCTGGCGCCCGCGTCTCATGGTTTGGCCATCTGCGACGCCGCGCCTGAGCTGAGTTGAAACGACGGGCAAAGCTCTTCTCTTGGTTAACGCCGGCACGCAAAGAGCGCGGCAGCCTACCACGGCGCGCCTTCCGCCATATTTATTAACTTGGACGCGACCGCGGCGACGCGCCTTCCGAGCGACGCGACCACCAAGCTCAAATGGGGAGCAAGCCCCCCCCTCCTTCATCAAATGAGAAGCCAACTAGGGCGACACAAGGCAAAACTGGGCCGCCCGTTTTTCTTCTGGATCGCGCTGCGCCGGTTCGCAAGTCGGTGCGCGTGCACAACTACGCCCGAGGTCGGAGCCTTCCCGCTTTGGAACTCGGGCGCTGGCCTTCGAAAGCTAGCTGGCATGGGTTCGATCGGTGCCGCATGGCGTCAGCGAGCCCCCCCAACAAAATCAATGCCGGCGGACGGCCGCCGCGGAGGTTTAGATTGTTAGTTTCGGGCGCGGGGCGGCCTCCCAATACCCCCTCTCCAAGTCGCGCGCGCCTCCTGCCTCCAACAGCCGCCGGGGGAGGGGGCGACAGCGGGGCCCGGGCAACAAGCAACCCACAGCGCTCGCGAGGCGAAGGGACCGCGGGCGGCCTGGCGCGAGCGCCACCGGCCCACTTCGCTGCCCGGCGCCCTGCTTCCTCCAAAAACGAAACCGCGCGCCACCTCATGTCTTTCATCGTCGTCCATGCCATGCGGGTTCGCTTTTCGTTTATTTTGGCTTGGAAATACCACCGGCCCACTTCGCTGCCCGGCAACGTCTGGCCCTCCCGCCCCCCTGCAGCAATTTTTGGCCCCGTTTGTCCCCCAGAGAGAGGGGGCACGGACGGGCGCGCCACTGCGGCAGGGCGCTCGGGCCGTGCCCACGCCCATACTGGGCGCCACCACTCAACGCTCGCGCTACGGTGTATTGGGTGCCGAGAGGAGCGGCGCCGCGCTGCGTTCCGAACTCGCCCCCGGGCTTCCCGCTAGCAACTGGAGGGGCGGGCGCCCAGGGCACGGGGAGCGGAAGACAATACAACGCACGGGAACAAGGCGTCGGCGGCAAAAGCGAAGCCAACAACGAAAGGGGCCAGAGGAGGCCCGCACCAGACCACGAACGGCGCCGGCCAAGTTGCCCACTCTGGCTCTGGGTTTGGCCGCCTCGAATATGCCAACAACGACAAGCAAGGAAGAGACCGGAGCTAATGATCTGGGAGATCCCTGCGAACAACCTCAACCGACCGGCGACAAAAATGACCGCCGCGGTGCGGACAGAAGGACGATGCGAAAAGAAACACGTCGGCAGTCGGCTCTTTTTCGGCAGACGCAGAGAAGTAGCCAGTAGGCGATTATAAATCGCAGAGCCCATGTCTGTTATTTCGGCCACACATGATGGGTGGCATTGCCATTGGGCGATCGATGGAAAAAAAGCGCGTCTTTCAAAGATGTCAGTAGGGTTTACTTTTCTCAATCTCCCCTCAAGAAGTTTCAATTTTCTTACACCTCTGTCCTCCTCACCCTTCCCGCATCAATTCCTGCTGCCGTTTCGTGACGTACTCCAATGTTCGCACCGCTTTGTAACAATCCCTCGCAACAGAGTTTAGTGTCATCAAATCCGCGTGCCGAAGCATTTCCGCCGCATCCTCGCCGGCTAAAACCCTACGCAGTCGGACCGCATTTCGCCCTTCCTGCGCCAAGGCCTCAACCTCAGTGTCTCTGACCCGCGAGGACGCAGCCGTTGATCCGTTGTGCTGCGTATTCGCCGCTTCGTTGATCGTCACTTTGCTGGAAGATTTTGAGTCAACATGTTCCGAAGATTCTGATTTTGTGCCAGCGTCGTTCTTGTTACTTGCAGTACCTCCCTCCGCGTCTGAGCTGCTGGATCCTTGAAACATGTCCTCGATGATCTCGCCGTACATGTACTTCATGGTGCTCGCCAACTTCGGCCCGCCGTCCTCCTTCGCCTGTTCCGCCTGCGGGTTTTTCGGCGAGCTGCCCGGAGAGCTGGACGCGCTCTTGTTCCCGCCGTGCACGATGGTTGATTTCAGCAGCGGCAAGGCGTGCGGCTCCGGCGTCGGGTCTGCGTGCAGCGGTGGCCTCTGCAGGCTGTAGTTATGCACTTCCGGGTGGGTGTAGGCCTTCGTTTTTTTCGAGTTTGGTTTTGAGGAAGAAGATCCACCTCCGCCTCCTCGCATTGGGGAGATGTCATCCAAGACCGCGCGGTTCAACATCCCGGAGGCTCGGATGTTCTTCATATCCCGTACCCCTTCCTCCAAATCTCCCAAGGTCGAGCTCGATGATGAAGCGCCGGAGATACCAGAGCCGCCAGTCTTGTTGTTCTGCGGTGTGCAAGACGGCGCCATCCTGCCGTTGTCATTGCTGTAGGCACCAGAACTGCCCGGCGGTTCTCGTCCTTTGGCCTCGCCATTCGTTGTTGTGATGTGATTGATATTGCCAGTCTTCTTCCCCACTCCGGCGCGGTCAACAGTGTTCGGCGACAAACCTTGCAACTCCGCCAGTTGCTCGTAGGACAGGCCTCCCGTGACCGTCCCGGAGTCGTCCTCTTCCCGTTCCTGCAACAAAGCCAGCTGCAGCCTCTGGTGCAGCTCCTTCCCCGTGCCCACGACGCTACTACTGCTGTGCTCGCGACTGCCTTGTCGAGACCGCGGGGCCGGTAGCTGCGCGAGACAGTTGTTGACCAGGTATTTCCCATCGGAAAAGGACGGGTCGCGGTTCATCGTGTTTACCACGACTCCAGAGGCAGCGCCATCAGGTTGTTGTATCAAAGACGAAGATCCAAGCGGGATTTTCTTCATCTTCTTCCCGGTGGAGCCGGTTGAACTCAGTCCTCCACCCGTGAAGCTGTTGCGAAATTCCAGTCCACTTCCCCCTGCCGACGGCGGGGAAATGCCCTCAGAATCGAGCTGGTTGCTCTCGTGATAATTGCTGTACGCGAGCAAATCGCCGCCAGAGGTGAACTGGGTGTACTGTTCGAAATACGAATCACTCCCGGCGGAACCGCGGCCAGAAGGAAGGTACCGCTGGTGGGCGCCACCAGTACCACCGGAGGCTGTTTTGATGATATAGTATGTTTTTTTTGATAGATCATCACACGGTGGAAAATTATTTGGACGCTACGAGCGTCTCGCATCTTCCTCAAGCTCTAGCGCGTTCCCTTGGGGTTTTTTTGATAGATGAAAAAGAAAATGTTGAAGCACTTGACTTGCTACAGTACGCACAGCGTTTTTCTTTTTTTTTTGCAGTACAAATGAATCTAACCATCAAAAAATTGAAATGTAATTACAGACTTTGACATCACAATAAGCAGTATCAACTTCATCTACCGTTGCTTAACAGCGTGGTTTGGTTTTGGTAGGCCGTGGACGCTGATCCGGCCGTCGCGGAGACCGAGGATTGCTTCCCGTCCTCGTCTTCTAAAGGCGAGCTCTGCGCGATTAGATTCGGCTGTATCCCCAACCTGGCCAGCGTCGCCTCCCGGATCGCCTTTTGTTCCTCAGGACCGGAGGTGCCACGGGAAATCACCTCCGTCGTTAGCGTCGGAATCAATTCCGTCGCACCACAGGTCTGCACGACATGGAGGGACGACGTCGGGCTAAACGCGTTTTCGCCCTCAGCCTTTGCAGGTGGTTTTTTCCCGGATAACTTGTCAGTAGTTTGGTCAACATTCATGTTGATCCCTTCGTCCTCCGCTGCATGTTCTGCGTCTGCGCCCGTTTTCGAGGATCGGTACCAGGCGGCATCATCACTATCTTGCTCCTCCGTATTAGGTGGTGGGGTTTTGTTATGCTGGTTTTCCGTGTTGTTCGCGTTTGCGGCAGAAATGAGAGCATCGAGTTGCCGCATGGACTGCTCCTCTTCGGCGTCCCAATCGTAACTGCGATCAGAATCGTTGTCCGACGCTACGTCGTCGGCAGACGGTTGGGCGGGAGGAGGTGCCGACATGACTTTCAGGTGCACTTTTTTACTGCGTCGAAGTCAACAACAAGGTGGACGTGGTGGAAAAAAAAGTTTGTATAAGACACACGGTTCCTGTTCTTGGAACTAGATATGCATCGGCCAATGACACTGCAAATAAGGGCCAGCCATAATCAACGAATCTTTTTCCATCATAGCTTCGTCCCTCGACAGGAGGAACCCAAGTTCAAAATTGAAAAATTTGCGCACAACTACAATTTTTCTTTGTTTACACCAGGAAGCGCGTGTTTAGACACAGGAGGTCGTGCGAAAAAGCAAAATACAGATCACCAGTAAAGCGTGCAAAGGTAAAAGCGGGTCATTTACACTTCGAAAAAAGTATAAAGCGAAGTCTCATATTAATAATTCATGTCGTCAGATAATTATTTCAATCATGCGCGCGCACGTGAAACATCAAGGCTTGGCACTTGCTAGTACATCAATTATTACGTCATTTTACTGTGTTGCTCGAGCTCTTATGTGAGACCTGAAGCGCAAAGTTTACTTCCTTGACCCTGATAAAAATCACAGCCGTTTTTCTGTATGCTTGTCAAGATCGCCAATTTGTCGTCCGTACGCCAATGGACCGCTCAACGGGAACACAAGAAAGAAAAGGCCTACCGACTGAGAAATTCCGAGACGTGGCTCTGTGCTGAATTCTTCATTTCTGTAATTATTGACTAGTAGTACTTCATGCCATAATGGACAACAATTTTGATTTTTTGGCCGAGTGTCAAGCTCAATTTCGCCGATCACGACGGCGGAAATCATCTGAGCAAGAAATTTTTAGGCTTTGGCAAGATGATCCAACTTCTCTTTGCGTACGCCTCATATCCAGGCTTTCGCATCAAACTTGACTCCTTCTTGTAAATATTCACCGTGAACAGAGCCCCCCAGGCAAACGCGAGAACGTACTTCGGTATGTCGCTGTTCGGAACCAGCCCCGCAAACGAGCCGTAGAGGAGCATCTCGCCGAGGTAGTTTGGATTTCGGTTGTTGGAGAAGATGCCGTCTTGGATGAGAAGCGGTGCAGTCTTTTTCTTCTCGTTGATCTCCGTGTCGTGGTCAACTTCATGTTTGTCCACCATCTTGCTTCCACCTTTGTAGTACATTTCCAACGCGATGAATTTGTGTGTGTCCGCAACCAACATCATGACCACGCCAATGACGTAGACGAAGGTACAGACTGCCTGCCGCACCGGTGAAACCTCGATAGGGTAGGCCGCGGAAGTAATGCTACCAGAGAACATGTTGAAGTAGTCGTAGCCTGTGCCTGTGCTAGTACCGGCGCTTCTGTACTCGTACTTCGAAATAAGCAAAACCGGTGCCAGCCAATACAGACCGCAAAAGACCGCCGCGGCGAGCGCTGAGCCTAGCGGGACGCGCTCGTGAAATCGTCTGTCAGGGCACCAGTGCTCTTTCAAAACCCATAAAACGCCGTAGCTACCGTGGAGCGCTGTGTAGGTGAGGCAGGGGGCGGAAAAATTGTCGAAGTGGTACATATCCAGGAAAAAACACCCATCCCCATCCAATTTGTTATGCAAAACACGCATCAAAAGCAACATTTGTCATGCAAAAAATGGATGGGGATGGGTGTTTTATTTTCCTGGATAGTGCATGAGGAAGATGCAGAAGGGAAGCGTGGCCCCCTTGAAGGCGTTCACAATGTGGCACATGCGGATCATGATGAACCCCGGACCGAGGTTGAACCCGAGAAAATCCACGACCGTGCCCCAAAAGGATTCGAAGAAGATGTGGACCAGGGATTTATTTTTGCTGCCTGTGTTGGTGGTGGGTGATGAGGCCGTGGCTGTCAAGCGCGATTTAGGTGTTAAGGCAGATGAAGGCCCCGCGGTTGGTTTTCTGGAAGAACTGCGGCGACGACTGGCGGTGGTGGAGTTCCGGCCGGAGCTGCGAGCTGGGCTAGTCCCGGAGGAAGATCGGGCCATCTTGCGTTTTTTTTTTCGTAGATGAAAGCTAGAGCAAGCGCGAACTGGCGAATGGACTGCTTCGCATGGAGATGGAGCTAGATTCTGCTCCTCTCATATTACCTGCATGACATGGACTATTTGTATTTTGGACGCCGACCACGCTCTTATTTTGTGTGCATATTGATCTTATCGAACTCTGATTTTTTACCTGCCTTTCTTTGTATATGTATTCTCATTCACTAGGACTAAATAACAAAGTTCCCGGGTGCACACTTTTAGCGGCTGACCCACTGAAATCGCATTCGCAGCCAGGTCCTGTAGGCCTACTCGGAGGACCTTAGTTCTCGGGGGGTCCTCCTTCTTCACCTCTGTCTTCAATGTGGTGGAATTGCTCTGAGTTCGCACCACAATCGGAATCGGTCATTAAATGCACTATTCCGCGGAAGTTGTTCACATTCCGCGTCGATGATAAAGTTTGTTCTCCACGACTTCAACGTTCTCTCAGCCGGTAAAAGGAAAATCAAGCAGAAACAGAGTACCTTAGCTCAGTTGCATAATTTGCAATTCTTTTTCTTTCCAAGTCCCTGCAAATTCACCAAGGACACACAGACACATCAGTGCTGCAGGTACTTCCACTGCAACACACCAAAAAAAAACACGGACATCACCATCAGTCGTGGCTCAGTGTCCACTCCTGCTCGGCCCAACACCTCCTCCAGCTACTACTTGGACCCACCGTTCTTGAACTTCCTCCCCAGATCCCCCTTCGCTGCTTCAAAGGTTATCTCGACCGAATCAACCTTTCGCTTTGCCGTCAAATCGTTGTCGAGACCAACTTCCTTGGCTCCTTCGGGTCCCAGATGGCACCAGCGCTCCAGCTCGTCAAGCTTGTCCTGATAGACATAGATTGTGATTGATGTGCGTCAGCAGAATTTGAATCCGACGAGCGGCAATTCTCTATCTATGAGTCACAAAATCAATTGTGTGCTCGCTTCTTTAGGCGAGCGAGTGACTGTTGTACGTGCTAATTGAGTTCCTGAGAGTAAGTGGCTAGCACACTGTGTCTCAACAATATGCTACCAGTCCTTGACCAAAAAGCATCCGTTTTGATGTCGAACAGCCAAGACTGGGGAGTTGCCGCGGAAAAGTAACACCGGAGTGCTACCAGTCCTTGGCTGTCACAAAATCAAAATCTACGTATGTAAAAAGTAGGTCTAGAAGTACCACTACCAGTTGCAAAGAAAGTACTTACATACACGCAGTCCACCGCTATCAGTTGTATATTAGCTATAGCGTTGACGTTGTTTGTACCTTCGTCCCCTCCGCGATGATTTCTACTCTTCCGTCTTTCAAATTCCACGCGGCGCCTACCAGTCCGAGCAACTCAGCCTTTTTCTTGGTTGAGTCTCGGTAGTACACCCCCTGGACTTTTCCCGTGACAAAAATGTGTGCGCGCTGCATCGTCTTGATCTTTTTACTTATACTTGTAGGTGGAGAGGTAGAAGGAGGACTCGTCGAAAACAACAACGGGAATAGTAGCTGGCTGACGGACTCGCTATCGTCCTTAGCAGTGCTTTCTTCCTCGAAAGACAAAGAGCTGGAAAAACTTCGATTTCTAGCAAGTTTGGGCTTGTAGTCGCGCAGCTGCTCCTGGTCCTGGTCCTGTTGGGAAGATATAGTCGAGAATTTTGCAGCAGTTGCAGCCGCGGTGGAATCAAAGTCAAAGTTATTTAAGTTGTCGAATTTGTCCAACTCGTTTGCGTTTCTTGTTTGCGTCGGGTTCAGGAAGCTCCGTTCAGATCTAATGCGGCTTTCTCGCAGACGGCCGGCGACGGAAGATTCAATACTGCAAGAAAGCAGAATTACGTGCGTCCAGAGAACGGAAAATATACAAAAAGCTTTCACCATGCGCGTTCTACTTGTGATTGCGGTGCGTCGGCCGGTGTGCTGCGAAGATTTTTCATCCACCCGCTAGCTTCGACCACGCGCCCACCGCGTTGATAGCTTATCCTAACGAAAAGACGAATCCCAGAAGTCACAAGACGGATCTCACAGCTCTTTAATGAACAGGAACAAGCTCCTCGGAGGACGAAAGTTCTGTAGTATTCAAAACAAATTGATCATAGAAAGACGTAAAAGAGGGATCATTTTTTTCCGCTGCACGCTCTTTTCTCACTGCGTGCTCACGCAAAATATCCACACTGAAACTAAACGTAGTGCGGTTACACGCGAAAAACAGACACAATTGATGAAATGTACGGACAAGCGACGTCGGCGCAGAGCTTTCGCCGAACGAACCGCCACCACGTAACTCTTTACGTCCGGTTTAAAAAAGTAGTGCATCGATCTTTTTGCACTTACTACCAGGCCTTACTTTCAAGAACTGAAGATCTCCCTTCACCTTAAAGTGTCTCTTGTTGAGAAAACCTCGCTCGATTTTTTTCTACACATTAGCTGCGCCAACCAGTGTTCAAAATCAAAAGCTCGCTCTCAAGTTTTCCAGCTGCGCTTTTTTCCATTCGTGCCTCTTCAACCGTTCTTCCTGCAATTTCGCTAGAAACGGCGACGGCGCTCGCAGTGGCACAGGGCTCGGGTCAACCACAGATGTGGCTGCGCCGCTCGTCGTGGCTTCCACCTCTGCGGTACGCTGCGCCTGGTGCTGCTGCGGAACGCCTCCGATAGCGATACTAGCTCCTGGCAAGACATCTGCGGTTGTAGGTGTAGCAGGAGCACCGATGCTACTAGTACTTGGGGGACCAAGGAGGGGAACCACAGGAGGCGTTCGTCGTTCTGAACCCAGTACAGGAAAAGCAGCATTTCTACCATGATCTGGCTTTACGCTTTCGGCGGAAGAAGATCCTGAAGCCGAGGATTTCTGAACCTCTACGTCGCTATTCCTATTGATCTTCGTCCAAATCGCGCTCGCGCCTCCGCTGGCACTGCTCGAGGCACTGCCACTGCTCGAATTGCTCGAACGGATAATTTCCTGTGCTTCTGCTTTCTCATCCATATTGCCCATGATCACACCAGAGGTCGCGATTGCACGACCACTTGCGTCGAGTTCTACTTCCGAAGTAGTTCCTCGGTGTCCTAGTGTAGTCAATACCCGTTCTTTCCTCTCCAGTTCCTTGTAGTAGGCAAAAGTCGGCTGCTTCTCCTGAATTGCGGACAAAGCAGACTTCTCGATGGAATCCAGCTTGTCTCGCGTTGCGAACTCAACACCAAGCGAAGACTCTTTGTTCCAGGGCGACGTTGAGGACAAAACTGCCGCTGCGTCTGAGTTTGTTTCGATTTTTACGTTCGTCCTCATAACACCATAATGATCTGGTGACGGAGACGCAATCGAAACTGACTTTTTCGACGTGGCCGTGTTCAGCAAATGCTCGATTTCCGTCAACTTGCTCGGCGAGTAGAAGGACGAGACGGTTGCTGCGCCGCCTCCCTGACCACGACCTGGAGTTCGGCTCAGCGCAAGCGCGCTTCTGGTGGTCACCGTCCCTGCCCCTGGTTCCTCTCGGAGCACATCCAAGACCGGATCCGTCGGCTTCTGTCGTCCAAGCTGTTCGAGGAACTGTATTCCGGATTGGTTCACGTTCAACGCGTCCTCGATGCTGGCCTTCGATCTCGATTCCAGCTGCAGAAAGTCGTACGCATTTTGATTTTGCTGCGCCGCCGTCGTGCCAGAACTTCTTGTTTCCCCTCTCCTCGGGAGTCGCAGCGGCGACACCACCACGTCTCGCTTCAACGCGGTTGGAGGGGTCACGCCTTGAAACAAAATGTCGGCAGGAATCTTTAATGCACGAAGTCCAGCTCCTGGGGGTCCAGTAGAAGACGGACTTCTCGCACTGGAGTTGTTGTAGAAGCCACGTCCTCCGCTGGGCACAGCCGGGTAATCCGGAACCGCACGGGCTTCGTCTCTACTTTGCGCGCCACCGAACAAATCTTTAGAGCGCAATGCGGTACTGCTAGCGACGTTCAGAGATAGTGCATGATCTGCATTCATCTGCTCTACTGCTGTTTGATGCGAGGAGCGCTTGGAACTCAGCGGCGGAGGTGTCCTGCTGCTGTTTCGATCATGATCCCTTTCCGCCTGTGGATCGTAGTCGCGAAATGCTTGCTTGTGCGGAGACCAAATCTTCTCCAACCCTGCGCTCAGCTGCTTGTGATGCTCCAGTTGCCGCTGGTGCATGGTTTTCTGATGCTGTCGTGGGTTAAAAGCTGCTGCAGTCAGCACGCTGTCTGGGTCGTTCTGCTGCATTTTCGCCTGCAATTTTTCCAAATACTGGTCCCCGAGGTAGAGGTTGCGCAAACTGCGCTCCCGAAACAGCAGTGCGTCCTGCTTTTCGTCCCACGTCGTCGGGTTCTCTTTCGGAATGCGGCTGGCGGTCGAAGGTGTAGTTCCCGTTTTGTTCATCCCGCCACCAGTACCGCTGAAAGTGCTGTACGCTCCTAGTGGCTTCTCTTTCACGCTGTTCCGCAACGGCCCTCCGTGGTTGGGCTGTAGTGACCGGTTCAGCAGCGTATCCAGATCGAAGTCGTCCTTGTACGCTGTTAAACCAGGAGCGTTAACCGTCCGCAGCTTCGGCTCCGACAACGACCGGGCTTGTTGGCTCCCGTTTGCGAATCGGTTCGGGTCGATGCCTGCCCAGAAGGTTTTTTGGTTCAACTTGATCCCGGTACTATTCACGCCGACCAGCGGGACGTCATTCAGGAGGTTGCCCGGGGTGGAGAAAAGCTCCGCGCCGGTAGCCGCCCCGCGCCGGTAAGCGCCGGCCTTGTCCGGGGACGCGGATCGGGAGCGCGAAGCTATGCTGACCGTGTTGGAGACCGCGGCCGGGTTGAACAGTGAGGAGGCGGAAGAAGGGCCTGGAATAGATTTATTGGATGTGCGTATTTGATGTGGATTTAGTCTTAATCGGTGGCATAATTGTTTACTTTCTGTTTCTTTGTCTTCGCAGCTTCGGCACCGAAATACAAAATGCAATAACAACACTTCGTCAAAATCCTATCCACCTGCAAAAGCCCCGACCAGTCGCGCTTCCGTGGCGTATTTCAGCCCGCCCGTCAGCGTCCGTTTGAAGTCGTCCTGCCGTTTCTTTTCTTCGTCGCGTTTGATCTGCATTCGCGTTTCCAAATATCTGTTCGTGCACTCGCGGACTTGCTGTTGGCACAACTGCAATTGCTGTTCAATGTCGGCGTTCAAATTTCGTGGATCCTCTCCAAGATTTCCCCTCGCAAAGTCAGCGGCCACCGTGTACCCACGAGACTTCATGATCTTCTGTATTTCTTCATCAGGTTTTATTTCCCCCCGCGTCGGCGCCACAGCGGCCGAGCTGTTCTGCGCCGCCGTCGCTGCAATGGAGTAGTTATCTCCACCACCTCCAGTGGAGTGGATATTTTGTCGTCCACGATGACCACTCCGACTGCTGCTGTTCCGCAAATTCGAACCTCGCTGGGGGGAAGTCGCGAACAAATCGTCATTTCGGCTCAGAAACTCCTCCTGCTCCTCTTCCGCAACTGCTACCTGGGCGACGTTCATGTTATTCCGGTCGTTGTACAGCTGCCTCGTTCGGTAATACGCGACAGAGGAGGGGTGTGGCGGGTCGCGGTGTTTCAACGAGGTACTAGTACCGTTGTTCGCATGATAGTTGCTCCAATTTTTACTGAACCTCGGCAGCGTCGGCACGCCATTCTGCATGTTCCAGTCCGCCCTTTGCCTCTCCGATGAGTTTTCAAAGGTGTTTTGCTCCAGCTCCTCAACCCGCCTGGCTAGGCTATCGATGGCGTTTTGCCTCTTTGCATTACTGGCTGAAGTGATGTTGTCCACCGTCGAGGAACGGCCGCCCGGAGAGGTAGACATCAAGTGGCTCGCCCTCGTATTCAACATCCCGGGACTGTTGCTTCGATTCCTCGCAGTTGTGTGGTTGGTCGCTCTACTCTCGTCGCGAAACAACACGGAGCGTTTCGATGCGGACTGAGATTGGAGTCCGGACTGGAGGGTGCTGTTGAAGCCATTGTTCGAGGTGTTGTGGTTGTGAAAACTGCCCCGGGGGGTGAACAGGGTTGACTTCGAGGGCGGGAGCGAACTATCAGCAAAAAGCTGGTGCTCGGACTGTTGGCGGGAAAGACTCTGCTGGTACTTCGGAAGCGTGCGCGCAGAGCCGCCCAGGGGAATGACGGCTGCACTGGAAGCGACGGAACGGTGAAGGGTGTTCGGGGAACCACCGGCAGACCTGAGAAAATTGTACTATGTGCGTCCACCTCACGAACTGACACTAACTCTCAAATTGCTATTGTTTCTCACTTCTTTTGCAGAGCATGCACGACAGGCGATCTTCAAAGCAATAGCAAGTCTCATTCACCTATCTAGTAGTACCGTCCTCTTGTCACACTGGACGCCGGGCGGCTCGACCGGTAGTCGTTCACGAATCTCGTTGGACTCGGCAAATCATCGGTCAGCATCGTGTGGTCATTTCCCGCGGTTCCTTGCCGGCTCAAGCTCGGCGTGCTCAACGTTCTTCCCGGAAGCCTGGCTGTTCCGGCGCTTTGTCGCGTCAGTTGCGAAGGGGGACCAGGTGTCGGCGTGCGAAACCGGCCTCCGTCTGCTCCTTTTGGTGGTGATTTATGGTTCCGACGTGCAGGAGCTGCTGCCAGAGAGGTGGAGTTGTTGCGCTTTATCAGACTCAAATTTCGCTCCCGCCGCCGGCCCCCGCTCGTGTTTCTGGCTGCACCTCCGGCACCAGGCATTCCAGTTACAACCCCCCTTCTCCCACGGAAAGACGCGCTCATTTGCAGAATGTCTTCGTCGCAGCTGGGATCTTCCTCTTCGACACTGGAGGAGGAGGACTGATTGTTGGGATTTCTGGCGAACACGGAGATGGATCGGCTTCTCCCGTAGTTTCCCCTTGTAGAGCTGTTGGCCAACACATTGGACCAAACCTCATCTTGATCTTCCTCCGCAATATCGGACAGTAGTTTATCTTTCCGCGCTGCTCTCGACGTCGAGACGCTTCTGTTTGTAGTAGTATTCCTGGCACCTCCTCCTCCTCCTCCCCCGCCGAAAATCCCCTGCAAATCTTCGCCGAAAATCTGCGCTCGAATCGCGTTCTTCGCGAAAGCCACGTCTTCTTCGTTTTCGATGTCCTCTATGGGCCGTCTCTGTTCCAAATTTCCGATGCGCTGCTCTGTCCGGGACCGCACCAAAATCCGGTTTTTCCGCGCAGCCGTCACTCGGTTGGTTAGCAGCACCTCGGGCGGAGTTTCGAAAATCGGCGACACCCCATCCCGGACTTTCTTTCGGCTCGCCTCCCGGACGCGCGCCGCAGGGCCGAACCCAGGTTGCCGGTAAATGGTGCTCCGTCCCGGCGGGCGGAACGCAGCTGGGGGCGCGTTGGCTTTCAAGCTGGGACCGAGGTCGGACTGGTAACGCGACTCCCGGAGGTTTCCGATGTACTCAGTACGGAGTTCCCCCTCATGCGCCTGCAGAAACCGCTTTTTTCGGTGCGCAGAGGCGTCGCGAGACTTCGACAAGTAGGTATGCGTCAGGTAGCGCGGAATCGGCGGCTCCTTTTTCGAAGGCATCTCGTACTTCCTTATGGTTATGATAGGTTTACTTGTGACGTGAGGGAGGTTCTTATGTGCGAATACTGACTACACGTGGCTCAGACATTCAGGACGCGGACCGTTCAGTCAATACTATCCTTGTCAACATCGTAGGATCAGTGCGTGGCCTTCCACAGAGAGGTGCTTTGTGTTCTTTCTTCGTCTAAGATAAAGCCCAATATTTTTCTCACAAGTGACAACAATACTTCGAAAATTCTTCTTCATCTTCTTCACCTAAGCCGAATACTTGTCGTTACTCTAATATCGTGATAGTTCTTTTCGTTTCCCTTTCCCCCTCTTCGCTCCTTTCTTTATCTTTGCACGACTCCGTCGACACTCGCCCTCCCGTGCACTTTTTTTTCAGATCATTGATCAAAGTGCGGCAAGCACAAGCTGCATCAACTGCTACTCCAGCTTCTCGATGATAAAAAGACAGATAAAAAGACACAAAATCGATATCCTCATGCTCCAAGCTGACGAACAGGAAGCTGTATTCGAAAAGATCTCCGATCCCGCTTCATGCAGTGGCAGTAGCCGCGCATCACGATTATACAACTTGGTTTTGCGAACTGTCCTTCGGTATTCTTTGCGACACGCAAAAGCATGCACAACTGGCGACCCCTTTTTTGCTTTGCGCAAGACTGCAGGAAGCAGACAGGGGTTCCCTCGCACGATTTTTGTATAAAGTTAATAGCACCCGACTCAGAATAAGAGAACGGAAAGACTCTAAATGCTATTAACAAATATAATTTTTGATACCACTTGCACTTGCGTTTTTTTTTGTATTCTCAGTCGTATCGTTCTACAAGCAGTGTTTGTGTAGCTCCACTACAATTGTAACTGAGTGATTGGATGTGAGATCTTCAAAAACAAGCAACAAAAACAACAAACTAAAGAGGAGTAAGCACTAGACAGGCCGCCTACTCCAAAATAAAAGAAAAGACAACTTACCGCAAGCTGCTACAACTTCTACTTCTTCACTTCTTTGGCAGTACCAGTAGCTGCCAAGGCGAGCCAGGCAAAAGAAAAGGCAAAACGAAAAAAGTCGTCGATGAGGAGAATTCGTTATCGTTGTCACTTGCAAACTTCATGAAACCGACAATATCGATTTCATGTCATTTCACCAACGTGAACGTCCCCTGTACGTATTAGAGCCAAAGGGGTTCTCAACTAATTCTCCAACTGCAACTTATCTGTTTCCATAAATACGTACTCATCGAGCAAGCCTGATTGATGGCGTCATCTACATGATGGGGCCTCACCCTCACCCATGACCACTTTCCAAAAGAAAAAGCATATTCATACTCATAGCAAGAACAATTAAAGAAGAAATAAAAAAAAGAAAATGACGAGCGTGGTACATTATGAAGCCTCGTTGTCGAAGCGAAATGGGTTTATTATCCGTGAGAAGAACTAAAAACGATCTGGACCTAAACGCTCGTCATTTACGTGCATCTGCATGCACATGCTTCCAACAGAAGCATGAACATTGCGTCCTCCTTGGTGGTAATTCCTTTTCTGATATCAGTTGTTTGTTTTCTATGCCAGTTGCCGTCTTGGTGCAACGTGCGAATCATTGATTCAGAGTGAGCCAAAAACCTCCTGTTCTTGACTAAGGGTTTGCTAGCGATCTTCCAAATTTTTATAATATCATCAGCCCTGAGATCAAGCAGGATCTAGCTCGTTTTTCTACGTACATTGTCATTGTGGCAAAAGTAATGCGCTGCCGCGTTGCCTGTGCGATCAGGCTTTCCGGCGCACTTCTCGTAAACGGTAAGGCTAGGGCTACTGCAACGTCGCGCGAACAGTGAAATAAATAAAGAACAATGGCCTACGTTTGAAAAACAAGACCCAATGGTAGCAATCCGCATCTTCCTGAAAAAAAGCCCAGAGTTTGGAAATGAAATCTGTAGAACGCCGCTCGCCCTGATCTAGACTACCTTCAGTTACGCTGGGGCTGCACTTATGTGCGTGATGTAAAACCCCCTCTGCGTTCTTGTAATAAATAAACATAAACTTTTATTTGGCTCCTGAGCGAATGACCATTCCCATTGCAGGATCGAAGCCCACCAACCGCGAGTCATCCATTTTATGATGATGTTGGTGGTGTCCCCTTTGACGGACTGCATCCATTTTCTATATTTACGACAGTGTTAGGATCTCAGCGAATCATTGGAAGATGATTGCTTTGAACCCGAACAACACCGCAAATAGAAGAAATTGCATCTGCATTCGAAGGAAAGAAGGATTTGCTTTTTGCTTTTTTGGTTTTTCTGGTTGTGCTGCTGTGAAGACGTTGAGAGCTTTCGCAGCGGTTCAATCTACATCGTTCATCTCTGATGTACTGCCCTACCGTGAGCTTCTTTAAGCGGCAGATCTTTTTCTACAGCTTCATCGCACTTCTTATATTTATTTTTATTCCGATTCCGTTTCCGCAAAAATAAATGAAAAGTAAATAGCTATTGGCTTCGCGCGCAAAATGTTTTTTTCCGCCTAGCAAATCGGCTCCATAGCTTTCGTGTCACGCGGGAAGTAAGACGGAGAAGAGGGCGGGAAGCGAAAAAGATGTTGACAGCTTACGAAAAAGAATTATAGATTGATTGACATATGATCTCTACGCTTTCCTTCCCCTTCCCTATGCCTTCTCCCGACAATAAGCACTTCCTGTGATTGTATAAATAGAGCTACCAAGAAAAAAATTCTCAGAAGAAAGTACATCTATCACGCTCCGTGGGCGGCTGAGTCAGGAAAGTCAAAAAAATCACGTTCGTTTTTGGGCGGAAATCTGGTGTTGTTTTCTGTTCGTAGTGGACGTACCTTGTTCCCGGAAGCTGCCTCCTCCAACCAATTGTTTTTCCAATTTATGGTGCGAAAAAATCACCACTACCAACGACAACGTGATGCGACCGGTGAAGGCTTCATTTTTTGCTGCGACTCGAGCTCGTCGTGGTCATGGTGAATGCTTTATACCATCAAGAACAACATCACGCACACGTAGATGAATTTCGCTATCTATTATAGCAGCTTTTTAGTTTTAGCACAACTGCTACCTTTTTCGATTCGATGAACAGCAAATCTTTATACAAATTACAACTTTGGATGCAGCGAAGAGGGTCTCGGTGATTCTATTGCGTATATTGGAGCGAAAAGCTCAGGGGATATTGTGTGCGCGCACCGCACCAGCAGCAGCGTTTCTCGTCAAGAAGTGAGTGCGATAATCGAGGAGTTGCATGGGAGGCTCCAGAGCTTGTCCCGCCCGGTCTTCGTACCACGGCAAGCCGTCCGGATCACTCTCGTCACCCCGGAAAAAGTCGGAATTTGTGTCATGAACCGCCAGAATGGAGGACGACGTACCTCCGTCCTCGTCGTCGTCGGAGCGTTGATTATGCGCGTGCTTCTTTCTTCCTGCTCGGTCGTGTAAGTAAGGGTCGTCTTCGTCTGCGTCATGATCGTCCTCATCATCTTCCGGCGAAAGGTGCTGTTCGTGTTCGACAAAAAAACCTCCGTCAGGCAGCTGCAGTCGAGTACCTTCGCCCCGCTGGCCCGGTTCGTGTGGTCCAACCTCTTTCCGAGTCGCGGCAGGAGCTGCAGCACCTCCAGGAGCGCGTTTTGTTTTGCTATTTTCGTTCAGGTGTTGTACTCGATTTATTTTTGTCGTCGTGTCGCTGCAGCCGGGACCACGATTCCGTTCCCCTGCAGGGTCGCAACTTGCAAGGAATCCGGACACGTCAAGATGGGCTGCTGTCTGCGCGGCCGTTCCGGGCGTCGTCGTCGTGTTCATCTTTTTTATCACTTTATTCGCAGTCGTTTGCCTGTGGTCAACACGTGCTGACTGGTGTTTACTAGCACTTCTCGTTCTACTAGCAGTTTCGGCTACTTCCCGACTTATTTGACTTTGCCGCTCCTTTTCATCTACTTCGCCTGTCGTGGTCGTCTCCCGCTCCGCGGTCGTGCGCCTCCTGAAACCAGGACTGTTCTTCTTCGCAGTATTTCGCTGGTTCGCGTCGAACAACTTGCGCTTCTGTTTCTGCCGTACCCCCGGTTCTGGCGCGTCCGGGGTTCGATCTTCGTACCAAGGCAAAGCCTCTTGCACATAGCTGTCGTCGCTGCTATCATCTTCGTCCGCGAAAGACGAGTTCGAGTCGTGGCCGCTGCGCGGGGTGTCGCTGGCATTATCTGCGTCCAAATACCTGTCCCACGTCCAATCTTCATCATCCGGAAAGGATCGAGCGCTGCCTCCTTCGAAGCTCTGTCGTTGCTGCTCCACCGGTCCTCGGTGGTGCCTGGCCTCGTTCTTGCTCTTCGTCGTTCGGACCGAAGAGAAAGATGTTTCGTCACGCCCGACACTAAAAACAGAGCCGCTATTAGCGCCAGAAAACCGCTGCGCCACCTCGGCTTTTCTCTGAGGCGACGTTGGTGGGCGCGTGGACTCGGTTGGCCGGACATCCAAGATAGAGGACGTAGCGACGGACCTGTTACTACACCCGGAGGCATTGGAGAGCCGCTTCTTGTTCTTAGTACAGTTCTTCCTGTGGTCAAGAACAGCATCAAGAACATCATGATGACGAACATCGCTCGAGGATTTACTTCTCTGCGGCTCGCATTGGTGCTGCTCCTGCTGCAGTCGGTGTAGCTGCCCCGAAATACCATCTCGCTGCGTACTACGCAACATGGGAGACTGGTGGCTGTTGTTCCTCGAAGTGCGAATCGCCAGGGCGCGAAGGCGCGCTGTCACCTCTGCTTCATGATCGGAATCCCCGTCAGCAGTATGGTTTCTACAATCTTCATTACGGTCTACTACTTCGTCTTCATCTTCGTGCAGCAGTTGCGGGCCCTGTTCGGTGCGAAGAAAAGGAGGAGGCTTGTTCCTGCCCTCGGGGCTTGCTTTGTCCTGCTGGTCTTGTTCTTTTGAAACTACCTCAACATCTGCCAAGACGCGATCACACTCCTTATCGCGTGGAAAAGTATCGCACTTATATATACGTAAAGAAACCAAACGCACTACCAATCCTGCATGACGAATGTGCTTCTGCTTTGTTCGTAGGGTTCGTTACTAGAAGATCATGACTCTGCGTGTCTAATTGCAGTTCACGTTCAGGAAAAACTTGTGACGCTGGCGAATTTGTATTTATTTTGCACGTAGTAGTGCGACCCTTTTCCTTTTGCAAGGCATAGTCCTCCTCTAACTGCAAAAGAGCGTTGATGTCGACCCCGTTGCTGCACGGCACAGCTAGAGCGTCGATGTCCCTTCGACGACCAGCTGTTGCTGTTCCATTACGGGTCTGTTGCATCCATCCGCGATGCTCCAGCTGCTGGCCGAGGCCGCCTCGAAGATGTGATGCTTGTGCTTCAGTATGTGAATGTGGCGCTGGTGCTCTGGCAGTGGAAGCGCTTTCCGCAGGTGTAGAATTGATACTGCAGCCAACAACTCGTTGTCGACCAACAACCGAGCCGCGTTGCGACCCTACGCAGTCAGCTGCGACAGCCGAGGTGGGACGCTCCTTCACGCACGCGTCAGCAAAGCGGGATCCTAGTTTGGAATGGCCCAAGAGCGGAGCAGATTGGCCGTGCTCTTTTGATGAAGAAGCTTTCGGGTCGTGGTCTCCTCGATGCAGTGCTGCAGTGGCGTTTTTATTGTTGTTCGATAGAGTAGCATTTCTAGTAATCGGACGCTGCTTGCTACCTCGCACCAACAGCGTGTTGTTACGTGGTGGAGTTACGACCCCAGCTGCTGTTGCTTCTGCCGGAGAACCTCGATTGATGCCTCGTCCTTGTTCATCTTCTTCCTGTAGAAGACCCTCCGGACTACGTCGCACGGCACCAAGGACGCTGGCTCTGTAATTTCCCCACCCCGCCGTGGCTTTTGATCCGGCCCCAGCCACGTCGAGCACCATTTCGGATGAGGTGCCAGATTTTTGCTTTGCGAGGCTCTTCAATTCTTCCTGCTTCGCGATGATTGAATCGACGGACTTTTCTAAAAAAAGACGAAAGTCCCCGATCACGGTCTCCTCGGCGGAGGCTACAGTAGAACAACTTAACTCCCGCGATGGTGGGTACTCTGGCGAGTACACCCACTCGGTATCGGTGCCGGAGTAGATGTCCCCGCCGTCGGGGTGGATCGGCTCCTCACAGGAATAAAATTTTGACGGTGATTTGGGAGATACGGGCTCTGACGTGCTGTCACCCGTCACGGTACGCAGCTGCCGTTGTGGATCGTCATGCAGCTGCGCTTCGAGTCGTTTGGTGGCAGGACTGCTTTCGGTCTTTTTCGTAACAGCGCTCAACTTTTTTTTCGGCCCGCTTTCATCACCTTCAATCTGATGAAATCTTTCCTGCGAGGACATTTCGCCGCGATCGAGATGAAGAGGCGTTTGCTTCTGTTGCTGTGTGCTTAGCAGGAGCTTCTCCGGCGTGGTGTTGGATTTATTTCCATGGACTTGTTGCCTCAGACTCACCGGGTCAAAATGAGCATTCGCATTCTGCTCGTGCCCTGAAGCTGCAGACAAGATCGCTCTTGCGCCAGTCATTCCTGGTGATTGACGCCCTGACCCACTAGGTCCCGCTCCGTCGTCGACCCACCAAGCCCCCGACGTGGTCACCCCGCCAGCCGTGCCTCTCTGCCACCTCTCTAGTTGCGCATTTGCCTGCTGCAACGTATCACTCACATCCGCTCCGAGCTGCATGACGTCATTCGTGCGCCGCTGGTGATGATCCTCAACCTGCTCCCGAGAATCGTAATCATGTCTTTCCCGTTCTTCATCCAGGCCGGGGCGAGAAGGTGGCGCAGCACGACCTTCTACACCTCCGACATCGAGACCGCACTTTCCGCAAAAGCAATACAATCCAGGCTTGCGGTTGTGGCGACCTGTTGTACTTGTAGCAAGACCTCCTCCACCACCTGCTGGGACTTCTTCGGCAGACAAGGCGACCTCGGGCCGGCGGTAGATGGGGACTGTACTACTACTAGACGTGGCAACCACACTACTGAAGCTGTGCGGATGTTGGTCCTCCTGCTCTGGCCGCTGGCGCTGGCGCTGCGCCAAAATTGGAGGTGGCGCAACGATTCCCACAACCTGCGGAGACTGTTCCTCCTCCTCCTTTGTGCTTCTACCAGAGTCCTCGGAGCCGACGTTCATCTGGTCCTCAATGTCGTCCATGATGCGCTCTCCCGCGGGCGGACCCGGATCCGGTTGCGGCGACAGCCCGCTGGTCGGCGACGGCGTCGGGGACGGGTGGAAAACACTGACCGCGGTTTGTTGGGGGCTCTGCTGGCCAAGGAGATTACCGGGAGCCCGCAGATACGACAACATCCGCGCGGCGTTGCTCAAGAGTGGATGATGAAATACCATCTTGGCGGAAGTACTTTTTATTTAGTGAGCGTACTTGTGTTGTGATAAAGATAATTCTGAATAGGGCGACCGTAGAAGTAACAAGATGTAAATGATGTAGTCCACAAAGTGGGAGTGGCTTACTCGACTGAGTTGAAGATAGATAGCCGTGAATAGCATAGTCAACTTTATTGAGATTCTTTGTCTTGTACTTGTTTCCGTATAAAACGTTTGAAAACTATTTCGCTAGTATTAGGTAACTGTACCTCAGAGTGGATTCTACTCCTCCACCTAGGACTTCACGTGACTTACTCTATCCGCAGGCAAAGACCAGCGTAAAAGCTAGAGCAAAGGGAAGCCGGGGAGAGACGATTACCGGTACGTCGTAAAGTAACACCAAAAGTTGTAGCCGTAGCGAATGACTCTATAGAAGATACACATATAATCTATTTTTTTACCACGACAGACCTACCTGCTGGCTCTGAACAATGCAGGCCGTTCTGTGCGTATGGTTTAAGTCTGTATGGAAAAATAAATAGTATTGGTATTCATGTTTCTGGCTGCGGCTGTCTTCGTTCGAACACTCGGCCAAGAATCCAATAGATTAGGAAGCTCTAGAATATTACTGTCAATATCGGATAAATGAAGGGAGCTAAGGGTCGTCGTGGTCAATCTTTATACCACATCCGCAGACCACAGAAGCTACTATCTTCGAGTCCAATTATGCCGTGAGTGGATTTGTGCCGGCCTTGCTTGGGATTAGTTTTATTTTTGTCTTCGCGTTTATGTCTTCGTGTAGCGGTTGTAAGACTTATTTCCCGTGTTTTGTAGGTTATTTTTGAATCAATTGTCCAAATATATTTGTCTATCAACAATACCACCTAGGGGAACTATTGAAGTTCACCTCAATCTTTTTCGAGACTGTACATACGGATAGGTTTAGGTTTACTTCACTGGAGGTATCGATATCCAGACAATTGCTCTTTGTAGTTGTTCTCGTCCCTACAGTTTAAGATGAATCAATGGCATTTTTCGACGAGAAGGTTGACTGGGGTGAGGTAAAGAAAAACGCACTAGCGCCGTGATTGGGGCAAAACCACTTGTATAACAAGTGGCGCAGTAGCACCGTGATTCAGCTATTTCATGTGCGCCATTTCAGATGGTTGCGGGAACGCAACCCCGATGGTATGCTGGGTTCCCGGGCTGTCGTTTTTGTGCAACGTCAAAATCTTGCCAGAAACCACAAGCACAACCCTTCCCCCGATGGTACGGGCTCGCTTAAGAGGTCGATGCCGGATTTGACCGAGTCGGCCACACCGGATGAATCACCGAAATCCGCGGATTTGGGTGTTCTCGGCGTTCGCGTGTTCGCGCGTGCCCTTTTTGGCGGCTAATCCGCCTGCTACGGCGCCGCGAACAGAGCGCGAACACAGTGCTCGCGCTCTGTTCGCGGGAACCCTTTTTGGCGGCTAATCCGCCTGCTACGGCCTCCGCGAACAGAGCGCGAAAACAGTGCTCGCGCTCTGTTCTCGCGTGCTCGCTTTTGGCGGCTAATCCGCATGCTACGGCCTCCGCGAACAGAGCTGCTCGCGCTCTGTTCGCGCGCGCCCTTTTTTACGGCTAATCCGCACGCTACGGCCTCCGCGAACAGAGCGCGAAAACAGTGCTCGCGCTCTGTTCTCGCGTGCCCGCTTTTGGCGGCTAATCCGCATGTTGCGGCCTCCGCGAACAGAGCGCCAGCACAGTGCTCGCGCTCTCTTGCCAGAAACCACAAGCGCAACCCTTCCCCCGATGGTACGGGCTCGCGTAAGAGGTCGAAGCCGGATTTGACCGAGTCGGCCACACCGGATGAATCACCGAAGTCCGCGGATTTGGGTGTTCTCGGCGTTCGCGTGTTCGCGCGTGCCCTTTTTGACGGCTAATCCGCCTGCTACGGTGCCGCGAACAGAGCGCGAGCACAGTGCTCGCGCTCTGTTCGCGCGCGCCCTTTTTGAAGGCTAATCAGGCAGCCGGCCCCGGGCATTCTCCGAGGCTTAAAACTTGCTATATTTTTTCTAATGTCGCGAAGGAAAACAAAAAAAGAAAGTGGCGGCAATGCCGCCAAAGACAACACCCAACCCGAAGACCACCGGGCAAAAATCATGGGGGGCGGGACACCAAAAACGAACGGGGCCAAGAACTTCGCGGCCAAATACCTAGCGCCCTCGGGCTCCTCCCATCCAGAGAGAAAATGGCCCAGAAGGGAGGCGACCCCGAGGGGAGGCCAGGCGCGATGTGCAAGATTAGGGGGGGGCGGCAATTCGCCCACACAAAAAACCGGGAAACCGCCCGGCGAAATGATCAACAGCAACCACCTAGCCGGAAACAGACCGGGCGGGGCACCTCTTGCCCCGACTAATTCCTTGCCTAAATCGATGCTAAGGCAGGCGACTAACTTCGCGCCTAAATTCCTGGCTAAATCACGGCTAATTTTTTTCATTGCAAACCCTTTCGCATTCCCTATGCTTGAATTAGAAACAAATTAGACGCGAAATTAGACCCCAAATTAGCCCCCCCCAACCCCACCTCTGCGCCCCTCATAAACCTCGGCCGGGCGGGCCGGGGCCATTGATATGCGGCCCGAGACAAATGGAAAACAATCGCGCCGCTTCCCTCTGCGGCAAAAACTAAAATCACAGGGACGCAAACCTTGGAAACCCCGGGCCCCGATGCGCCACGGGCCCTGCAGACGCTGGGGCGGGCAATCTTCGCCAAAAAAATTAAAAAAAATCCCCAGCGCCCCAATTTCCAAAACCTGCAAAAACTACCGACGAAAAATCCCTTGCCCGGACTACCTCCAGAACCCTTGGGGCCCCAGACTCGTGGGGCCGCGACGAAAAGAAAAAAGAAGGGCCGCAAGCCGGAACAATGTGGGCCCCACAATATTAGAAAAAAATCGGCAGCCTTTTAGGCGGCAAATTTGCGAGCCATCGGCCGGCTGAGGCTAATCCGCACGCTACGGCCTCCGCGAACAGAGCGCGAAAACAGTGCTCGCGCTCTGTTCTCGCGTGCCCGCTTTTGGCGGCTAATCCGCATGCTACGGCCTCCGCGAACAGAGCTGTTCGCGCTCTGTTCGCGCGCGCCGTTTTTGACGGCTAATCCGCATGCTACGGCCTCCGCGAACAGAGCGCGAGCACAGTGCTCGCGTCTGTTCGCGCGTGCCCGCTTTTGGCGGCTAATCCGCATGCTTTTGCGGCTTCCGCGAACAGAGCGCGAACACAGTGCTCGCGCTCTCTTGCCAGAAACCACAAGCACAACAGCGCAGCATCGAAAACTGCCGCAAAATGCAAGCAAATGAGCCCAGCGAGAACAAGCCCGAGAACATTGTTGTCGGCCCGGTTCTCATCCACAGTAGCAATCGGACTAGCCGCCAACACACAAAAGCCCCAGTGCCGTCGGGTAACCGTGGTTACACGACGCTGCCACGCGCGCGAGTCGCCGAGCCGCCGCGACGCGGCTCATGGCTCGCATCCGCTAGGCAAGCGAAGCGCTTGCCTTGCTCAAGCATGGCTGCAAGCCAAGAGCAAGGCAAGCCAAGAGAGCAAGGCAAGCCACGAGGGCAAGGCAAGCCACGAGGGCAAGAGCAAGAGCAAGAGCAAGAGCAAGAGCAAGAGCAAGAGCAAGAGCAAGAGCAAGAGCAAGAGCAAGAGCAAGAGCAAGAGCAAGAGCAAG